CCCTGACATCAACTGGCGTGATGGGCAGATCCAGATCCCTGCAAAGCCAAAGATTCAGCATCATGTAGCTATCGAGGAGATCCCAGAGCCCAAAGAACCCAATGTCGGAGGAAATACAGAACAAATCCTAGAACCTAATAGAGCAGAATCAAATGGCCTTCCTCACACTGTTCCAAAAACTGAGCTAGGTCCAGAGACAGCTGAAACTGGCACGTCCTCGGAAGATGAGCTAGTCTTTGAGGAATCAGGAAGTCCACTGTATCGCTTGACTGGAAATCGCAAACGACGTCGTGCTTGGCTCTGTGCTGGGTTTATCCAAGAGGTAACAGAAGAGCTATGGTGTGCTGCCGGGTACACCTATTCCCAACAGCTTGCCGAAGCAGCAAATAAAGATAAGCCCCAGAAAACATTCGAAGAGATGGTGCCTGAGCCATATCGGCGTCATGCGAAAGTATTTTCCGAGAAAGAATCCGAACGACTACCTGAACACAAACCCTGGGATCACGCTATTGACCTGAAACCCGACGCCCCCGAAACTCTACGCACCAAAATCTACCCCATGTCAGTAAATGAGCAGAAAGAACTAGATCGATTCCTGGAAGACAATCTCCGGAAAGGATATATCCGACCATCCAAATCACCACTTTCCTCACCTGTCTTCTTTGTAAAGAAAAAGGATGGCAAACTACGATTCATACAGGACTATCGACGTCTGAATGAATACACTGTCAAGAATCGTTATCCTCTCCCTCTGGTCGCTGACATCATCAATTGTCTACGACAAGCCAAATACTTCACCAAGTTTGACGTACGATGGGGTTACAATAACGTCCAGATCAAGGAAGGCCATGAGTGGAAAGCAGCTTTCTCCACTAACCGGGGACTCTTTGAACCACTGGTCATGTTCTTCGGCCTCACCAACTCGCCAGCTACGTTCCAGGCCCTTATGAACTCCATTTTTGCTGATCTTATCGCGGCAGGAAAAGTAGCTGTGTATCTGGATGATATCCTCATCTTTTCCGCATCCCTACAGGAACACCGGAAAATAGTTCATGAAGTTTTGGAACGATTAGCCAAGAATGACCTCTACCTCCGCCCTGAGAAGTGCGAATTTGAACAAACCTCTATTGAATACCTGGGCCTAATCATCAGCGAGGGAGAGGTTCGTATGGATCCTGTCAAAGTTGAGGCGGTTAAGAACTGGCCAGCCCCAACCTGCCTCTGAGATGTCCGAGGATTCCTAGGCTTTGCTAACTTCTACAGACGCTTCATTGATGGATTCGCTAAAAAGGCGCGAGCACTGAATAACCTCACCAAGAAGGGGGTGGGATGGTCTTGGGGTACCAATGAGCAGGTAGCATTTGAGGCGTTAAAAGAAGCTTTTACCACAGCACCCATTCTAGTCCTCTGGGATCCCGACAAACCAACACGTATCGAAGTGGATGCTTCTGGGTTCGCAACTGGAGGGGCGCTATTACAACAGCAAAGAGATGGACTTTGGCATCCCGTGGCATTCCGATCTGCTTCCATGGACCCTGCAGAGTGGAACTATGAAATCTACGACCGAGAGATGTTAGCCATCATCGAAGCCCTGAAAGACTGGCGACACTTCCTAGAAGGACTCCCAAACCCCTTTGAAATTGTGACCGACCATCGAAACCTGGAATACTGGCGAACTGCACAGGATCTAAGCCGGCGACAAGCAAGATGGGCCCTGTGGCTCTCACGGTTTGACTTTACTCTTACACATAGGGCTGGTAAAGCAAATGCACAAGCTGACGCTCTCTCCCGAGTCTCTCAACTCGAGGTTATGGATGCTGATGACAACCAACAACAAATAGTTTTACGGCCAGAACACTTCCTCCGAGCTGCTACAGCCGTCTTGTTCCAAAACCCCCTTGAGGAGCGCATTCGGAAGGCAAGCGAGCGAGAATCGGAGGTTCTTGAAGGACTACGTAAATTGAAGACACATGGACCCCACAAACTTGTGAATGGTCTAGCCGAATGGGAAGAGAAGGAAGGAATTGTCTATTACAAAGGCCGGGTGTATGTCCCACCTGATCCTCAACTACGCCGGGATGTCGTAGCACAGTGTCATGACGCACTCACAGCTGGTCACCCAGGAAAGCACCGCACCCTAGAGTTAGTTAGCCGACAGTTTTGGTGGCCTACGGTTCGATCATTTGTTGATAAGTATGTGGAAGGATGTGACAACTGTCAACGAAGACGTGTAAGGCCGCAGCCACAATCATCTCTAGAGCCTCTGCCTGTACCAGGAGGACCATGGCAGGACATCGGCGTGGACCTCATTGGAGAACTACCGATGACACAAGATGGACACAATGCGGCAATCACCTTCACAGACCATTACTCCAAAATGATTCACTGCTTCCCCACTACAACCGAACTGACTGCCGAAGGAGTTGCCGACTTCTATTATAAAGAAATCTTCCGACTTCATGGACTGCCCAGACGATTTATCTCTGATCGAGGACCACAATTTGCTGCCGACATCATGAAGGCCTTGCTAAAACGGTTGGGTATTGAATCTGCCCTGACAACGTCATACCACCCTGAAACAAATGGCCAGACTGAACGAGCTAACCAAGAAATCGAAAGATACATCCGGATGTATGTTAGCCGACGTCAGGATGACTGGGACCATCTTCTTCCTACTGCCGAATTCGTTATTAACTCTCGAGTACATTTTGCCCACGACAAAGCACCATTTGAAGTGCTCTACGGTTATACCCCAGAATTCTCCATCCCCATAGGATCCTGGAAGGAATACCCTTCAATCACAGATCGGCTAGATGCACTCCGCCATGCTCGGGAAGATGCAGAAGCCGCACTACGTATGAGCAAACAACGGATCGCAGATACAATCGCGGAACACCCTAACCAACCTAGCTTTGAAGTTGGACAGCCCGTATGGCTCTCAGTCAATAACCTAAAAATTCGACGCAAAAGTGAGAAGCTGGGAAGCCGCCGACTAGGACCTTTCGAAGTTATTGAGAAGACAGGGGCACACACTTACCGGCTTGCACTTCCTACATGGATGAAGATCCATGACAACATTAATGTCAAGCGCTTGGCACCATGGAAAGGAAACGAAGTCAACGGAATACTGCCAGCTCCGCCGGAGCCGGAGGTCATTGATGGTGAAGAATTTTACGATGTGGACAGGATCCTGGACAGCAGAATACATGGACGGTGGAAAAAGCTGCAGTACTTAGTCCGGTGGAAAGGCTACGACGAGGGCCATGACACCTGGGAAAATGAGGAAAATGTGGTAGGATCCAGTGACGAAGCCATTAACGAATTTTATGCAGCACATCCAAATGCACCAAGGAAGATTTCGGCAACGATCTTTCACTCACTACCATGGCAGCCAATGGTCAACTTCACCGAGGTAAACAACTAGTTGCTGGGACATCGACTCTAAGGAAGGGGGTAATGTCATGAAGTCTCATGATGCGCCCTTTGATGCGCCATCAGCGCGGTGTGTTCCCATCAATCTGTTTTCACATGTTTATTGTACTTCATCACACGATCATCCCATTAGTTCCATTTGTTTCCGTACGCTTCCATACAACTCATCCTTATTCATCGATTAGTTCATTATGGTTCATTATCGACTCATTATTACTCGTATATATTGATTCCTCACTCTTGTTCTATATCGCATCGTTATTTACAATTGCTTACTCAGTAGACAAGAGTAGTATATAAAGGACAGTAGACAGGCCCTAGTTCCCCATCTCGACCTCTTGGTCATTGGGCAACTAGGCAAGTACTTGTATCCTTTTAGATATTACCTATCTAACTTGGTCATTGGGCAACTAGATTCCCTTTTGATTGCTGGTGTGATTGGCCTTTGACACTATCCCACTGTTGTTCGAGATCATTATTTCTCTCATCTGTGCTTTGTGCTTGTTTCTGTGCCTCTTCGCTCTGCCACTATCGCTCCTAGGCATATCTGGACCTCCCGCCTCCCGCCTCCTGCCTCGTCGCGACAAATATTTGAGGAAGGATTTGTGTGATTAGAAGAAGAATGAGGATGTCAAACCATAACCTGTGGCCCAATCACAGATATTGCTGAATGTATTTCCTCTTGAGTACAGCATTGAAAGATTCGAGGTGATTAGTAGTAGGTATAATTCCTTCAACAGCTACTCTGATCTGAGCAGCTGCAGCAATATGTCCACATTCAGACCAGCTCTTCCAAAGAGGACGCGCCATCCAGTAGTCCTGCAGATACCTGATATGGTCAAGACCTGCTTCGCATGCATGCTTAGCCTCTGGATTTGTAGCAAGTTATTGAGGAAAACTTTGTGATTTTTGAGGAGAGCAGTTGCAACAGTATGGTCAACTGTTGTGACAAGGCTGGATTATTCCATTAGCTCAGTGAAGATACTATCAGGTAATACTGTAGAACTCACTCGACTTCAAGTTTTTGAAGTAAATCTCGGGTGTAATTCTTCCAAAATTCAGAAGCTTTGCATTTAAATGCTTTCTTCCAATGATTAGTCCAGCATTGGCGAAGGTGAAACTTACATATAAGCAAGATGATATGTGGCCATATGTGAATAAGAGCGCCTCGTTCTTTGGTATCCATATCGGTGATGGCAGAATAAGGCTCAAACAATCCAAATCTAGTTTCAAGACGGAGCTTCCAGGTCTGTATCAACTTCTTGAGAATAGCAGTATTGTAAGACGCATGTGTGGCCTTTGCACCTGTTTCGGCAGAGAATAGAAAGAGAGCAATGGGGATGCCTTTATTACATCCACAGCAAAGGCGATAAAAAGAAGAAGTCGCGAGCTGCAAATGCCAAAAGTACTGTCGAGTACTAGCTGGGAGTTGTGTGCATATTTATGAGCGCAATTGTCCATTTCGGGTGTAGAGAGGTATATTTTAAATCTATCCCCTGCTTCTGTTCGAGCGGAATAATGAAAGACAGCTTCTGCAATGTCTGGTTTGAAATTATGGCTTTCAGGATTTAGCCAGTCATCCACATTGTATTGCAGTTGGAGTCACACATCCACTCCCAGTTCCTGGCTAGCTTTTCAATAGAGTGACATATGGTCGGTAGGAAGGAACAAGTACCGTACATTGGCAGTCTTGGAATTATAGGTATCCATGCCGCGGTAGGCTCATTCGTTCTCCATCTTGCTATTTGTTTCCTGTATAGCTATCAAGCTATATAGGATTTATGGGCCCCTTTGATTTACTTGGAAGGCATAAAATATATCTTACCTTGCTCTGCTTCGGAGTTGTGCTAAAGCTACCTCATAAACATGGTCATGTAGTGGAACTGGGGGAATACGTTCAAGCACTGCGGTTTGGCAGGAACTGTTGTGCTCTGGAGCTCCAGCTATTCTTGTGATCACTCCATCACCCACTCTTTCCATTACCTCTAGGTGAGCTAAGCAGCCAGTGAATGGATAAGGAACACAGCGTTCCCAGTTCTCGGTTTGGCAATTTAAGCCTTTTTTTGCCTCACGTTCTTGGCAGGCTTTGACATGATATCCACAAGAACTTATCCAGAAAATTTGTACTTGGATTTAGAACTGATACTGGCAAGGGGCTTACCATTGGAATAAAGTTTGTCTTTGTTCTTGCCCTCCATGGCACCATTTCACTGAGTACTGAGCAGTCCACCAGCTTTCCAATGCATTTCTGGATGCTGAATCTATACCAAGTGGCAGAAGCAAGGCTTCTGCACTTTGTTGTTGCTGTGAATTATTTAAATCATATAGAGATTCAATACTCTTAGACTCGGCATAGAGCGCATCAATAAACTGTCTTTGATCAGCATTGAGGAGCAGTTTCTCAAGGTGTACCTTCAAAAGGCCCATTCGACTCAAACTTATCTAAACAAAGGCAATGTATGACCTACTTGAGCATTATGCACAGGGTTCAATATGGGGAGACTAAGGCCCGCTTGTACCCACCCCGGGCCTCCGTGTTGCTTTCCTGAATATGCAATAGGCAGTGAATTGAAGATTTAATGAAATTAACTTACACGCTTTACACGACGGGAGCCAAGTAGACTTATGGGAGGGAGGAGCTTATCCTTTTCAGTCCAAGTGAGCTTGTTATTAGACGGCGGGGTAGCCGGCGCCAACCTTGGTGTTTTGGTTCGGCGGGTCAGTGGCACTGTTGGAGGCAACAGTGTGCCTTTTTCAGCCCAAGAAACTTTAGGCTCTGCAGGAGTACTCATAATTCTCTGAGATTGAAAGGGACTTTGGAAGGTATGAGTGAAAATGTTTTCATTAAGCTCATTTCAGAAGTTGAGCAAAATCAAAAAATCCAATGTAAACTGATTTACATTGCAAGAACATTACGGGAGCATTGACAGGGCTTCAAAAACTGATAGGATGCCGCGGCAGTCGAGAGGAGTTCTTTGTGCAACAAACTAGCCTTGCTGTGGATCCAGACCTCAGTGCCTGACCAGCAGGTGACAGTTCTGCAAGTAAATGAAAAAGAAGGAAGCTTTGCCAGATCCCTCTAACCGATTTGGCCATCCCAAATGTGGTGACAAATGCGTAAGTGTCCCAAAATGGTATAGAGGGCGGGCGCGCGCTTGTTCAGCGTTTGCCTCAATGATTACTAATTGTGACTAAGGATTATCTAAACTTTGGGCATGCGCGGTTCGCAATTCACACGGAGGGGAGTCGATTTCACGGAAAACTCCGGTGCCATCCCCCTGACTGCGGTGATGCCATAATCAAAAATCCCGACGTTGAGCATTCCGCGGTTCAAGTTGTGCCTGGTTGTGCTAGAGGTTCCGGACTGGACCGGGTCAGGTCCAGGGGTCTCTCTGGCAAATATCTCGACCTGATCTTAACCAATGCGGAAGCCGTGTATGCAGACTCACATACAAAGTGGGATCTGAGTGGGATCGAACTCGTTTGTCCAACTAGACTTTGTACTGGCAATGTTAATTCCTGACTGGGCTCTACAAGTTGGATACGATGGCCTCGAGCGGGTGTGTGTTTCCAACTTGTATTCTTTTCTACTTTCGTCTGACGTTTGTGTAGGGCCTACTTCCTGATTTCGTTGTGAGACTTGGCATTCGCGCCATGCTTCGGCAGCGACTTTGCGAGATAGATCATGGGTCTTTAGAAGCAAATCATGCCGCAAAAATGGCTTGGATAGAAGGCGTGAAGCAAAGAACTTACATCGCAGATGTTCCGGACAAAGCTAACGAACAACATTATGAAGTGAGTGACTGTCGTACTAACCGGCTGGGGGACGTCTGATGTTCTCTAGGTATCTACCAATTTTATCCTCTCGACCCTCGGTCCATGTGCGAAATACTCGGCGTGTTTGTTTCCCTCTGGTAATGAGACTCTCGAAGAAGCTGAGGTTTTGATGTTGGAGAGCTATTGCGAGAAAGCGCAGCTGCAAGACGGTCAGGATGTTCTTGACCTGGGGTGCGGTGCGAGAATCCTTTTTCGTGACTAATGATTGAATATTCTCTAATATTATTAATTGCAGGTTGGGGTAGTCTTTCACTATACTTGGCTAAGGTTCGTCTGCACTTCTGAGTTCAGTACTCAAGCGTTCACCTTCAAAACCAAAGAAATATCCCAATTCCCGAATAATTGGATTATCAAACTCTTCAACGCAAAAAACGCATATAGATGCCACTGCCAAGATGCATGAACTGACCAACCTAAAGATTATAACTGCCGATATTAATGTTCATGATTTTCCGGTAACCACTAGGTGCGTTGTCCATAATTCGAGCATCTGCAACTTCTTGCTTGACACAAAACCCTAGATTCGACCGGATACTTTCCATCGAAGTCAGCACTTTCTTAGTTCGAATTTCTTTCCGGTGGTTGACTGGATTTCCGTCAGATGTTTGAACATATGAAGAACTACCAGGTCCTTTTCAAGAAAGTATCTACTTGGCTGAAATCCAGTATCAATACCGACTCGGAATCGTTTCTCTTCATTCATGTGTTCTGCCATCGCACTACGCCGTATCATTTCGAAGACACGGAAGGCCGGGAAGGAGGAGATAAGACGAATTGGATGGCAAAATATTTCTTTTCGGGAGGCACGATGCCCTCGCATGATTTATTGGTAAAGCTTCCCATCATAATTTTCTTTTTCCTATCGCTAAAATATTTCTAGCTATACTTCCAAGACGATCTGAGTCTCGTTCGAAGCTGGTACCTTCCTGGTACTCACTATTCTAAAACACTAGAGGCGTGGTTGAAATTACAGGATCAGAATGCACAATGTGAAATTTGAATTATCGTGAATGTTTGCTTTGCCTGACTCGTCGCGATACTGCAGCTGGTCTAGAGGAGCTTCAAATTGACGCAAAATCGAAGGGGCAAGACCCGATAGAGGGCTTGAAAGCCTTTCATCGGTACGTTGTTCCCCTATGCATCTAAGACGAATATCTACGTACCTTCTTCGTTCATCAGGTTTCGCGTTTTCTACATGGCTAGTTCTGAACTATTTAACTTCAATAAAGGCCAAGAGTAAGTGGACGTCATCCTTAATGTCTATGATCTCTGATTCATCGCAGGTGGGGTGTGGGTCATTATCTGTTCAAGAAGACATCCGAATCGTGAACATAGGGTACTTCGTCTTAGAGGACTGGCTGCGGTCTACATCTTTAAGTTAAAGGAGGGAATGGCTGCGTTACACTCTTCCTCGAAACTTGTGATCAGTATTATGATCGTAACCTCAGTACATATGCAGTAGGTTCTAAAACCTCGTCGGTACGGTTGAATATAGTTGATGTCGGGTTTGCATCTGTTTGTGATGACAATCTCTGGCCATTTGTAAAAAGCAGTCTCGAGTGGTAGCTAACTTCGATGTAAAATGAGGGTTCAATAAGGAGGACTAATAAATTCTATGATTTGGTTCTACGGATATCACGCATGTGGTACATTTAAAGTTTGGACATTAAACCTTGAGAGGCCTGATGATGAGAGGCAATTCAGTCTTCATAGGCGCGGATTTCAATGATGGTCGTTGCCAAATAGAGGCCATTTTGAGCACCGTCAGCTCATCCTTTGGAACGCCTAGTTCAAAGTGAAAGCTTCGAAGCAAGACGAAAAGAAAAACTTTCATTCTGAACGAAATATTATCAGGTTCAGAGACGAATTGAGGATCAGGGGACTCAAGAATACTTACTCAGTGACACTGAAGCGCCAACCAATACACCCGTGCGTTCCACCCCAAAATGTCAACAGATTGCTCCATACACCGGGGATGGCCTGGACACCACTCGGTACATTGAGCCAACGATCAGGTCTGAGAAAAATGATAATGATTCAAAGATATATCCCATTGAGACAGAAAGCCGCACGGACCTGAATTCACGAGCATGGGGTCCCCACAGAGACTTGTCGGTATTAACCTGGTGTAACGTGAGATGGATAAGTTGACCTTTGCGGACGCTAAAATTTATAAGTTGTGAATGCCGAGTTTCTTTGAGTAGTAGTACACGGATTACTTACGGGAGTTCGCTATGGACGATACCGCTACGATCCGTGAACGCGTATGACAGTGGAATGATATCATCCTGCGTAGCGACCCTGTTAACAGTTGTGATTGGCGAGTGAAGACGCATCGTCTCGCGAACAAATGCATCGAGGTAAGGAAGCGCGTTCAGCTCGTCTACGCTAGGCATCGCAGTGGGCACCGAAAGAATTTCTTGCCCGAGTTTGCTTTGGATATCTTGGTGCAGAGCTAACTCGAGAAGAGCCCAATTAGTTGCAAGGCTAAAAAATGTCAATTGAGATTTCAAGACAAAACTCCTTCAGAAATCACCTAGTCGTGTCATGCCCTCCAATTAAGAAGGTCGGTATCTCTGAAAACTGGTTAGCAAATATTTCCTCGGAATATTAACTCCACAAACGGGCAATGGCATCCACATCACTCATCGGCGTATTGGAACTCATATTAGACTTGAGAATTAGCGACAACAAGTTCTTGGTGCCCCAACCATTGTCTTTCTCGCCAGTGGCAGCCAAAAATGCTTTACTTTCCATCATGATCTCTCTGCATTTACGCTGTATGCACTCTGCAGATAATTTCATCGCTAAAACCGATGAGTCGTACTGAAATCAGAATGATTCGAAAGATCACGCTTACCAGTATCGTATCCTAAGACCGAAACAACCTAATCAAGACGAAGATTTCAGGATGGTGTAGCGAGAAGTGTGAACGAGATACTCACAGCCCGAATAGACTGTTGGACAATTTGAGGTAGCGCTGCAAGTAAAGGCACCCAAGCACTAGTCCAGCCACCGCCTGAGTGAAACATAGTCGTGAACGCTCGGTTCAACTCGTTCGTTTGATCAGGATCATTGAGAGCGTTGAAATGATAATTGAAGCCTAATTCTGGTAAGGCATTGTTCATCGAATACTAGATGTGACTGACCTGTCAATCCGATTATGTCCACCGTTACCTTGCTGAGCCAATAGACCGAGTCAATCTTTCCGAAGCCTTCAGCTGTGATTCGAGAGTTCCAAATATCTCGCATCTATCAGGATGATCTCAAGGTGAAATAAGAAAAGGGGACAGTACACTTACTTCGATTGATTTCTCAAAAAACGTTGAAGTCAACTCTCGAATTTGGGTGGGACCAAAAGCGGGATTCTAGAAACAATTGGTTATAGTGCGTAGACGTTTAAGTTCATAAAAAACGTACCATGACCTTGCGCTGCCATCACGCGTGCGTTGAAGACAGATGAATGAACACGAATTTCAAGGAGTACTGACTTGAATTTTATGTTCCTCCCTTTCAGCAACAATGATACTAGTGCCTGTACGACAAGTAAAATTGTTCAGGACAACCGGCAAACATGATGGGACAACGCACTCGCCTTCTCCTAGGATACCTTTGAGGATGTTTTGCATAACGGGAGGTTTCAAGTAAATCTGGTCATTTCGCATGATATGTTGAATGGCTTTGATGTCTTTCGAGTAAATACGCTGAGTCTGAAACACAGTCAATGTAGGCTGTTGTGACGAGGGCAGAGAACCTACACCGAAAAACCCTCCAGCGGTAAATGTAGGACCGTATATCTCATGCCAGTTATCCAGAGGATTGGGTTCTCCGAGACAGGTGCTCTGTATCACCAACAACATCAAGCCGCCGAGAGAGATTAACGATTGAGATATGCGTACAGAGACTATTAGCTTACACCAGACCAAATCTCCTTCTGATTTCCAAAGAGCCAGTCAGCATTGGAGGGACCGTTCGGAAGTGAACTCGAGACGCGTAGAAACAACCGACAAACGGTTCTGAGAAGATAGTAGGCGACGATGCTGGCCAGCACTGATGCAAAGATGTTCGTAGCAGAGTGCATTGCTAAGTACTGAAGGGTGTGGGTACCGGTAAAATGTTGATGATAAGACAGAGACCTGCAGCTAGGGTGTCGGAGATAATAAATCTGCAATCCCTGCCATAATGCACTGTAGTCTGTGATACGGGCTGATACGGGCTGATACGGGTCTTACTAGGCCTACTACCTTAGGCGATCGATCATCGAAATTGCAGTGCCTGCGATTATTAGAAAAGGCCTTGCGCAGCGTCATGAAATAACAAAGATAACTGTATTCATTCAATCACAGGCACTGTATATTATTTTGAGACTACAGCGATCGGGGGCCTTTTTTGCTCTCGTGTGTTTTCCGAAAATGGCAGACTAGGAGCTACTAGGAGCTGAAACATGCGATATAACCTTGGAAGATAGGGTCTGATTGGGAGCGAAGCGAAAGCTGAACCAAGACGTAAACAACGATAAACCTCCTACGGCGTCGGATTACCCGCGGATGTGTGCGGATGCTGCCGGGACTACATACTTAGTAGTAGTACGGAGTCGAAAGCGAGCACTACATGTGAGCCCTTCTTGGGATTAGAAGCGGCCAAAGGCTCCTCCAGAGCCGGACGAAGGAAGCTCACATGCGAGTGCATATCAGGACTCTTTGTAGGCCTAAGACAGACCCCTATGTCGACGTCGGCTTACTGGATAGCGGGAATCAGGCGGGAATAAATCTTTGTTCCTTTCGATCACTTTAGAAAAACTTAACTCAGGCCTAGTTCGTTTGATCAAATCACATTGGTTGCTTCTAGACGTCGGCCGCCTGCGCAATTGAACGAAGGATCTCTCATCTTAATAATGGACTACGATCCGTGCATCCAACCTTATCGTGTTCATTATGTCTTCCGCAAGAGTCAAGTTGCTAGAGAAAAGCGACGACGACGTCGTGATTGTCTCTGCTATACGTTCTGCTTTGACCAAAGTGAGGATACATCCTCTGACAACTGCCGGAATATAGACTGACTGGGGCTCTTGACAGTCCAAGAAAGGCGGCTTCAAAGACACTCGACCGGAAGAGATTCTTATGCATGTCTTGAAGCACACATATATTTCGACCAAGCTTGATCCGGCGCTTATTGAGGATATCATTGTGGGTAACGTCCTTCCGGCTTCTGGGGGAGCCAGTATTGCACGTATGGCTGCTCTTGCTGCCGGAATCCCCATAGAAACACCCATATCGACGGTCAATAGACAGTGTGCGAGTAGTCTTACAGCCGTCAACCAAATTGCGAATAGCATCAAGACTGGGCAAATCGACATTGGCATTGGTCAGTATTCGTTTATTCCTCACTCTACATGAAGGTGAACGCGTTACCCTCATTTCATAAGGCGCTGGAGTAGAATCCATGACATTCAGCTTTGGCTCAGCCGCAATCCCGGACGGATTCTCAGAGCTCGTTTGCGAAACTCCAGAAGCCGCAGACTGCCTCATTCCTATGGGTATCACCTCCGAAAACATCGCCACCAAGTATAACATCTCCCGTGAAACTCAGGACACCTTTGCCGCTCTCTCCTCTCAAAAAGCCGCTGCAGCGCAAAAGGCAAAGCTCTTTGAACCTGAAATTCTTCCTATCCGAGTCAAACAGAAATCTCCTGATGGCAGAGAACAGTACGTACTCGTCGACCACGACGATGGAGTGAGGGATGGAGTCACTCAAGAGAGTTTGGGCAAGTTAAAACCTGCATTCAAGAAAGATGGGTCGACGACCGCGGGGAATGCGAGTCAGGTCACGGATGGCGCGGCTGCGGTTCTTCTAGCTAGAAGGAGCGTGGCGAAGAAGCTTGGATTGCCAATCATGGGCAAGTTTGTTGTTGCGCATGCGGTCGGTGTACCCCCAAGGATTATGGGTGTTGGACCCGCATATGCAATTCCTCACGTAGGAAGTTTCAATATCTATTATTCGTGTACATCCCTGATACTCCCCGCTATGTTCTTTAGCTCCTCAAGAAGACCGGTCTTGAAATTTCCGACATTGACTTTTTCGAGGTGAACGAAGCATTTGCGTCACAGGCATTATGGTCTTGCGAGAAACTTGGTCTTACTTGGAACGAACCGGGGTTGAATGGCAAAGTCAACCGTTGGGGAGGTGCGATCGCTCTTGGACACCCTCTTGGATGCAGTGAGTATTTTTCTATGAGACCACCATCTTTCACCATCAGACTTGTATATGAACATTCGGATGGTCATATTCCCTTAATCAATCTTGTTATATATCTTCTCCCATCCATGCGGCCATTTACTGATTGATCCCATTCTTCCTACCTTTTCCTCAGCTGGCGCCCGCTTAATTACCACCGGTCTCAACATTGCCAAGCACAGTAATGAGAAGGTGTTTGTTACGAGTATAGGTAACTTCAGTGGAATGGGGGTAGCAGGACTTATTGTTAATGAGCAGTAACAAGAGGAGCTGAGAAAATAAAAAGATGCAATCATAGAGGGAATCTGGCGGCATAATTTATGCGCTGTGTCTCCAGCCACAATACTAGCTTAATACATCTACATTTCCGCGTCGTTGACTAATAATAAAACTGGACCCAGATAAATAGATAGATTGTTACACCCACCACGTTAATGGTGTGTCCCATAAACAGAACGGTCTCAATTCATCAAGTTTGAATTTCCCGACGACGCGACGCGTCGAGCACGCTATAATACACACGTGATATTTGATATGACTCACTCTACAATAAATGCAATGTGTTTTAACGTCCAACGCTTCTCTTTTGTCTTTCACAATGGCACGACGCTCTCTGCGAATCCAGGAAAAGAAAATCGTTTCGGACGAATCCCAGACACATGATGTGGGCCTTGTTCAAGGCTCAGACTCTATTCTAGACCGCAAACGTGCAAGAGAAGACCAAGAAGACCAAGAGTATGAGGAAGACCCTGACGATGGAGAAGAGGCTGTCCCAAAAAGGAAGAAGAAGAAATCGAAGAAGGCAGCTTCATCCAAATCGAACGTAGCTCTTTCTGGCCAGGATAAGCAGTCTTCTGGGTCCAGCACAAAGAGGCAACGCATGCCTGAGCAGTTCAGGAAAGTTCGAGGAAGATTGGGACTACTAGAGAAATTGGCGAAAGAAGTTCCATTGGATGTAATTCTTGAGGTAATTAATTATTGACACAATCTTCTACGCCACAGTAATAAATCTTTTCTTTGTTATATATTCAGATTTTTTGTTATCTTGAACCAGGAGATCTTCTACGTCTTGCGCGTACATCCAGAGACCTCCGTGATATTTTGATGAGTAAATCATCGGAGAGCATATGGCGTATTGCCCGTGAAACTGTGGAGCATCTGCCGCCTCGTCCAGACGATTTGAATGAGCCCCAATATGCTCATCTTCTCTTTGAGTCTTATTGTCACGTAAGTGCTTGATCCATTGAGTAAAACAAGACAGTTCTAATTTATCACAGATTTGTAGGCACTCTGGGCGTTGTGAGACTGTTCTCTGGAACTTTCGTATGAGGGCGTGTAAGAAGTGCGCGCTGGACACGTACGTTCCATGAACTTTTTTTTTGTGACCTGGCGTTCGTACAACCACTGTTTCCTGTCTTAGCTTTCCCCCCCATTGGGATCAGCAGTATACAAGTGCTCAGCCTTTGGCATTTCGTGAGAACAATATTCTTCCAACAGAGTCGATCAAGAGGACATGTCAGACTAACTCCTTGCACATCGTGTCATTGTTAACTCAAAAAAACTATCGCAGCGCATAGAAATCAACGAGTTGGTAACCTTGAAATCGCAAACCGATATAAAGCCGAATATGAAGCACTTCAAACCGAGGAAGACCGTAACGCTTGGATCGACCGCAAGAGGAAAGAGCGTCAGGTCATAGATGAAGTGAGATCAGTCATGTTTCAAACTATGCCTATTTCTCAATTAGTCCTACAGCATGCTCGTCTATGTGGACACTGGCACAATGCGAGGTTGAAAGATCGTGCTGGCGTACTGAGTGATGTGCGAAGAGAAAGAAAAGAAGCGTGAGCAGCCCTATTTCAGATGAATCCACGAAAGCACATACAGTTCACCACCAGGATTCTCAATCGACTTGAGGAAATTGGGTGGCGCGATGAAGCGGAGAAAATTATGTTCGGACCCTCCTACTATGATACGTTCAGCGACCACAAATTAGTCAAGCAGTCAAAGAAACTCACCGAACACGGTACGGAGAATGCGATCTGATCATTTTTTGGGAATTTTTCTGAGTGGAAATTCTATTTCAAGGGTGGAGGAGCATCAAAGATGAATTAGTGGAATTTCTCTCTGACCGCAAGGCTGAGCGCGTTGCCGCGGAACGAAACCGTATTCTATCTGCTCGCCTTGCTTCCATTGAGAAAGCGTTCAACAACATTCGTTCGGAATCGGACCTTCGAGAGCCTTTCCCGAGCTTGGGCGATATCTTCGTAGACAAGATTTTCGAAGCTTTAATCCGGGATACGCCTGAAAACGAAGATTTGAACGAGGAATTTTTCTACTTGAAACTATTGGAACATTTGCCTGGCATAATCGACGAATGGAGACCTGCAAAAATACAGGAACTTGTAGAGGTCATGCAAAAATCTCATCCCACGGCCACAGCCAATGACTTATATCTAGCCACGACGATCTTCGAATGTACAGGTTGCTATCAGCGTTCTCTCTTACACTATCCTCAAATGTTTTACCACGGGTGCTGTATGGAGAATCGCAATGCCGGATTTGCGCGTGGCCTTTGTTTCTGGCACGAGGGTCCATGGTCGTCTACTCGAATTGTTTTTAGCGATGCCCGTTCGGAAATTGCAAAGATAGTCGTTGAAGCGTGCTCCCTCGATCCTGCCACAGCGACGTTTGAAGACATGTGCGATGCTAATCCGCTCGCCGAATGTCAAACTTGCCAAGTTGATCCACAAAGTTGGGCAGGTGGTCGACTTTTCATGCGATGGCCACTTCAGGTGAGTAGTGTGATTTTAATCATAGTATCGTGTAACGCTACAGTGTTCTAGCTGACCCATAATTTAAACCATACACTCACCATAAACACTTTCGATGAACAAGAAACACGTAAAATTGTTGCCTGTGAACCGTCTTACAGGAGCGATGCTGATTCTATATGTTGTGCTCACTGCCATAAAACTCACCCAATCATGGCTATCGTGTCTCACCTAAAAGACCAGTGCGTACCACTCGCTCGATAGCCAGAAAAATTAACATTTTATTCCAGACACAGTGATGTAATTAATCTCACCGATTATGAAGATTCTCTAAAAGTTCAAGCACTTCGACCACATTGGTACTGGAATCCTTGTTTGCCGTTGAGACACATCGGCGACTCTTTCCGGTTCAAGGAAATCTCTCCACTTCCCACGCCTTCAATGACCTTGAATAACCTACTCTTGCTTTCGTATTAAGGAAGGACGGACAGCTATACATATTCGACAGGGTTTACATATCCCTTGACGCGTAATTGTTTGAAAATTCTATCAATGTACAGTACTGTAAAACATACAGTGGATCGTCTTTCTGCTGTCATTGTTCATGTCAATTTATCGACACATTTAAATCGACAACCGGCCGTGGATGACTTTGGATCCGGTTTGGATTGTCGCGGTCAGACTACGGTCGGATTTTAGAGCTTGTCTACGGTCGTCTTCCGATCATCAGCTTACCTAATCATTTCATCCACAATATATACGTGTACAATTCCTGGCTTAACCGGTTCGAAGCTGACTGTTGCATTAAGCTCTAGCTCACCGCTTGCGTCGCCCCTGCTCTGGTCTTTGGATTTGTCTCAAGGTTGTGCTGAACCTGGTTGTATTTCATTTGTACTCGGTCTTTGCGGCAACTTTCCATATAACAACATGAACACTGAACTGGAATACCTCAAATCCCTAGTCGCGCAACTCAATGATAAAATCCAAGCTTTGGAGGGGAAAGCTACCTCTTCAAAGCCTTCGCCTGCGGCACAACTTCGGACAATCCTAATGGGTCCTCCTGGAGCTGGTACGCTTTAATTTTGGTTACTTTCCGGACAAGTGATTAACTAGTGAATTTCCAGGTAAAGGAACACAGGCTCCGCTCATCCGCGACAAGTTCTGCGTATGTCACCTTGCTACTGGAGACATGTTGCGTGAACAGGTAGCCCGGAAGACCAAGCTTGGTTTGGAAGCGAAAAAGATTATGGACGAAGGAGGTCTGGTGAGTATTAGCACTATTTTAAACGTCGAATTGCCTTAGAGAAAAAAAATCAGGTCCCAGATGAAGTTATGGTTGGGATGATCAAGGGCGAACTGGATACTAACGAGGCGTGCAAAAACGGGTGAGCAACTGATTGGTACCGTTTGCACAGTCGCAAATCTAAGTATAAATGCAGTTTTGTCCTCGACGGCTTCCCTCGCACCGTTCCCCAAGCTCAGAAATTAGACGGCATGCTCGAGTCGCGGGGGGAAAAACTTGATTCAGTCATTCAACTCTTGATTGACGACAGTCTACTCATCTCGCGAATTACCGGAAGATTAATCCACCCAGCTAGTGGACGGTCGTATCATCGCGAATTCAAGTCAGTGACAATCTCTAGCTATCTTGTGCACTTGCCTATGACTGACATTTTCTAACCCGGGTCTTTCTTGACAGCCCACCCAAGAAACCAATGGTCGACGACATCACCGGAGAACCGCTGATTCAACGTTCAGATGATAACGTCGAGACATTACAAAAGAGACTGAAAACCTACCATTCCCAGGCGAGTCATCTCCCTTTTCTTGGTGCCCCACACATATTAGGCCTCCTCCTCCTTACCCATTCAAGTACTCGAGTGCTAACCGTCTTGGTGAATAGACTGGCCCTGTAGCAGAATATTACAAAGGTAAAGGCCTATGGCATGGTATTGATGCAGCTCAAAGCCCAAGTGTCGTATGGGACAATTTGCGGGGAGTGTTCCGCGGGAATTAGACGTCAGTAGACGGAGGGTGTCTCCACTTCTATTAGACTTACAATATCATCTGCAGTAGAGGCTGTCTAATTTCGAAATGATACCCGCTAGCCGCATCACAAACACCTTCGGTGGATCCTATCACCGATGAAAGGAGCAATCGCCAAAACAATCAGGGAACATGGACAGCCAACAAGTTACTCAGGTCTAACCAGGACTCGAACCTGGGTTATGGGAAATACGGACTGTCAAAATCCCATGTGATAACCTCTACACTATTAGACCTGTGCACACCACTGTACATGTTTACAGACATTCCAGATCTCTTCAACTGGAATCTGTTGTTATTGTATGTAGGCTGGTGGAAGCTCATTCAATGCTTGTTCTTCTAACCGCCTCAATCGTTCCAATATATTGATCATCCCATCCCGCACTGATATATCCGTTGGGGCGTTCAGGAACGCCTGATGAAGGGAGCGAAGTTCTTCGCGTGCCCCTTGTGTTTGTTTCCGCAAATCCGCTCGGGTGGGCTCTTCAAAATGGTAGCCATTCGCCGCCTATATACAAGCAGACGTCATTCAAATGTCAGACACAAGGGAAATATGGCGCCAACTCGTACATCTGATATCGAGTTTTCAGTGCTCGTCTGACCACCAGCAGAAGGAACTACATGAGAAGTTAAAGGAGGAGGATCTTTCCGGATTGGTGGCACAGTGACAATATACGGCCGAGGTCTTGTATAAAGCGAGCTATAGTAGATGCTTCATCAACGTTCAACCTTGATAGCGACGTTCGGCCTAGTCATACTCACCCCTCAGGAGATCCACTGGCCTTCTCAATGTCCAATATCGACCGTGAACGACGTTGCCGTCGAAGCAACCAGAATATCAAGATCACAAATAGACATCCGATTAAGACTCCCGCGATTGTGCCGCCGACAATTACTCCCCAGTGATGATTTTCGGGAAGTCGTTGTAGTAGAAATGGTACCTGTTGGTGACATAATAGAATTCGAGGTCGGCGGAGTTGCCGATGTAGTTGGTAAGAGCGTGATTTCATTTGGCGTGCTTGTAACAGTTGCTGCCACTCCAAGCACAACAGGAGTAGGTGCCCCAGTATCTGTTTGGGTTGCATCGAAGCATTCGCCTATGTCTGAGCTAACGAAGTTACATCGGATTTCAGTACCTGGACCGAAACCCTCGATCCATCCGGAGGCGGAAGCAACAATAGTTCGTAATACTACGGTGAGAGTCACTCTTTAATATGCATTTTTATCTGGCGTTGCGGAGGAATAAGTACGAGCACTCACCAGATGTAACAGAGACTGTGAGCACAGGAGAATCGTGTTCGGTCACCAACGTTGTGACAGGATCCAGAACTTCATAAAGAAATGTAGTCGACAGTCCATCGCTGGGGGTCCCGATAGGGTGTAATGGGGCAGTGAACTCTCCGCCTGCCAAACGATGCGCCCCAAACTGCCAGAGTGTCACATGAATACTTTGAGCAAAAGTCCTTTCTAGAGAAAGTAGAAAATGCGACCAAATCTTAGAGTTTGCCTTTATTGAGGTTTGAAAATGCCCTTACAGACCTGGTACTTACCACCACATGACGCAAATATTGCGGAGAGGAGAAACAATGGAAACATCAGCAAGAAAGAGCAAATGCGGGGTTGTATTGAAAGATTTGCGAAGGAATGGTGGTGCTCAGTGTTGATAGAAGGAGGAGAAACGAAGAAATCATGATCGTTCTATGGGATGTATGATATATCTATCCTTCTAAGAGATGATGGTTACTCGCTGATGATCACCCTGTTACTGGAGAAACGATTGGAGGTGACTTCGTCCGTTCATCCGTTGTACTCGGCGCGGTTGTGGTGTTGGAATACAGAAATCAAGCCTCCTTGCGGAAAACACAATATTGAATGACCGACAATCTGTGAATACTTTATCACGTCGAGATACCATTTAGCCACATAGCTGTGCCCCTCTACCGTAACAGTGGAATTCCCCATACAGGAAAGAAATTTCCAGATACCTGGAAGTATTGAGGCAAACTCTTGTTAAGTATATCTCATAGATCAGTCGGCGACGAGGTCCCACCAATAAAGAAAAGAGAAAATTGCTACTTGCAATACTTCCGCGGTTGCACTGAGCAAACTTGAGGAGGATATACAAGTTCAGTATTGAAGCCATGAATATTAATATTCTTAGAGTATCATGCTACGTACAAGTTCGAACTCTCTCTATTCCTTTTTACTCCTCTTCTCTTCCTTGGCCTCTCCAGCTATGTAGATCGCGCAAAACACGAGGAACCCAACGCTCGTACTTATTGCACCTGCATAATAAGGCCACGCAGCGCTCAAGAATCTAGGGTATCCATCGTGTCGTGGTGGGACTACGGGAATACTTAGTGTGTGAAGTAAGTGGGTAAAGCCCTTGCGTTTGTAAGAGATGACGAATTTGAACACGCCGTGTCGGTCTGGAGCACGGAACGTTGTTGAGTATACACCTGATGGGAGTTGTGTTTCATGAGAATGTAACTATGTAACGAGGGGAAGGAAGGAAGGAAAACCCACCTGATTTTCCACTAACGGGAGGCAGTGCAATCCGAACGTGAGGGTCAAGCATTGTGAATTCAAGCTGCAAATCCTTCAATCCCAAATAAGGTTCCCATTTTTTAGTTGAAGGATTGAACGAGGAGATACGGGTGGTGTAGACCTATTGGAATATGAATCGCTGGCAGGTAGTGGTTGTAGCCAAAAAACGCACAATCTCATCGTTGTTAGTATACATCTCTACCGGTCCCGTCTGGTTGACTTTGTGATGAGTAACCTCATCGATCCTCAGCACTCCTCTCTCCTGGAATGCCCAGCCTGCAATCTCCAAAGCAGCCTGCGTGTTTCCTGAGGGGTTTTCCACGACCTTCATCCCTCGCTCCTGTTGAACCTTTTCGACGACCTTCTTAGTGGCAAACTCATCGGAGAAGAGAGATGATCCGCCAACCCAGACCGCACGGGCTTGATTGTCTTCTCCTAGACCAGCGTCAGCACCATGGCCGGTGCCTCCGCCAATGAGAGTCTGGAATCCAGCAACGACGGAGAGAGAGGAGCCGGCCCACAGGCCTTCCCCGCCTTTTTCAGATGCATCGGCAAGCGCGTCAGACACCCGACCGCTAGCGTCACTTAAATCGGCAGCGAAACTTTCGAGTGGGGCATGGAGAATAGGAAAGAGGAGAGGGTTAGAGTTCAATGCGAACGCTGTCCCAGAAAACCACACTTTTCCAGTTACCTGAGAAGACAAGACGGAGAACGTGTCGTTGGGAATAGATTGGTGGGATACGTCGATTGGGATAATACTTGGAGAGTCAGAGCGCTCTGGGAAAAAGCTGACTAGTGGGGTTGCCGGTGGTGGGAGAAGCAGAGAGAACTCTGGAGCGAGGGACGTAAGCAAGTTTTGTTTCAAACCGAGAGTTAGAACGAGGTTTGTGCCAAGGGAGAGAAGTTGGACGAGGGCTTGTGGACTGATATCTTTCGCGAAATCTAAAGATGACGCATGAGTTCGAATGCGGTATAATAGAGCAGACATGGTACGAACTTTTGGTGTCAGAGGCTAATAAGACTACATGCGAAAAGTTTGGTAGACCGGCTTCAATAAGTAATGGTTGTTCCTCCTTGGGTGCACGAATTGTCACCGTGTACCCCTTGTCTTCAACCAGATCAGCGACCCTCGAGGTATTATTTTGCATAATTCACCTTCAAGTCCGTTAAGAAATATACTGTACTCTGCCTTCTTTGCCGGCTCGAGGATGACCAGTACCGAGTCACCAGTGCTTGACGCAGACTTTCCTGCACTGCTTAAATGAACCAATGTAGCGATAGCTACCAGAAGTGTAAAGAGTGAGCAGGAGAATGAAAAAATGGACTGAGAACGCGTCCTCATCTTGGTCCAGCGATGAAATGGTATTGGAAATACGTGTAAGTTCGCGTCCCACGAACCGTGTCGTGGCATTGCTTGTTGATGTTAAGATTAGATGGTGTCAAGTTGATTACTCAATGCTACTCAATGTATCTTGAAAATGTGCATCCGGTCAAGCTTGAAGCTTGAATCCGCGAGTGTAGTTTAATTGCAAGCATCTAGCGAAATATTTAGGAATACATAGGTAAACGTGTAAATTAAGAGACGACCAATATTGGTTCGTCAAAGATATATACATGTGACTTTTAGCTCTTTAGATTTCGCCTACCAACCCAAAATAAATACCCCATCCGAGCACAAATTATTAATCCGACTTGGTCTTTCCTTCTCTTGCTGCCCTCGCCTGCATCTGGACTTCCAGCAGCGGGTCTAAAGATGCGTCAGGGTGTCGATACGAACTTCCTGCACGGTCCATCCAAGTGAAATACTGCCCGTAGTTGACCGTAAAGTAGATGTGGTGTAAGGTATGATGAGCAGGACCGTTGATGACTTTCTCGAGTGGATTTCCAGTTATCATGTCCGAATCATGAATCTGCAAAGTATAGAGGGATTGAGCTCATGAATTCGAGGATTTCTCGAAGTGAACCACTTACAAAAATGGACCAGAAATTGACCGCGACAAACAGTCCAAGGAATAGGAGTCGATGGATAGGAAAGAGGACTGCATATAGATGATAGGGCACAGACTGGAGGTATCCATCGACAGGGTGGAACGCGTGTGATGCGAATGGAGTAGGGACTAGAGAACGAATAGGTCAGACCACTGAAATAATAAAAATTCTATCAGCGAATGACTCACTGATCCATTTGTGATGCAGCTTGTGCAGAGGCTTATACAGCAGCGGATGATGTAACAAACGGTGAATCCAATAGATGCAGCTGTCGGTGAAAACCAGGAACCACACTGCGCTGAACACCATGTACACAGCACTTCCCCATCCACCGAAGTCGCCTATCAGGCTCATATCCATATCGTCCACATTCGTGTATAACCTGGACCATCCACGAACTTCACCCAAAAACCACGGCAGTGTCAACAGCGTCATAAGAGGGAAAGCCTTCAAACTAGTCCGAATTTCCTTCCTGACTTGATTAGGCAGGAATCGAGGATGTAACATCATGTCGTGGTTGAAGATGAAATAATACGAGAAGGAAGCGACGAGGAAATAGAGGAGGTGTATCCCGATTAAGGTCAGAACACTCAAGGAGAGGATTTGTCGTGGCATATATGACCGTGGCCAAGCGGAAAGTGTACTTTCTACTGTTGTTGACGTGACATTAAACCCTGTACCTTCAAATGGAAAGGCAGCTAGCGGGAAAAGTTTTTGGTAAGCCGCGTCAAAGAAGTAGGTGTCTGCGATATCGAGTATGAGATCCATTGGGGTCTTTTCGGATTGACTGAAGTTAGTTCAACCCCGGTACCGCTGTTTTATTTAGCAGGTCAAAAAATAAAGTGGCACCATGATTCTTGAAAAAAAATGATGCCTGCCGGAACGATAGTTCCGATAAGCGCCTAAGCATCCCAAACGCCTTACTTCCAGACTCGTTCTCGACGCCCTTGTCGATGTCTCTACTGTTCTAGCCTAGTTCAAATCGACCACAATGGTACGACAAAAACTTCGAAACCTTTGAATAGCACTCATTCGCTACTTCAATTTGGCCTTGAGGATATCCTTCGATATACACCATGCTACACAGGAATCGATGAAATTAGATCAAGGTTCTTCCGGGGTTCTTCAGAATCACACACGATGGATGGCATATATACCATAAACCTATGATAGTTATGTGGCTGCAGATGCGAGTGGTACAAAAATTTCAAGAATGGCTTTCGGTGACATTCGGTCGCTGTTGCTTTATCTCAAGTTCCTTAAGGCACTTACATCGGATAAAGGCCATGGTACTCAATGGCAGGAACTACATTTGGTTGTACTCAGACTAAATGCTCCTGGGCCAAAGGTGAAATGAGCCTAGGAGGACTATTCACGCATAGGATATTCAGGTCAACCGTTGTCAACCGTGCGTATGTTTCTATGATTTCGATCTCCCGGCAAGTTTCCTGTTGACTGATTATCATCCAGTATGTACATAATCAGAATTTTGCTCCATTCCAAGGATATACAACTCGGCATTCTCCGCTCCTCTTTCGTCTCCTTTCGTGCAAATGAGAGACTTTCAATAGATGCCAAATCGCCAATGTCTTTTATCCACCTTCCATAGTAAAGCCTCAAATGACTACATACCTGGAAATCTCAAATGTTCTGACTTTTCGGCAATGTTGACCTCAGAGAAGCGTCTATACCCAGTCCATAACCCAATGAGCGCATTGTACAGTCTCTTTGAAGTCAGGTCGTCTTGTACATCTTCATATCATAGAGAGAGAACTCAGGCCAAGCTTCCTTTGCTATTGGCTCCCTCAAGATTCAAGAACCCAGCAAGGACGCAGTGTAGCATACTTAACATGCATTCGCATGTACATGTGAGCCTCCTTCGTACTGCTCTCGGGGGCCTTAAACCCCCTCCAAAAGTCTAGGCTCAACTCACATGGGGTACTCGCTTCGAAATCTTAGTTCGAGGGTCTGTCAGTGCTGGTGTCCCTCCATAAATTGTAGGGAGCATGCACAACCTGAGTATACTAGTACGTTGGTATGAAAATAGAGACACAAATGGGCCGAATCCGAGTCGATCGACTCAAGGTATCTACCAGTGTAAATCGCGCACACTACCATTTTCAAAGAATCTCATTGGTTGAAAGAAGATATTCAATGGATACTCAACGTCAACGTCAACTTTGCTTGGTCTTGGATAATTGCCTCTGGTATAGAATACGCGGACATAGATTCGCTATTGGTCAATACTATGATTGGAATCGGGCAATAGGGCTCATCAGATGCAGCCAGAGTCTTTCGAAGTCCTCCCGCATTTTTTCACATATGGGCCAGTCCAACAGATTCAATTGGGTCAGCTCCTAGCCCAACTACATAGCGAGTATAACCATATGCTCGCTCCTGTCAAATCGGCGAAAAGATGTAGCAGCCCTAATTCTACATAGTCGCTGTTCGCCGCCCGTGTTGTTGCCCCTGAGGCAGACTTAGGCCTCAGGGTATGATCACGAACGCTAAAAATCCTTAAGTGCGTAGTGCGACTTGAATTGTGCTGCTTCGTATTCATTCTTGTTCCAGGTCCATAAGAACTGAGACTCCACAACACATGGCTGGATATACTTAATATTAATCTGAGAGGGTAACACCCCTTATGTGATGTTCAGTACGTACCACACAAGCTTGTACATGTGTCCGATGTCTGTATGTACATATCCTTCGAGGCTCAGAAACCACAAGTCGATGCACTTGGCAGAGGTATAAAGTGCGGGGGTTGGGCTAGCTTCAATCCCCCATCTTGCTGGTCGAGTTTTCATTGCCTTACGCAGTCGGGTGAAAAAAAAGAGAAACTCCATCTCCGTCTGGTTGTATTCGCCACTCCCTCGACCATATCATTTCCCTCCCTATCTTCTTTTACATTGTCTAGCGCTTGCTATGTATTTCAAGGATTTTATAGCCATATATTTATCCCTCGGGATCGTCATCAGTGCTCTGGGTGCTCCGGTAGGTAATCTTCATAAACGAATGCTTATTTATCGTTCAACCTCTTCATCTAGGTCGAGACCACTATGCTGATGGAAGCTCGCTCCGGCAGTGCAGCAGCCAGTGAAATCGATTCTCAAAAATTGGATGGTGCCACTGTTCGCTGGGTTAGTCAACCTGCTCTGGTTCTTACGAATTATATTCTGTACTAAGGACCTTCCTACATGTCTAGGACGAGCGTCGTGAGATGGAGTCACGCTCTCCTAGCCTTGGTACAAATTCCATTGACCCTCGGAAATTGCCCTCCCTGTCCCCCTACAACACTCCTCATAATGTTGATCAAACACCCACTGTGAGGCCCACTCGGTCTGTATTCCGTGTCTCGTTCGAAGAAGGAACACAGGAAGCGCAACTTGGGGGCATTATGATCGCACAGCGTGCCCATAGTTTTGTGGAGACTGCCGCAGATCAGTGGCGGCTAGGAGATATAACAATACGTACCGAACACTATCCAAATGTCCCCTCGGACTGGGATCGTGCAACAATCGAAGCTAAAGAGTTCAAATTCAAGGTGGTAGGTGGTCCTTGCGGGGAGACGGGGGCGGGATGCGAAGGAAAAATTCACCTTGGGGGAGTGTCAGAGCTGAGGGATATCCATGGTGACGTCGTTCCCACTTGATCGCTGAGGGCGTCCCGAGTTCGAAGACTTCAGATTGTATGTAGTCCACACTGGTGTATAGTCACAATATGGTAGTAGCACAGAGTATACAGTGTTCTGTGGAGTCTCTGTTTCATAGGCATCATTTGAAGTTTATACATCCATCTTACACCCTCTTACACTGTACCATTTACCACATTCATATAGCGTCTCTGATGAATTGTATTTTCATTTTCCGGTTGAATTCTGTGAGGTATTGGCGCTGGAGACGAGGAGAAAGCCACAATCAGGACTGAGACAGAAATGGATTTGTTGTGTGCAGCTTGTGTGCCCAGTCAACTTCATGAAGATATGCATGTTGTAGTAAACACCACATACTAGCATATAAGGGCATGAATGTTATGTTTTCGCAGAGAATTCGTGCATCGCAACGGTATTGAGAATTAAATGTACATTGCCTGCCATTCACGAGGAAGTCACTGTTGATCTCGAACCCGTTATAGACACAGATATTTGCATACCGATTCTATCCTCCGAGCTCACGACTGGAATTGGGCCTCTCCGCGGCTGTCCTCGCGAGCTTTAACGCATGTATCAACATCAGTGGCATCCGTCACAACCGCCTTCAGGAAGGAGAATCGGATGAGGAATTTCATGTACCATCAAGGTCATGCAATACATCTGGTAGCACCGGGAAGGTACCCTCATAGTGGCCAATACGGCACGTGCTTAGTGCACGGACCTCTATTACGCTTTTCAGTCTATTTGAACTTTGAGCATTCCTAATCGAATGCGTCTGCTTTCCTCTAAACTATCATCCTCTTTTTTGTCTCGTCTCAAGACATCAAATTGCCCCCCACTCAAATTGATTCGGACGGCTGGAATGGCCATAGAAACAACATCGTGGCGACGCGTCACCCCGACCCAAGCAGGAATTCCTCCCTTCTCCGTTTTCACAAAACAAATACAGAAATCACCTCAGGACGATAGGGAGTACAGAATAATCGAACTCGAAAATGGTCTCAAGGCCGTTTTGATCCACGACGGTAAAGCTGATAAGGCTGCAGCTAGTCTTGACGTCGCAGTGGGGCATTTGTCAGATCCGGTGAGCGATCAACTTCTTTTGTTAAAGTTTTATTAAAGGAATCATTCATGATAGGATGATATGCCTGGACTGGCTCACTTTTGTGAGCATTTGTTGTTTATGGTGAGCAACCTTTACTTTCCTTGTGAACATGTCTTACCCGCCATCAGGGCACGGAACAATTCCCGAAGGAAAACGAGTATCAGGAAGTCAGTCGTTCTTTTTCAAAAAACACGAACTTTTCCTGATCGAACTCTAGTACCTATCTAAGAATAACGGCGGATCCAACGCGTACACTGGTGCCTCAAACACAAACTATTACTTCAGCGTTGCCACATCCGCGCTACCTGGAGCGCTCGCGCGGTTTTCAGGATTTTTCCACTCTCCGCTATTTTCGCCTTCGTGTACATCGCGTGAACTGAATGCTGTTGACTCGGAGCACAAAAAAAACCACCAACAAGATTTGTGGCGAATTTTTCAGCTGACTAAACATCTCAGCAAACCAGGCCATGTTTGGAGCAAGTTTGGTAGCGGAAACAGGGAATCTTTAAGTCAGGCCGCCAAGGACCTGAAGGCGAAGGGAAAATTACCTCTGGAGAATGGAAACTCAACCTCGGCGTCTACTTTGAGCGTTAACTCATCCCCTATATCATCGAGAATTGCGTCTCCTGCGCCGTCTGTATCGTCGACCAATAGCGAAGCAGAGGCGGACGGTGGGGCGATCGGGAGGGAAACAAGAAGAAGGGTGGTTGAGTGGTGGGGTCAGGAATACTGTGCTAGCAGAATGCATCTTGCAGTGCTTGGAAAGGGTGCGTGTATAGGACATATGAAGACTCAGCTCACCCCTTCACTTAGAATCCTTGGATGACCTTGCTGAACTCGCTTCAAAATTCTTTTCACCGATTCCTAACCGTCAGGTGGACCCTTTGCCTATGATATATGATCATCCTTTTGGTCCATCCCAGAAAGGCGTAAGTCCCTTCACTCCATGCTGAAGGAACCATTGCTTATTGACATTTATCTTGCAGACGTTGCTCTCTGTGCAAACGATCATGACATTCCATGCTGTGGATATTTATATCCCCATTGAATATCAAGCTCCTTACTGGAGGCACAAGCCGGGTCAATTCCTCGCACACTTGATTGGACACGAAGGCCCAGGATCTGTCTACTCGTACCTCAAGAGTAAAGGATGGGTTACCGGGCTGAGTTCCAGTCCTTCACCCCTTGGTCGAGGTTTTGATACATTCAGGATTACGATAGAGTTGACAAAGGACGGTTTCAGTAAGCTTTTTCACTATCTTCGCCGTATTCCATGCTTACCTTGTTGATGACATAGAGAACTACCGCTCTGTCATCCTTACCGTTTTCAAATATTTTTCGCTTTTACGTTCTCGCGACTTCGATGCCTACCATCAACGAGAAAGCGCGATACTTTCTGATATCCGTTTCAGATTCCTCGAGAAGCGAAAGCCAGATCAGTATGTTTCTAATATCGCAGAGCGGATGAAGAACCCTTACCCTCCCGAACTTCTGTTGGCTGCTTCGTCTGTTACTTGGGAATGGGGTGACGAATTTCCTGGGGCGAGTACAGCAGGTAAAGAAACTGTAGACGAGATGCTTAAACGGTTCAAGCTTGAGAATGGGATGATTGTGTTGATGGCAAAGGCGGAAGAACTAGAGGCCGTACTTGGTCTTAGCAAACAGGACGTCTGGGAGAAGGAACCCTGGTATGGGACACAATATCGCTTTGAGCGTTTTGATGAAGATTTTCTACGACAGGTAAGTAGTGCTACAATTGCTGAGTCTCGACACTCATCGTGCTTGTAGACCTCAGCTCCAAATGACCTCAACGAGCTGTTCCTCCCTGGAGTGAACGAATTCATTCCCACAAATTTGAATGTGGACAAAGGGGACCATATTGAGGTGGTTACTATCCTCTATGTACTTTACGGTTCTTCCTTCCTTTGACATTATTTCTGCTTAGCCTGTTAAACGCCCTCGTCTAATCAGGGAAACACCACTATCTACTTTATGGCATAAGAAAGATGACCGCTTTTTCGTCCCGAAAGCTCACGTCTTGATTGATCTACGAAGGTGTGTCCGTTTCGATCGAACAGTCGACCGTTAAACCGAAATTATCCATTAGCCCTGTCTCGAACTATTCTGCAAGATCAGCTGTGTTAACACGGTAAATATAGATGTTCAGTCCGTTCAGCAATCTCAATAATGATTAACATGTACAGTTTGTTCACGGACCTTGTCACTGACTCTCTTGAAGAGTTCTCGTACGATGCAGCCCTTGCCAGTTTGTCATACAGTTGCACCTCGCATACGAAGGGATTATACGTCAGTCTCCAAGGATACAATGACAAAATGCCCGTGCTGGTTCAGCACGTCCTAGACAAGGTCAAAACTTTACAAGTCCGTCCTGATAGAATGCGTGTTGTGATAGAACAGGTGCTCAATTTCAGAATAACGGGCTCTATGACCTGCTGATGATTGTTCTAAATGTAGAATAAACATAATTGGGAGAATTTTTTCCTCGGACAATCGTATCAACTCTCAGAATACTACGGGCGATATCTCATGACGCAAGAGCAGTGGACAGTAGACGAGTATCTGAAGGAATTACCGAGTGAGCTTTTCGCAAGTTACGACCTAACTAGCGGATGTTGTTTAACCAAATGTATGAAGCAATTTCGGCGGAGGAAATCAACGAGCATGCGAAAAATATCCTGTCGGATGCCAAATTGAGGATTCTCGTTTCCGGAAATGTGTACAAGGATGTTCGTCTTTTGGTGTTAGATTGTATGGAGTGAAAGTTCAATATTCTTATAGGAGGCTATCAAGATTGCAGAAATGGCCGAAGCTGGGTTGGGTGCCTCAGCTACTTCTCACTCTGATCTCAATGATCGCGCCTTGATTCTACCCCAAGGTACTGTGATATCTTGTATTTTCCAAATCGGTGATCAGTGAACTAACGAGTCGTACCGTAGGATGTAACTTGATCAAGATAGGAACTATTCCCAACCCCAACCAAACCAACTCCTCTCTTACATACTACGTTCACATTGGGTCTGTCAGCGACCGTCGCCGTCGTGTTGTCGGTGCCCTGCTCACTCAAATCCTTACCGAGCCTGCATTCAACATTCTTCGAACGAGAGAGCAACTGGGATATGTCGTGTTTTGTGGATATTGGACTTTATCTGGGGCAAGTGAAAAGGGTATTAGGATCGTTGTGCAGAGTGAGAAGACGCCTGGATATCTGGAATCACGGGTGGAGGCCTTCTTGGAAGAGATGAAGACTAATATCGAGGCGCTGACACCGGAGATGTTTGAAGAACATAAGTCGAGCTTGGATAAGAAATGGAGAGAAGATGAGAAGAACCTTGCAGAAGAGGCTTCCGTTTTCGCGAGTCAAATCAACAGTGGACATCTAGATTTCTACAGACGTAAGTCATCAAAAATTTTGTCTGACGCGGAATCCTGACAAAAGTCATCTTTCCTAGATATCACGGACGCGAACACCCTGAAGAATGTCACTAAAGACGAAGTCTTCTCCCTCTTCATGTCGCAAGTACACCCGTCATCCAGAACCAGATCAAAGCTTTCAGTTCAAATGCGCGCGCAGAATATCAAACCTAAACGAGTCAGTGCTGCCGCATCTGAGGCTTTCGAAGCGCTTGTTCGTGAAGCTGGTGTTGAGACAGTCGCAGGGGCTTGGAAGGAATCGATTCCAGACGAGAAGCCGATGGTCGAGGATTTCCAAAAGTACTGGAGTGAAGTATTGGCGAATAACGAGCGAAGCGAGGACTTGATAGAGAGTATATCAAGGCTTGTGCAAGCGCATCCTGTGGAAGGCGAAGGACAGGATCCTCCCCGATCGGACGCGACATACATTGGGGACATGAAGCAATTCAGAGCCAGTTTGCAGCCATCGGAAGATTTAGGTGTTATGGTCGAATGGGGAGATTTACCAGTGTCGAAATTTTGATTATTGCTTACAATGTACTAATTTTTCCTTTGTTATCTTGTTATGCTTTGAATGGCTTGCTTCGTCTTATGCGAACTGTGGCTGCGATATATAATTTCTCCTCATTACACCGCTTGAAAAGAGTAGTCGATACAATGTGCGCAAATAATAATCAGAGAAAACGAATGGGTGAAGAATGGCAGTGCAGAAATACAAGTACCCACTCCAGCCAAAGTTAAAGGTAAATTCGAGAGCGAGTGCAAAGCAAAAACTATCCGGATCTAATTGGAAAACACATTGTGCACCTATTTCCTTCTGGCTTCCTTGGCGCGAGGAGCTGGCTGAGTGGGCGGAACGTAGTCTTTGGGTCGTCTAAAGAGTAGAACGTGTGGCTCAGGTACTGTGATGGAGGAGATGTAAGAAGATGAAGAAGTAAAGTCGGTATACTCGTACCATGAACCTCGTAATGCTCCCAACCCAAACTCTGTTGTATACCAAGTGATCGCCATTCTTTATCTTCCAATAGCCTTAGTGCGCCCGTCCGCTGATCCCAGTAGTTTTCTGGTATGTATTTGAGCAGTTGTTTGGGTAAGATAACGTGTCGATATTCGAAAATGTCATCTGTGTATCGATCTGAATAGTTTATCCTACAAAATGATAAATCTCCGCGTAGCCTGTATTGATCAAAAATTACTTACTTGTCAAGTATCTCTTCGAGTTTTTTCTGTTCTGCCTGACGCTTGGCGGCTTCTTCGGAGGATTCTGGAACTGCCGACATGAAGAAGTGTAAGATGTTGAGAGCCGAGCTGCGTTACTTCCTACATCACCTGACGATGTCACATTCACGCGTTTGTCACTACCACGGTTTTTTGGCGTCTTCCACTTTTGCTCTCACCTGCCTATCGCGTCATGGACTATGAGCTTGAACCATACTACGAAGACGAAGTCGGACATCAGTTTGAAGATACGTATGGGGATGATACGGATCAACCTCACCAGCCTGCCATGCAAAACTACATCATCGACGGAATATCAGACGACGGTGACTTAACAGACGAATTTAGTGAGTATATGCACAATCATAATGTTTCCCTTGACTTAATACTTACACAGTGAACTCTTCTCCTTCGCCGCAAGAGAAATTCAGCTCTGCTAGACAACGATATCCCCAACAGTATCAGTCATACAACCCAAATCAATCTTATACGGATCAGTCTAGAATTTCGTACCAACTCAACCCTCCCATCTACAACCCGTCAAGTAGAACATTTCGTGCCCAACTCGCAGCTCGAGCAACACCGCAGACCTACAATCAAAATCAAGGTCTCGTCTGTCTGGGGAATGCCCTTCTTCTTCTTACTTACTTGCCGATTATAGCTCCAGTTCATCCTCCGTTTGGATCGCAAAGAACTCCATACCCTATACACACCACCCAAGCTCAGTACATGCAGTCTCATACTCCAGGGCCCTCACATTGTGAAAATACCATGATTCATAATCCAGAACAAGCAGTTCAGTCTCAAGGTTATCAACCGCGGAACTCTCAGAAGCTTTCTTTGCGTCCCGTCTCGGATCTTCGTGAGCGAAATACGTGCGTGCATTGTGCCAGAATCTCATGCGATCTCAACAGCGGATATGTACCGAGGCCTATTCAAGTTTGGCGTGTTTAATGCCGTGCAGTCTTCTTGTTTTGACGGAGTGGGTTTGGTTTATGTGTTATCTTCGAAGTTCATCACCCTGATAGAATCCTGCAGGTGTTCCATACCAAAGAGAACATGGTAAAAGCGCTGACACCCTGTGCTCACAGTTTATTGATGTTTCTTCAGGTTATCAGCGGTAATCCTGGATCCTGTCGCTCTGTCATCTTTGAATCATGACTTCAATTTTTCAGCGCCTACTGGAAGTGGAAAGACTGTCTTATTCGAATTATCCATTATCAAAATGTTGTCCGAAGCTCGAGAAACCGGACAATCAGTAAAAAGTATTTATGTAGCTCCAACCAAGGTGCGTCTTCGAATCAGCGTTGTCACAGTTCCATATATTTTCTTTACAGGCACTCTGTTCAGAAAGATACAGAGATTGGGCGAACAAATTCGAACCGCTAGGGATCAAATGTATGAAACAGCTTTCCCCCTAGAAACGATCTCAATGCATACTCAGGCTGCGAGCTCACCGGCGACACTATCCACTTTGGGAAGAGTGCGTGGGGTGATGCAAAAAATGCTACTATAATGTAATTTCCCATTCGTCGTCCGCACACTAAGCCTTCTCGTGAACACCATTTAGTATTACCACGGTAAATTAAAACCCTACACTACAAGTGAGCAAAGACTCAAGGTCTCGAGTAGGGGGAAAAGTGGGACAGTCTGACCAGGAACTGGTATGTAAACAGTGTGGCTCGTGGCGTTTTATTTTGATGCTTCTTTTAGGGATGATCATCATCATCAACTATCGCAAATTCAACTTTTTTTGGTCGATGAGGTACAAAAAGCACGATCTTGCTGTCTTATTTCTACAAGATTATCAATTCCTTTCCTAAGGTACACATTCTCAACGAAACCCGGGGAAGTACACTCGAAGTCGTAGTATCACGGATGAAGTTAAGAGGCACAGCGGTTCGATTTGTCCTCGTTTCCGCAACTGTACCCAACATCAAAGACATTGCAAGTTGGATCGGCAAAGATGCTCAGCATGGCTCCGCTCAAGTATATGAGGTGCTGAATCCAGATAAGACAATGGTCGGCTATATTGCTGATTAAGATTTTAGTTTGGAGAAGATTATCGGCCGTGCAAGTTGATTCGCCACGTCGTGAGCTTTCCTCGATCCAAAGGCCAAAGCGACTTCGTATTTTCAAAGAATCTGGATTACAAATTGTTCCAAACCCTGCAAACATATTCGGTAGGCAAGCCAATCTTGATTTTTGTATCGACGAGAAAAGGCAAGTGGTCTCCACAGTTCGCTCAACTGAATGCATCAATAAACAAGAACAGGTGTATTCTCTACAGCAGAGCAGCTATCGAAAGATCACAATGAGGCCGCAGCCAAGAAACAGTCGCTGCCATGGACGCGTCCTGGACGGTGATTATGTTTAAAACCTTGCAAAAAGAACGAACTTGATTTCCCTCGAACAGTGTTGACCGGATTTTTGACGACAAACGTTTATCAGGTTTGTACTCGTGATTGTCTCTTGGATGTACTGTTGAAATAACCTTGGGCGCACTTAGAGTTTGCTTCTTTGGGCATCGGTGTTCATCATGCGGGATTGACCCCAAACGACAGGCGCACAATCGAAGAGCTTTTCTTGAACAAGATCCTTCGTATTGTTATTGCGACTACTGTGAGTTCACGGAGCATATATACATACTTCAAATTCATGGTGTCGTAGACGCTCGCCGTTGGAGTAAACTTGCGTGAGCCTGTACCCTTACCTGGATTGAGTAAATGATCTCAGTGCATAGAATAGCTGCACACACAGTTATCATCAAAGGCGTTCATACATTCCAGAACAGCTCTTCTGTTGAATACTCTGATCTTGATGTCATGCAGATGCTGGGTCGTGCGGTAAGTGATGCACGACATTACCCAAAGATTCACTTCTAACTTTGTTTCCTAGGGACGACCTCAGTTTGGTCAGTCATGGGTCTCTATTATTTCACAGTCGGAAGCAACAAGCGCTAATGTGTGATCCAGACAAGGACGGAATAGCTATCATTATGTGTGAATCAGAACTCGAAAACAAGTATCGGGCTCTAGTTCAAGGCAAGACCATTGTCGAGAGCTCGCTTCACCTGAATCTATCCGAGCATCTCAACTCTGAGATTGGGTTGGGGACGATTACCAATGTAAACTCTGCGAAAGAATGGCTCAAGAGCTCGTTCCTGTTTCAGCGCATCCAAAAGAATCCGAATCATTATTCATTGGGAAAAGATGAAAATCAGACATGGGAAGAGAGGGTTGACGATATTGTCATGCAGAGCGTAGAGAGTCTCCGCAACTCTGAACTCGTGAGCAGAGAAGATGGGAGCGACGCTATTATATGCACAGAGTACGGGGATATTATGAGCAAGGTGAGTGATTCAGTAACCCTCGTTATTTGGCCTAGCATTTATTCTCAACACCTAGTTCTACCTGCGTCAAAGGACTGTAGGTCTTTCTGCAATACAGACTTAATTCTTGATGAGCCCCCTTTTATATGTATAGATGGGTTTGATTCTGGATCTATCGGAACGAGCCAGTATGCGCGAAGTCGTGAGTGTCTGAAATCTCAGACCAGTTTACGACGCTGAGCATTTTTTCGCAGCTTGATGTTATCGCAAATGCGGACGAGTACGTTTCCGTTATAGAAGCAGACACACTGCTAAGATGTCTGGCATAGATTCAGTGAAACGAGACTACGGGCTTCAGAGAAATCGGTTAGCAGAAGCCATCTGCGTTGAATCCTGAACTGATTTTCGAAAGTTCAGATCTACAACAAATTACGTCGACACAACGATATGCGATATGAAGTCAAGAAGGTAGAAAGAACGTCGGACAAGATATTGCTTTTGATTCAGGTATTGACACGAACATTTTTGCTAATTCATAATTGTTCACACTGAATAGGCAATTCTTGGAGGGATATCACTAAACGCACCTGAATATCGTTCGAACGATAGCCAACCTCAATTTGAGGCTTATAGTGTATTCAAGCATCTTCCAAGGATTGCTAGAGGTGAGTTTTGAATTTTCGCATGTGCATTTGCTTAATATACTACAGCTATCGTTGAAGTTGCGATAGTCCGAAGATTTGGAGCTCCACTGAAGTACGGTCTAGAATTGTGAGCGGCTTTCATCAGCTGTCAACGGTGGCTGATATTGTCCGTTCAGAGTTCGCTGTTCTATAGCAAAAGCTTGGGAGGATAGACCTGTCGTACTGAGGCAAATTGAGTCTATCGGGGAAAAATCGTATGTACTTTTTTCGAAGCTCATCTTCAATACTGACGGATCGTTTAGGTTGAAGGCAAGCGGCCATACGTCTTCAGCGCGTCAGGTGTTTCATATCTGTTTAGGTACTCGCTGAACATGGAATTACTTCGATCCCAATTTTGCGCAAGCAGGATACCCTGCGGCTGGAAACGGTAAAATCTCTTGACATTACTCAGACAATTGTTGATACCTTTCATGTTAGCTACTCAATCGGAGACCTCCATTTGGTCTGGAAATGCTCGCATCAGCACAGGAATTCCCTGTATATACCCTGAGAGTGGAAGAAATACGGGTCCACTCTGACGGAGGTCGAACTCCGGTAGACATAGAGTTGTCCGTTGAGTGCGGCCTTTTGCAGGAAATTGGACCGTCGAAATCGAAAAAGCAGAAGCCCAGTCGCTTCAGCCATATGACATCGGTCTTAACCCTCACATCGGATAACCAGTTTGTTGATTTTCGCCGTATACCGTGGGCCATTTCATTTTGGAGTAGAAGATTTCCCAGATTGAATTTATACTCAGGACGAAAGCGCTCAAAGAAGCGAAAACCTTTGAAATCTGCGCCACGTTGGAGAAACCGAGCCAAACTGTGATCGTCTCCGTGTCTTCGGTACCAAGTGCAAATTCTCTTCCATTCGACATCTTTTGATGATTTTGTCAGGAATCGTATGCCGGTGTTACTGTAGCGAAAATTCACAAGCCAAATCTTCCACCTTCAGAGTATCCAACGTTGAACACAAAGCCCATGACAGCATTGGTAAAGGGAATACAATTTCTATTTCTGCTTGGTTAATCTTTTGAATAGGAGCTTGAGCTTCGAGGTCTGGAACAATGCGATGGTCTGTTTGATGAGATGTTCGACCAACATGGAGATGAAATCGTGAAAGAAGAAAATCTTGAACCTGTCGAGTTTAAAGACATTCGAAAGTCGACCCAAAAGCTCCTACCAGAGACTAACCAAAGAGACCAAGCTTCCAACGCAGAAGCTCGTACACCGAAAAAACTTCCCAATGGACTATACGAGTATGCCTTTCCATGAATCGTTGCGCATTTGGTGCTCATCATCCTTATAGATGTAACCACCCTTGCAAGGACAAACAAGCCTGTCGACATCTTTGGTATTTACTATCTGCCAACAGCTCTATCCGTTCTCATGTTTCCTCAGCTGCCGAGAGGGACTCCGAGTTCCTCCAAAATCCAAGACTGGAGCCGTCGCTAAAACTACTGTCAAACCGAACGTCGTCAATGATCCTCAAAATCAGACTAAATCGAAAGGCTTTCAGTCTGATTTCAAACGAACGCCATCCAAACCCAAACCCAAACCGCGCGTGAAAACTGATCAGACCCTCGACGATCTCGACAAATTGCACAAGAGTACCAATGTTCAGCAGAACCTCAAACTGTCTCAAGGTCATCGCATCAAGTTGGATCCTAGCCCAAGTGGTCCGTCGATCAAGCGCAAAAATAGGCCTGTTCCGAACTTCGACATTGAGTTTGCGAGTATCGCCACTGTCGATACCGACATACTGGACTTGCCTGCGAGTCTTGACGATGATGACGACCTGCCTGCGCCTCACGAAATCTTGGCTTCTTCAAAGAACAAAAAACGAAATTACTCATCTGAAGACAACTATTCCAACTCTGAACTAGATGCTCTTATCCGCGATATCCCCTCTGACGATATAGTTCAAGACGCGCCAAAAACTGTAGCCAGAGTGGTGGCTGAAAACAAAGAGCCAACGAAGAAGAAATTCAAGCTGGATACCTTCCCGGAGCACAAGGTGCTTTCGTCTGACCGGAAGCCTCTTTTCCTCGCAGACAACGAAGGATCGGTTTTGGACGACGACGAAGAGATTGAATTTGTCGAAGAGCCTACCCCCGGTCATGACTACGATGACTTCATGCTCGACTCGCAATACTATAACGCCATTCCCGCTACGCCTGACCTTACGACGTCAATGCGCTCTTTCGAAGACGAGGAGGACGAGCTAGACACAGAATTAATTTCCCACGACAATTTTCCCGATCCACCATCCTCTTTCACTAGTCGTAAACCTGTCAACAGTGTTCAAGAGATCGAGAGGACAACTAACTTTCCAGAAAGCTTTCGACCAAAGCAACAAGGTCAGAATCAGCAGTTGAATGAAGAAGAAAAATTGCAGCAGGAGTATGAAGATGAATTTGCCATTTTGGAAGCTTGGATTGATGAACATATGGAATGATACTGAACTGTACATGTTATAGGCAGACATCACGTTCAAGTATAGATCAGCAGTCATACAACGAAAAAAATGATTCCGAAGAATCAAGAAAGGAAAAAATTAATGGAAGCAGCAGACACAGAATAGTCTGAATTGAGTTACACGCAAACAACCAGATGGTTGAAGGGCATGTACCACGAATTGCACTGAAGGACGTTTCAGAACATATCAAAGCATGTGAGACTCCTCATTCGTGGATCATACTAGTGTTGATAAGCACTTGAGAGGGTATCGACAGCCAACACAAGGTCCTACCCCACATAGCAGAGCATCGACTGCCTGAAAAGACAATTGTCGAGGAATGATACGATTTTTTGGCCAAGAAACCCCACCGATATCACCCGCATCTAAACTCGTAGACGCTGCTACGCCGATAGAGCATGCCATTGATGAAGAAGTCGAAACGCCCAAACTCCACGACAGATTCCAAGTCTCCACCACCTTAGCGCTACAAGTCTTCTTTCTCTCTCATTACAGTACGACCAAGCCATCGACAGTATCAGATAGGAAGGTCGTAATGTAAATTCTTTGAGATCCAGAATGGGTAGCAAGGCTTGGTGCAAGGAGGCGTTTTTCTGATGTGTCGTACAGGTGTGGTTGGACCTGGACCCTGCTAGGGACAAGCAAAGGGAGTTTCACTCAGACCTTACCCGCTCGTGAAAGAGAACGCGAAGTTCTGTACGGAACGAGCATCGTGGTGTTGTGTCTGCTGCTGAGACGACGACAAGAAAAAATTCTGCTTATAACGTGCTGGCGGAGTTCGAATAGGGAGCCGGCCGCTCTCGTGCCTTGCGGATCCGTGCAAAATAATTCCACAATCACCGTTTCGACAACCTTTCGATGTCAATATACACAGACGGGCTTACCTGCATCTTGAAATCCCCGATGTCTTGTGGTCTTGTGTGAAAATCTCAGCAAGAACATGGTAATCCCTGTACATGTAATTGAATTTCTGATTAGTTATCCTTCTACCGGCCGGTCTCAAACTCCCATGTCGTTTCTCACTCCTACTCTGAAGTTGCTTGCTAGTGAAATAGCTTCTGTGTTAATCCTCAGGAATGTAAGTGTTGTCTGAAAAGACATTGTACTCAAAGATCATCGATCGGTTTGTAAATCAGGAGACACTGTCCATCGCAGAAACGGCTTGTGGTGGACTGATGGGAGCAGCAATTCTCACCGTTCCTGGAACGTCGAAGTGTTTCAAAGGGAGCATGGCAGCGTATTCTTTGGAATCGAGGGTTGCTTTCCTCGGATGGACAGGAGAGGTTTTGAATGGCTACAAGTGAGTTCTCCATTGAATATCATCTATGAGTCATCTTCTAATACAACGTTCAGAGGCCCCGATGAACAAATAGTTATTGGCCTAGCCTCTCATCTACGCAAGACGCTCTCCTCTACATGGTGTCTATCTGAATCCGGCGTATGCGGTCCTTCCCGACCAGACGTTTACCGCGCAGAAATCGAAGGTCCAGGTTATTGTGCGTTCGCTATTGTTGGGGATGGCAAGAGGACTGTCAGTAAGGAGGTCAGGATTCCTCAGCCGAAGAGCCGTGAGGAGAATATGGTAGCGATGGCGGAGGAAGGGTTAAAGTTGCTCCTGGATACGTTGAAGGCTCAGGAATGACTAGAATCCTCAGTGAAGGTAAATTCAAAGTGTGCTAACAATAACAGGACCCGGATGTAATCGCAATCAGATTGTACAACAGAATACAATGCTCTTTCTGCTTACCTGAAGGAAGCAGTCACCAGCGCTCATCACTAAGATCATTCACAGATATATCCGTACCGTACGCAAGTTCAAAGCAATACGACTGTCTTCAGTCACTGGATTCCGTTCTACAAATCCCTCTCTCTCGTCCTGGTAACAGCTGGTAACTGGTGCCATCCACAATGCTATCTTGGCCGATTTTGATACAATTTCAACTTCCCTCGAGTACCCGTTGTTTGTGAGTTTTCATGAGTTCGTGCTCTTGTTCGTGACTGGTAACATTCGTTCTACGAGGTCAGATCATCTTTGGTTTTCTAAAACCTCCGTATCGTCGTTGTCCATTCCGTTGCGTGACGTTCAGTCCAATGTGCACCGCAAGTTCTACAGATACGCAACGAATCTTTATCTAGACTTGATATATGTAGACTACAGTTATGTAGTCTACCAAAGGCAGAATCTTTACCTCTTGACACTTCTGAGTCGCGGTGGTATGGTGATACGGATCAGGTAGAGATGCTGTATACACAGGCATGCAGTTCTATCAAACAACGGTTGACTATGGGCAATTGATGCGGCGGGTAAAATTTTTGGAATGTAACGCATAATCCGTAACATAGCCCAGAGCTCAAATGAGCCGTAGGCTCAAATTTTCAAAGCCGGGCTTCAATGCCGCGCCGGACATTCCGACCGAATCTGACAGGCCTTTTCTTTCCCCTCCTCCCGCGCGATATAAATTGAGATGCATTTCATTGATATCTAAGTACACACAACAAACTACTAACACATGTTAATACACTACCAGTACGCACTTACACTGAAAGAAGGAATCATAGTATGAATGTGGACATACCCATTCCCAAATGACTTGAAATTTTGACTTGATGGGGTCTTTTCGCTCGAAGTTTGAAGCTTGATGGGGTCTTTTTGCTCGAATTTTGAAGTTTGATGAGGTTCATTGGAATTTGAGTTCTGAACATTGAACATTGAGGTTGAGATCATCTTGTACACACAGTATTATTGGAAGATAGTCTTGAGGAGCATTGCAAATGTGCTGCATTGGACTTATTCATTATAAGTCGCATCTGCAAATCCTGGTTTTTTGATGGATTTCCCCCCAGTGTTTCCCAGAGCCTCCCAGTGTTTCCCAGAGCAAGATCAAATTTGACACATCTGTCGAGTGCTCGGGCTGCTGGGAATTGCTGGAGCTGCTCTAGCTGCTTTCAGATTGTTTGGGATATTAATAGTAGCAAAAAAGTGACACATCTGTCGAGTGCTTGGGCTGCTGGGAATTGCTGGAGCTGCTTTAGCTGCTTTTTGACTGTTCAAGATATATTAATAGTACAGTTCATCCGTCGAAACAACAATTACAAGAAAACATCAAATATTGAGTAGTAGTACGGTCGTTAGTTATACCCTGCATTACTTTATGCTAGGAGTAACACAAAAGTCTACTTTATCCAAAGCAAAAAATGTTTCTTTATTGAAGTATTTGTTTAGCAAAAATTCATCACTGTGATACTGACTTGTACTTTTCAATAAAGAAGGGTGAGGATTTCCTCGATAGAGAGGACAAATATCTGCAAAAGAACGGAATTGTGAAACAGGAATAATATCTCCCATAGGAGTCCCATCTGCTCTCCGAGCTCTCTTAAGAATGTAACATCCTGTGGAATAATCTGGATAGCGAAAAGGACAAGCCCTATAACAGGGAAGATGTTGATACTGCGGCGGAGGGGGTGGTTGATTCACTATATCTAAGCGTTCGCAATAAGCTAAAAAACGATGAGTTCCTTCAATGGGTAACGAAGGTCTTCTTGGCTGAGCCACAGTAAAAATCATTTTGACTAGAACTATGGCATGACCTAACGAATATGAGAACTCAAAAGCAATGAAAGGAAGTAAGGAAAAGAGAACTCACCTTCCAAAGAGCTTCTTGGCCACTGAAAGCTTTGATCTACGTTAACGATAACTGCGTTTTGGCGACCAAACTCCCAGCCAGGCCCTGGAGGTGCTGAGAATATGGTGTGAGGATCCGTAAGCAAATCTAGATTAAAATATGTTCTGCTTTGGATTCGCAACCTGGACCAAAGCTTGACCCGGTAGAAGGGCAAAGGTGACTGAGTATTTCCAGTTCTTCTACCTCCTATAGTGAAAATCTTTGTTCCTGACTTTATGCGGTCAATTAAGTCTGAACAAGCCCCATGAAAATCTGACAGAGAATAGAGCCTACTCGCTTCTTCTATTGTTTGTGTCTTTAGGTCTGGATCACGGACTAGGCTAAAGGCTGAGATTTCTCCTGTGACGTTATCGACGAAAGAACGATGAGGAAGGGGTGCTGAGGGTGCTCTTTCAAGCAAACGAGCTTTTAGGAAAAAGTTCTGTTTAGGTCGAAAAGATCCAAATAACTTTTTGGAAACAGGATTAAGATGGGTGACTAGCTTTTCTGTCGATGATATTTTTGTGATTTCCAATTCCATATCTTCTTCTTCGTCTACTTGTAACCCTTCAGCTCCCTGGCCTTGACCTTCATCTCCTTCAACATCTTCTAGACGGAAGTCTACACTAGCATCCTTCATTGCAGTCATCAAATCAAACCTTCTAACACGGTCGAGACGATCCAGACTTCGACAAATCTGAATTTCAAAGTCGTGATTGTTGCCAGATCGGGCTGGATCCTTCACTAGAGTGATATGAGCATGCTCCGTGATGTCGGCAGTCCACTGCATGATAGGACCTGAAGCACGAATGCTGGGCTCCACACTTTGCATGAATTCCAGTTTTGGTATCTCCCAATGGTCTATCGGTTTACCTTTAGGATTGACCCTCGCCTTTAGCTCTAAGATCACCGACTTGCTCTCATGAAACTCCTTCAAAGCAGTCTGGACTCGGAGGGAAGAAGTTTGGCTAAAACGCTGGGCTTGGCCTGAATAGCGGAAATCTAGGAGAGCACGTAGAGCCGTAACGAACTTGGCAGAAATAGCTCCAGATATGACAGGAATCAGGTATCTCTGGATGTCTCGATGAGTACGTCCAGTGACCTGCTTAAGACTAGAGATGCCTTCTTGGAAATGACGATATCCCACAGTTGGCTGATGAATTGAAAACCTGAAGTCGATATGACTAGCCCCAACAGCCTGGATAGCCCATTTTGCGTCATGATCCCAAAACATCTTATGCCAATGATGTAGAGGTTCAGGCGTAAGGAATTCGCAAGGCTCTGCTAATGCCCAATCCCTCCAAAAAGGATAAACAACTCCATTGGTGCGGGCAGTTACGGCAGCTCTTTGATACGCAGGAAGATCCTGAGGGAAAATGTTCCTTGCCTGAATGCTGTCTATAGTGTCTAGAGTTGACGAGGATAAACGAGGAGCATGTTGTGAAGAGTCTCCGTAATTTTTGTATATCGCTTTGGTAAAAGGAGAGTCTTTTCCGCCAGTACACGCAATTAAGGAAGCTTCTGGAGTATCCACAATGGCGCTGGCGAGTGGGGTATAGCAAACCCTAAGTTGTCCCACTGGATCGCTCATCATGCACCCGATACGTGCAGTGACTTTGAGTGGTTCCAGGACAATGTCCATACATTCATGGTACAGTCGATTCTCCAGTACACCCCTTATAGAAGTTTTTCGTTCGATATATTTTGGTACAGGAAGAAGCGCCAGTAAGCTGAATAAATGTAACGAAGCTTTTGATAATAAATCCGAGTCGATATTGGCCAAGGAAATTAATAGAGGATGAGCTACCCGATTTCCAGTTATAACAGAGACAGTAGTCTTGTCGGAAGATAAGACAACACCTAATAGGGTAGCACCTTCAGGATATTGGCTCTGTGTCCTTTCGTCAGTTAATGAAGATCGTGACAGCAGCTTGCTCACCTGCATTTTCCATGCCCTGTCCCCAGAAAGCCAAGAGTCATAGACTCTCACTAATTTACGTGAATCTTCAAATATCTGCATAGGAGTGAAATGGAGAGAGTCGCATATCAAAGGGCTCTTCATGAGGTCTTGAAGGACTTCTATAGCATCTCGATAATAGAGGACCAGAGGAGTTTTGGAGCTGTAGAGGGGTAAAGTCTTCATATTCCTTGATTTCCAACTAGCAACAGGAAGTAGTAGATCCGCCAGATCATGTAACCTTTGAGCTGTCTGGAACGATAAGTTATTCTTTTTAGTCTATATGAGATTTGGGAGATTTCAATATAACAACTTTAGCACGCCAAATTACTCACCAAATCAAGCTTCAGATAAACGTCTATCTCCTGCATGGAGAGAGAAGAGTTAAGCAAAAAGCTAGCAGTTTCCCACTCAGGTCTGGATGCGAAAGGATAGTAGAGGTTGGTTCCTCGTTCATCAGCGAAACGATCATCATTAAAATCATCCATGAAGGTTGCACCCTGGCCCACAATCTGGCTGGCGTTAGGGAAAGGAATCTGGACAGGCCCGGAGTCAGCTTCTGTGTGATCAACATCCATAAAGTTCTCCTGCTCCTCTTCAGTCCAGGGGTCTAATTCAGAGTTAGAGGGTCGAGGAGAGGAAGAACCAAGAGCAGGTGATAAGGACGACAAAGAAGTAGATGAGAATAGGGAGGACAAGGTTGAGAGAGGTACTAAGCCAGGTTTATAGTTGCATAGTGTTTGTTTAACATGGCTGCGACGTCCAGCTTCAGTTTTACAAAGATGTCCACAATAAGGACAGGAGAAAGACATCGTAAGATATAATAGCGCCCACAGAAAGCAGGTCAGACTAAAGCTTCGTGAGAACTTTTCCTTCCTGGAAGGGAACACGAAAGATATTTATTTGCGGGGGATCTCGAAGACGAAGAGAAAGACTCTTTGATTAGTGGAAGCCACTAACAACTACGTCCCTGCATCTGGCCCAATTTTATTTACTGCTTCACAAATGTAGTACTTTGTTTTATCCACCCAAGATGATGGGTTCAAACTACTCATACACTTTTGGAGATACCAGGTAGACATTTTATGAAGCACTTTAGGAGGGAAGTGACTGAGTTGAAGATAGATGTATTCCTTCTCTAGTCCGACACCATGACCTTCTCAGATTTCAAGGGTCGTACTACAGGATACGACTTCACAGGAAGCAAGATCCTTAGAGGTTGGTGCATAACATTCCATGGATCCTTCTCCTATGTTATTGAGGAGATAACCTCCTTCACCCTATCCACCTCCACTGCCAGCAAGGTTCTCACAACTGTGACCGCAGTAATGACTGCAACCACGACTACAACTGCAGCAACATCTGCCGCCACGTACGCTACTTCCCCCTCCTCCTCCACATCAGCTACCACATCAGCTACCACATCGACTACCTCGTTCGCTACCTCTACCACTACCACCACCGCAACCTCTACCGCCACCGGAAGAGTGACGTTTGGATTCCCAGCGTCCTCGACACCTGTCTGGTATTGGTACCCCCAAAATCTGAATCAAACTCGTCCGGAACATAATCTGAAGGGGAATCGTCCATCGTTTAGGCGAAGGAAAAATCGGAAGGAACTCACTGAGATTATCCCATGCAACAGCCTGATGACTTTGTAAGAACCTGCATGAGGAAGACTTGCACCATTATTCCCTGCGACTGGAGGAGAGCGAGAATATTGCTGCTGCAACGGCGAAGGCGCCAACGGAGTATGGAAAGATGAGCCAGTACGAGTAGATGAAGGCGATCCAGACATTGCTTGCAGCCCTTGATAACTTCCACCACTACTCCCAGAACTACCACCACTAGATGATTGAGTCGAGTGTTTATGTGACTTCTTTGTTGAGACCTTCTTGATCTTTTCCTTGTCCACCTCGCGTTCTTCCCAGCATCTTCAGTGGTACCATAGCCTGAAGAGGAGCCACTAGGCCGAGAGACATGGACGGCAGAGAATGCAGAACCCGGTCCTGTAAGAGCAATAGTTGGAGGCAGACGCAAGGGAACAGCAGGTCTGGCATGGTGAGGATCGAGGTAGAACAAATTGTCTGTCTGTGAGCTGACAAAGTAATATGACAAACTCGGTCTTCCACCGGCAATTCCCACTGATTGAGGGAAGGTGTAAAGCATCTGAAGCAGACAGCAATGATATTCAAGAAGTCAGATCTGAAAGAAACAAAGGGGCCGACCTTGATCGTGTCATAGTATATCGGGTTCACACCATCCAAGCCAAGCCTGATTCCGAAAAGTACTAACACCGGCCTATCACCCCAAGACGTGTGAGCGGCACCTTTTCCTATTCATGAGGAGCTTTATCAATAACGGAACGATCACGAGGAATCTGAAGAGGCACACCTCGCCGTGGATAAGAGGTCGAGGCGGTACCATGAGAGGCCGCATAGACATCTGTCTGCGTCAATAATCCGTCCGTGGCAACAGCCACACCCAATCCTGCATCAGAATATGCATGAACAAGAGACCTGAAAGAAAGAAAATGAGTTTATCGCATCGGTGGGAACCGACTGACTCACCTGATAGCCCCTGCAGCTGTACTCGGCCCGAACCACATCCCTACGTCCTTGCCTAAATCCTTTCCCGCCAACGCCATCCAGTGAACACTAAATGGTGCCAACTCCGAAGGTGTGTCCAAGAACCAAGGCAGGATTATACACGGATGCAGATGGTGTTGCGGTGACGGAAGAGACAGAGGAAGAGAGTGATTGGGAAGGCGAGGATGACGGAGGCTGAGATTGGGAGAGGAATTGCGAGCCGGAATGCGTGATTGACGAAGAATGTGCGTGCTGACCACGCGAACGCGAACGTTTGTGTCCATGCGACTGAACCGAAGTAGTCGTCGACGCGACCGAACCCCTGCGTCCCAAGGTACCACTGGTGAACGAAGATCATTCTGGCTCTCGGAGACGAAGTCGAACCCGTGGATAGGACTGTTGCAAGGATGGTGGGAAGGGAGAGATCTGTTGAGGAAGGGGAAAAAGTATGCGAAAACAGCCGGAAAGACGGGGTGGTAGGTAGGTCGCCCATGCAAGCGGAGGGGGAAGTGCTGTGGGAGGTTTCTAAACTCGGTGGGCGGTCAGGGCGATTGCGTTGACGTGGGGACGGAATTGAGACGGGTTCGAGACGGGTTCTACTATGACTGGTGTTTCCTCTCTGAACTCCTCTGATATCCCAGTGTTTTTTGGGGAGGGTCTGGCAGAGGATAATGGAGAGGGAGTAGAAGGAAGCTCAGGCAAGCTAAGCACTCCTTCATTGACGGATTTGGATCTGTCCGAGACTTCGGCAAAAACTTTGGGAGCTTGGAACTGGGAGCTGGTGAAGGCGCGACGCAAGCACCCATGGGACATCGCCTGAGAACAAAAGACCGAAGAAGGGAGCCGTGGGTTCAGCTGGTGGAGCTCCTGAAGGACCGTTAGTTGTTGGAGGAGGTAAAGAGTTCGCGGCTGGTCACGGGTAAGTTTAAGCGCCCGCCGAATTTGGAGCGACGCTTGCTCCCAGGAAACGTCGCTCCAAATTCGGCGGGCGCTTAATATCTCTGCAGTTGTCTTGTCCCTCCGCAGGTCCTAAATCTTTTTTTGCCTTCCGGTTTCAAAACAGATTATATGTCTACTTTACAACTGACAGAAACTCAAGCTTTGGCTCTCCAGGCTTTGCTCTACAGAGAGAAGCAATTGCCTCCTGCACTGCAAGAAGTGCTGGCAGCCCTTCCTCCTAGTAGGGATATTGAAACAGGAAATTATCTATCTCCAGAGGTAAGTTTTGGGAGTTGATTTATATTCATTCAATCACCTGTTTCTGCTTCTCTTTAGACATATACCAAAAGGAAAGAAATAGAGCCTACAAAGTTCTCACCTACTACCCCCACCCCTACATCTACATTGCCTTCCACATCCGCATCTCTGTTCCCGTCCCCATCCGCGTCCACGTCCGCCTCTACTTCCCTGTCCATGTCCACCTCTCATTCGATGTCTGCGCCCACCTCGGTATTTGCGCCTGTGTCCATGTCCACCTCTGCCTCTGTGCCCACCAGCGCTTCGATGTCTGCGCCCACCAGCGCTTCGATGTCTGCGCCCACCAGCGCTTCGATGTCTGCGCCCACCAGCGCTTTGATGTCTGCGCCCACCAGCGCCTCGATGTCTGCGCCCACCTCCACATCGGTGTCTGCGCCCACCTCCACATCGGTGTCTGCGCCCACCTCCAAATCGGTGTCTGTGCCCACCTCCACATTGGTGTCCGCATCCGCATCGGTGTCTGCGTCCACCTCGGTGTCCACATCGGTGTCCACATCGGCACCCACCTCCACCTCCGCGTCCACATTGGTGTCCACATTGGTGTCCGCATCCACCTCCTCGCCCACGTCCGCATCCGCGCTGGCGTCCACCACGTCCACGGTGTCTCCAACATCTCCGTTGTCTCTGTTGTCTCCCTTGATGTTCCCATCCACGTCCGTGTTCCCTTCCCCAACCATGTCCGCGTCCATGTCTGCTTCCTCTCTTTTAACATCAGGGACCGCAGCGCCCTGCACCCACTGCACCCACTGCGGCTTTTCAACCTATGCCTCTCCTGGCCCTTGGATTCCTGGGCAGAGAACAGCTCCTGAGTACCAAGAAGCCAGTGTGGACACTGAGGAAGTCCTGATCGAGACATGTTCTTCCCCTTCTTCCTTTCATCCTGTAGCTCCCCAGGATTTGAATCAACCTCTTAGAAAACGGAAAAGACGTGCAGGGACCTCTGGGGGGGGACAAGAAGATCCTGCACCTATAAGCTGTCCGCGTAAAAGCGTTAGGACCAAGAAACGCGCCAGAAACGCTGCTTACGACTCAGTTCAGGAGGTTATCAATCGTTTCTCTATCAATGACACACCAGCGGAGCCCTCTAAGGACATCACCGCGGACATGACTACAGAGCTCGGAAGAATATCGTTAGGCACCCAGACCTCCGTAGGTTCCGCAGAATACTTGAGCTGGGTAGCGGATTTGAAAAGTATGATGGAGGGAACTCTGAATAACGTCCGAGATATGGCGGTATCTTCCCTAGTAAGTATAGCTAGGCATTGTGATTTGGCTACAAAGGTAGATGGTACAGCCAGGTTTGTGCGCATGCTCAACGAGCTTTACTTCGCTGCGAAAGTCAATAGGTACGTCTTATCGAAAGTATACGGGGTATCAAATTAATTTATAAATTTTTAGCCGGCTGAATTTAATGAAAATAAAGGAGAACAGTCTACGACCCAGACCTACAGCAATTTTCCAAACTCTCCAGAACCATTCCATTCCGATACAGAAAAGTCGTGACTTCTTATCGGCGGGTAGTCGGTGGGCGTTTTTAGCTAACTCTGGTACCTCAAAACCTTCTCTCTATGATCTGAGCTAAGATTCCTGTTTAGGTTCCCTTTACTTGCTACTAGTAATAGCTTTCAAGGGTGAAGACAACTATTTTAGAAAGAAGGCATCTGTTACAGTCATCCAAGCTTTGTGTAATCAAATTAGGGCACCTACGCCATCTGGTGAATTTTTTGTTTGTAGTTCTCAAAAACGGTACTAAAATCAGGCTTCCTTTATAGTTTCCGGTGATCTGGTCAAGTCACATTTGATACCGGTATTGGCCAATCTTCGAAAGGATATCCCGATCTCAATACCAACTCTTTATCATCCTTCACTCTTCAAACATTTGGGTCTTTCGTCATCCTTTGATAGCGGAAACTTAAACAAAAGTGACAACTACTTTAGCTCTTTTTTTTTTCAGTGAGTATTTAAAGTTTTTGCTTTTGCTTCAAATTAATGAATACCTATCACCTAGCACCTTTCGTTCGCTTCCAAGAGACTGGGAAGCCTGGAATCTATTTCTTGCTATTCCAGAAGACCAGCTGTTGAGTACGGCTTTGTTAGAAAGAAGATTTCTCCTTTTTTCACCGGTAGAGGAGGATGTTGGCTCTATTTCTGAACTAACGTCCTCTTCAGAGGAAGAGCCTCTAGCTCAAAGGTTTCTTGCTAAACCTCTTCCGATATCTATGATTTTTTCGAGAATGGGATTCCAATCTCAGGATGCGGAAGGTATTCATCAAATTCTCCGCACCCCTTACGTTCCTCAGAAAACCGCGGAACCTTTTCCGGCTGATCTTAGGAGAAGAAGCAAATGGACAGAGCAGGAAAGGAGGGCAGCTATTAATTGTGTCAAACCAGATTCTCTGGACAAGTACGCCCAGGAGGTAAGTTTTCTTGATCTCTGTTTCAAATACAGACTCAAGTCGATATATATTAGATGAATCAACGCTTCGATTCCCTGGGGCAGCTCTCAGATCAGAGGTACCTCAAACTTGACAGGAACTTGGTCGATGGGTAAGATTTCTAAACCGTTTTTTTTGACGCAGGAAGTACATCTGACAAATGTGCAGGAAAGTCCTTCAAGTTTATGATGACAATCAAAGTCTCCTGTACACCTTAGACACCACCATGCCTGCTAATCTGAGGGAAGGCTTGGAGACTGCTGTACAGGCCTGTTTATCAGATACTACGGCACAGTTCAGGTATCAAGAACCTTCTGCTTCAGTTAAAACTAGAGCGTTTTCCTCTCTTCATTTCACCAACCAAACTCGCTATTTAACTCACGTAAGTTCCAAGGAAACATTTCGCCTAGATTCCAGTCTTACTTTTCTCAGGGTTACGACGCTCCTGAGGACATTCATCCCCTATATCTCCGAAACTCTGACGGGGGAAAGACAAATCATAGCCAATTTCTAAGCCATCCTTCAGAAGATATTCAGAAACTATCTCAGGAATACGCTACTTTGAAGGAAGCTCTTGAGGCGGTCCTACAGTGGATAGTGGAAAAAGTAAATCAATATTTTTCTTGCGAGTTTTTTCTAAATATATGGCAGGTTTTGCGTATTCATCCAGATATGTTTCAAGAAATTCTCGCTACAGCAGATCTTCTTCCTTTAAATGACACGTCTCCTGCCTCGCCTTTTACCAGTATAGTGGTGAACATCAATGTAGGCACTTTGGCCCACAGGGACAAGAATGATGGATACGCCTGTATCTGTGTTACTATTGGTAATCCTAAAGGGGGGGAACTAGAAATGTACGAGCCTAAACTACTGATAGAAACACGCAACGGAGATGTGGTAGTATTTTTTTCTCATAAGTATACTCACTTCAACCTACCTTACAGTGGCACTAGAGGATCCATTGTTATTCATGGGGATAAAACTGGAGTAGATTATCAGAAGGATGGATTTGGTTGGTTCAAGAATATTTATTTCACTTAGAGTTTATTGTACTTAGAGTTTCTGGGGGGAAATCAGGCCGAGGGCAGGCGCGGCGCGGCTGCCTTTGTGTATATATTTGTTTATAATTGTTGGTTTCAACGTCAACCAGGTCCTCTTTAACGCTTTCTTTCACTTTCTCTCACTTTCTCTTTTTCATTCAAACTCTGGCTGTTACTGAATATTATGGAAGAAAACAAACAAGGTAAAGCGCAAGTTTATTAGAGGCTATAGTGGTTGTAGCCTAAAGTATTTAATGACAAAAATTGAAGCTTTATCCTTTTTTTCGGCCCATCATCCCTGGTTAGACGGCGAAGGAGAAACTTCTGATTCTCTGGTGAGAGTTACAGAGTACAAATTTTCTTCCCTTAACTCCTCTATTGCAGACCGAGATCGAAGCCAATTACCTTCTCAGAATAGCAGAGATTCAAAAGACTCTGTATACTTCTGAAAAAGCGGTTCTAGATCAGAAGATCTCTTTAACCAAGCTCATACTGGAATTACATCTACATCGTATCAATCAAATTCAGTTTGAAAACTCCAAAGCGGAAGAAACAGCGACTAAAATGAAAGATATTCTACTTGATATCAGAAAGAAATGTGGGTCCTGTGGTTCTTGCCAAATACTTCTTCTGACATCTCCCTTTTCTTCCTTTTAGAGAATCCCTCAAAGAAGGGTAAAGCCGGAACCCCCAACTCTCCTCCCCTTATGGAACTAGACGAAGGGTTCGAGGAAGATATTGAAGAAGAAGAGATGGAAGAGTCAGGGGAGATTGAGGAGGCGGAGGAGATGGAGGAGCCTCTGGAAATTAACAAATCCCAGGAGACAGAAATACGCTATTACGATGAAGGTGATTTCTTTTAATTCCTTCTACAATACTTTTCTAACAAATTCCCGTACAGGAGTCAGAATTTTTAGTTATCGAGGAGCTACAGGAGGTCTTGTTCTGGATTAAAGACGTTGAGATACTGTACTATATAAGGCTTGAAAACAATTAGGTTCCTTTTACTATAGGTGAAAATGTTCGCAAACTGAAACAAAAATAATTGTGAAGAGAGATAAATTTCGCTGGGGGAATTTGAAGGGATTTAAGTAGGATACCTCGAGGTGAGAATTTAGTTGTGGGTCCTTGCCCAAACTTTCTTTCGCCTTTCTTTCTCCTTCCATGACAAAAAAATCGAACAAAAATTTAGATCCTTCTCTACCTCGCAAGTATAATCTCCAGGTTGCCTTATACACTTTTATTGATTTTGCTTTTTAGAGGTATAAGTTTCCTGTTCTACGACATGTTTTACTCAGCTCTCTTCCGATTCAGAGATCAAGTAGCCGCTCAAATAAGGGTACAGGAGGTCATGCCAATCAGATGCTAGAAACAGCTGACAAGATGTCTCTTCCTCAAAAAACGTTTTCTCGAAGTCCCAATACTGTATTAGGGGAAGACGCTCTGCCTAATCCTATGGCGCCAGCTCCTCCAAAACCGGTAAGCTGGGGAAAAAGTGTATATCACCACCTACAACTAATTCAACAAAAATTAGAAACGCGGAAGAGGTGGTAGGGCACCTAGCACAAAAAAGGGCAAAAAACAAGAACAAAGTGAAAGCGAATCTACTTCTGTAACTCAGGCTACGCTTCCGCTAGTCTCGCCTATGTCTGGTTATCCTCCTCCTCCTCCTCCTATAGCTCGAAGAGTTCCCTTACCATCTGCTGCTCCGATAGAAGACGTAGTCAAAAGAGCTGGATTGAACACGGTAAAACCATATTCGATTAACCCACAAAGCCATAAACAAAGAAACTAACGAACGTTTTACTAGAATGAAAAGGAAAGCGAGAGACTGGAAGTCTCTTGCTTTCCTGGAGTTGAAGCCAACGGTGTTGCTGGAATCGAAGCTACTTGCAATAATCCAGGACTACACCTTCCTCAAGATATCAGTGGGGAAGAAAATGTCCTTGATTACGGAGGGAATCATGAACAGGGCTCAGGAGGGGAACAGGCTGAGTATGCGCATAAGCATGCCGGAAATCTTAATAACGAAGGGGAGTACAACAGCTTTTATGGGGGAGGCTACAGGGGAACAGGAGGTTATGGCGGAGGTGGTTATGGAGGTGGTTATGGAGGTGGTTATGGAGGTAGAGGTGGTGGTTATGGGGGAGGTGGTGGTTATGGCAGTGGTGGTTACGACGGCAGTAGTTATGGCAGAGATGGTGGTTATGGCGGTGGTGGTGGTGGTGGTGGCGGTGGTTATGGCGGTGGTTATGGTGGTGGTTATGGCGGTGGTTATGGTGGTGGTTATGGTGGTGGTGGTTATGGCGGCGGTTATGGCAGTGGTTATGGCGGTGGTTACGGCGGTGGGTACAGCAATAGTCATGGAGGGAATGGGGGAAGTCATGGAGGCAGCGCAGAAGGGGGAGGTCATATGGGAGGCTACGCAAGAGAAGGTTTTCAAGGTGTTCAGGAAGAGGGTAAAGGTATTTATGGTGGAAGTTACTTAGGAAACGACGATAGAGCTTTTGGCGGGGGTTATAAAAGGTATGAAGGAGCCTTTGTGGGAAACCAAAGGGGTACGGATAGCAATAACGCTGGAGGAAGAGGAAGCTATATTCCAAGCTCCTCAGAAGAACCTACTCAACTTTCTTCTCATGTTGATAAAGGGGATGTTGTTCCGAAGCCATGGGGGAGTAACGACAAAGCTTATAGGGAAACTACCGGAGGAATAGGTTTTTCAAATTATTTAGTATAAAATTCAAAGCTGACGTTTTTTTTTTAGAAATTGACACCACCAATTCCGTGAGTTGACTATCTATCTGGCTTTCGGAGTCTTACCTCTTTGAATTCAAACTAGGTTTCATCAGATACAGAAATTCTCAAAAAGCGAAAACGCTACTTTCCCAAGCCTCCTAATCCAGAAATCCTTAAAAGGCACGGCCAAAGTCAATGGGACAAGGTGGAGGAAAATTGGGAAGAGGAAGAGCGAGCTGAGTTTGAGCACGACCCAGAAGCTGACAACGATGATAACGAAGCAAATGACGAAGATGATGAAGATGACGAAAAGGATGAAGAAGATGAAGCTACAACAAATTCTCGTGAATATAAACGTGAACCATTTTTTACCTTGATTATGTTTTGATTTTTGACTTGTTGTTCAGGCTATGCAACGACTGTATTGGAAAATGAACCAACCTCAGGTCAAAGCTACTCTATTTCTCGTCCTGTGTCTCGTCCTGTGTCTCGCTCTGTTTCTCATCCTGTCTCTCATCCTGTCTCCGGTAATGCTTCTCGAGCAGCCTCTCATTTGCCTACCCGTCCTCCTACCCGTCCTCCTACCCGTCCTCCTACCCGTCCTGTTTCACCAGGTTCGTTTTGTGTTATTGTTGTGTTTTATTTGTTGTCGATAATTCTTGACTTGTTTAAGCTTTACCTGTACCTGTTCCTTCAACAACAGGTTCGTTTATTATATTTAATTTTGATTATCAATAAACTTTTCCTTTTAGATCAATCTGAACAGAGTACTAGTAAAGGTACCTCATTTCTCAAAGTCTTTATATATGCTGACTTGTTTTAGTCCGTAAATCAAAGGCAAATTCAGAAAAAGCCACAAAAGACCCAACGAAGCTTTCATTCTATACTCCTCAAGCTAAAAAAGTAATCACCGGCTCTCAGATGTTTATGCATCAAGCGATGGTTCTTGAAGGACCTTTTCTTACCATGGAGAATCACGAAACTCTTCTTTTCGACTGTCTCACTCGCTCAATAAAGGAAAGGGGAGAGGAAGGTCTTCACGTTGAAGAAGGTGGGTATTTCAATTCTTCAATCTTTGTCAAGATTATCATTTCAGCTCAGGATATATCGAGGAGCATAAAGAAGACATAATCACGTTTGTAAGTTTTCGACTTGTTTGTATTCTTGACTTACTTACGTAGAGTAACCTAGTTATATAAAAGCCAGAGTAGTTTCAGGAATACCCTGAAGCGACTAGCAGAGCCTATGGTTATTAGTCATTACGGACTACCTCTACCAAAAGACCAAGAACCCAATACAGGTTTCAACGCCGCTCAGTTTAATGAACTTACAGTAGCTTATGTGGATAAACTCTTGCAAAAGAGTTTCTTTTTGCAAGATGGAAGGGATGCCAATGTAAAGTGTTTTTTGTTCTTCTGAAATAAACTGACTAATTTTTGAGGGCTAGGGCCGTGTCAATAATTTCGCTCATCCTTGTCTTAGAGAAGTAGTGAAGGTTCTGTTTTATACAAGTAGCAAAGCCTTGGCAAAAACCTTTCCAAACGATTTCAGCGCAGAAATACCTTACGGAGCACTTGTTTTGGCTGCCATGATTGTTGAGTTGATTATGTTTTGTGGCTGCTCCAGTTATTTGACTATTTAAACTCCAGATACGACATTGCATTTCCAAATATGAGGATGGTCCCAAACCGAAAAATGTTGATTTTACCACAGCCTCAAATCTTGAATATTACAAGCTCTATACTGATATGATTACGTCTATGCTTGGGGAGCCTTACCATTCTTCGAAATTTAAACAAAATATGAGGTCTTGGGCCTCCAGCTTTAGGTCAGCTTCTTTGATATGAAAACTTCTCAACTGACCGGTACTTTAGTATGGAGGCGAACTTGGAAAAAGGAAAGACACGTATCCAACACATTGATCTTTCCTGAGCTACAAGGTAAAGAAATTGTAGTTATTTTCTAAATGTTTCTTATTAAGCTTGTAGATCCTCTTCAAAGTTATTTACTGCATCGGACTTTTGGCCTAAGCTTGAGGTTGTAAATATCTCCTCGCGGTCTAGTATAATATAAGGCTTTCATGGATTGGCCGATGACAGAAGCCAGGAGTCGTGAAAGATGTACATACGATTGGAAAGCAGAACAGCAGACAGCGGAATAGCCAGATTAGGGATAGCGGATAGTGGGATACGGGATACAGTCTAGCGGGACAGCGGGACAGCGGGAAAGCGGGAAAGCGGGTAGTAGACATCCGCCTCCTCTATTTGTAAATACTACCTAATGCGGATCATATGATTAGATATACATATTTTTACCTGAGCAGCTGAAAGTCATATGGCAATTTCCCTCCCAGCTGGGAGCTTCTGGGAGCAGAAATGTCAAATAAGCCGAAGATTTTAAAAGCTCTTCCCAGCTCTCTCCAGTGCTCTCCAGCCAGTACCCTTGCTCTCGCTGCTTTGAGTGCTGGGGATGCTGGGAAATGCTGGGAAATGCTTTGCAAAGCTGGGCAGCATCGCCCAGGTTTTGCAGATGCGGAATTGTACAGAATGGGAGCATGAAGTTGCATGTAGCTTTATGTTTGACATTGAAGTAGTACTGATGAAATCTTGGATGATGGCAATCTTTTCCTGCAGAGATTGAAAGTTCATAAGAGCATCGGAGGCGGTGGTGCGAGAGAGAGAGAGACGACGCAGAAAATTTTCTTCAACAAAGATCACATGAGCAAATCAAATTTCCCATTTCAGACTCTCACATGACTAGAGGTATAGACTAGGGATGAACAGAAATAATTGAGGCGAGAGATGACCACAAGAATGCGCCGTTGCTTATTTTCGGGCGTTGAGCCCTGGCATCAAGATTTTGAAACTCAGTTCATTTGATAATTTTGTCCCTTGCTCATACTCGATCGTTTGAACATGGGTTATATGAAGGTTTGACTGTGTAGTGTCGCTGTAGTTTTCAAACCTGTGCAATATGGCTTGCGTAGGGATCCTTATCAGACAATTTTACATATAAGATAACGTTGACTTGAATCATTCCCCTCCTTAGGAACCAACGCGAAGACCCAGGAGGTAGATTTGCTGGTCAAATCTATCACACGCCGCTGGTACGTATTGTGTCTGTAACAGTTTACCTGCAGGCCTTGTAGTTGCTGAACTTCCCTCGTCTTTTCACCCTTTTCTTTTCTAGAGCCTTCCCCCATCTTTCTCCTTCGAAAACCACAATCATGTATCCGATGTCCCTGGTACACTTGTTCTTGTTGTGGACGGGGCTCCTGTCTTCAAGTTTCCTTCAAGTCGGTGTTGTAGCAATTCCGATGCCTAATACCTCAGTATCGCTCGAACCACGAGTATCACGCGGTAAGCTTTCGTAGTGTTCGAGTAAACAATCTTCTGATTTTAGCCTACCATGGAATTAGCTTTGGTTGACATTCAAATTTTCCTCAGTCGTGGAAGGGGCTCTACACCAAAACAGTCTTGGTCCCTTTTTGTGGGCTATGATCATGGTTATCGAACCAACATAGATCTGAGCGCAGTCGAGGCGGTCTTGTTCCCGAACGGTCGACGTAAAAGGCTGACTAGAGCTAAAGATAAGAATAAGATAGCAACCATTTCATTCGAGACAGAACTCAGCAAGGAGATCGTTTGGGATTCACTTCTTAAAGTTCAATGCGGAGGAAAATGTTCCACGAGATTGTTTTGGATCATTCATGCATTGGAGGAGCTGCGTCAGTCGGCACACATAACTTCTTTTCAATTTTCGGAAACTAGGTGGCTGGTTGTGGCCAAGGAAATGATTGAGTCCAGAGGCACTGCAGATGGTCGCTCAGTAGTAGGAACACCAGCGGAAGAGGAATACAAGAAGTTGGAAATGGCTCTGAACGCTGGACATGACATTACTGTAGAGCAGTTCCAAGATATCGCGCTCGGGAATGGTGTCGTGTAGCAAATTACCTTAATATGCATATACCAGTCGTGTTGTGTCCTAGGTCGGAGCTCTCTCGCGAGAGATTTTGTCATGAAAGTTTTGATCAGTGAGGCCTATAAGTGAGGGTTTGCCTAATCTTAATGAGCGCTTGAGCTCGTTGTATCCAATTATCTTCTTCCTGTTACCTGCTCCATGCCCGCCCCTCTATTCACAGAGTCGGGCGTCATGCCAGTCCGCTTTGGTCGAATTATTCTCGCTCTGAGATACCTCGTTTACTTCATCAAACTTCCTCCTCACCACTACACCAGCCTCGCTCTACAAACAAACCACATCCTGCGCTCCTCCAGACAACCATGCTAGTTATCTGCTCTTGACTGGGCAATCTGTCATCTCCCAAGTTCAACCCTCACTCTCCCTGCCACTGCTCGGACTGACATTTGTACTTTACTCTCATATACTCATATCATCCACTCTGCTTTCGTATACTCGTAATTTGTACTATATCACTCTACCTCGAGGACTCGACGGCAGTCTACCTTCTCCTTGCGGGTTGAGCTCGCTGCCGTTTGAGCCTCAAGACCGGCTGTTCCTTTTTCGGACCACACCCTTCGCCGGCTGGAGCTGTGTATCTATCTATCTACATATCTTGCTTTTTCAAGCCTTTATAAAATGCCGAAAAAAGATGAGCAATCTCGATGGAGTGAACACTGAATACAATACAGTGATTTTGGAGTCCTTGATACACTTACCGTAAATTTGTTTTATGGGGACATTTATTTCTTTATTGAGTATCTCAAAACAATGCAATATATATGGTGCATGCTTGGCTAAAATTTCTAAGTGTCAGCTATCAGTACTGCAGACATATGAACAGATATGTCAGATTTTAGAGCTCATTTTGAGTGAAAAACATCCAATTTGATTGTAAGTAATGTAAGCAATTGCATTATGAGTGGAAGAAGTACTCGTACATGTACCAGACCTGGTCCTCTATCACCTCTGATAATAAATTTGGCAGTAAAATTCGAAGTACAGTAAGAATGCCCAAGATAGTTTGGTGTGACAAAATTCGAGGGACATGGACCACTAGCGCGGATCCCGGGTAGCTTTTATCCGGGTGATACATAACGCCGTCACAGGTGTATCAAGGACTCCAAGCCCGTGACATTCGCCCTTGATACGATTTAATTCCTAATTAATCGAAATTTGTCCTTGAGCATTGAGTACAGTGAGCTTAAATGATCTCAACATACTATGCTTTGATTCTAGATACTTAAATTTGAAACATTGTGACATAAGAAAGAGTCGCAAACAAAACTTGATGTTTTGTATCAAGGACTCCAAGATCACTGTATACTTGCAATATACGTTACTCTCACCCTGCTCTCACCACTGCCTTCATTTTTCGCGATTTTTTTCATTCGTTTTGTCGAAGCTTTTCGGTCTTTCCTCTCTCTCTCGATAATGTCCTTTAAGCTCACTCCCGACAATGAATTGGACCTATTTTTTTCTGCAGACCTCATCTCGGACCAGGTCAAGGCCCAGCTCCATCCAGATGTCCACGTAGGAGCCAGCCAAGTCAAATTACAACCGACTGATCAATACTACTGCTTTTTATACAGCTTCGCCCATTAGCTTCAACAGACTACCACCGTGGCCACCTCGCCGTGCTCTCCGTCCTCACCGTTGTTTCCGACCCAGGCGAGTCGAACTGGCTAGCCCAATTCCATTCTATGCGCGCTGCTTCCAAAACATACTACCCCATTGTCATCGTTTCCAAGCAAACCGACCAAATTGTCGGCGTCGGCTGTGTCTTCATTGAGCGCAAATTCCTCCGCGGGTTAGGCAGCGTCGGGCACATCGAGGATATCGCAGTCGATAAGAGCCAGCAGGGCAAAAAGTTGGGGTTGAGGATCATTCAGACGTTGACTGGAATCAGCGAGAACAGTGGATGTTACAAGACGATTTTGAATTGCAGTGACGAGAATATACGTGCGTGTTACACTCATTTTCTTTGGAGATGGGCATCCTGACGTGTTATTTTCATTGAAGCTTTTTATGAGAAATGTGGGTTCCAGAAGAAAGAGAACGAGATGGTAAGCTTTGGTCGGCACTCTCGTGTCTCTCCGCTCAAGTGCATCCGTTTCCTTTCTCTAGGCCAAATACGCTCCGGAGCGCGCACAACATTCGCCTAGGTTGTAGGGTGTGGCCCTCCCTATCCTCTCAATAACATGAATTCATACAGCCTTCCCCACGAACGCTACTACACTCTATAACTCATACGGACAATTTTGATACAAAATAATGGTGTCGTTTGGTATTTTAGTCCCCCCATAATTGGAACATGGTAGAATATCACAATCTACCTGAATCATCGTCCTTTGTCGCCGCTCTTAGAGAGCAGATAATCCTTGCGACGTTTTGATGGCGTCGATTTCGTGCATTCGCGCCCTCTCATGCGCCAGGTATGACCAGAATACACTTACAATCTAGGAGACTCGGTTTTCGCTCTATTCAAGTTGGACCTGCTGTCGGGTTCTGAATTTCCAGCGCCACAGCGAATCTCTAACTTGTGTTCTGCTGTCGGAATAGATGTATTCTCTTCGTAACTGCATATACAAACAAGTGAAAACTTAAGCTGTATGCAATCTGGTGTATAATGATCCATGACACCAGCATGATGGTATAATATTGAACAGCAGTGTTAATGATTCTATTCTACGTGGAGGTGTGTCCGTACCCACAGCTCATCGGGGACAATACTCATTATATATCCTATCCTATCTTTACACCTTGTGGGTTGTGTTTCGTGGCTTCTAAAAAAGTGAATGGGCTCAGAATACGGTGTACTGGCGCGCCCCGACGCGTCGTGGCTAATCAACATCAAACTCAATCGGGACCCACAGAATGCTGCTTAAAACTATTTATCTCTCCTTCATGAGGATATGAAATCCGTTTTGGAAGGCTACGAACATGGACAAGACAATGCTGGTGTTTGAGATGTTAACCGTGATGTAGACCCAGACTTACGGTGCTGATGAAAGTAAGATTAGACAAGATCTTCCATATGTTCGTGGCATCCCATTCAGATGTAACATTTCGTATGCAGGAACAGAAGATCAGGTAGTTCAGGCCCCGCATGACGGCCGAATTGAACCTTGGAAGCAAGGCTTGAAAAAAGCCCGTTGAGTTCTCGAAGTTCATTTATGCAATGAAAAATTTTCACTAGCCAAGTAGTCCCAGGAGAATAAACATAGGTTGTACATCATGTAAAGGCGGATTGAAGGTAGTGATATGTACAGGAAATTTAGGAAATTGTAATGAAAGTCGCGGCATACTCATTATCAGCTCATTACTCTTCAACGTGTGGTGGCTTCATGAACCCACCAATCATCCAAAGCCTCAAATTGCAACCTTCCAGTTTGGCCCATCCATCCGAACAATGCACCGATGTTCGTAGTCGTGGCACATGGCCTGATACCTTCCTGAACCTCGAAGCCAATGCTGATACATATAGAAGGGAGGGTAAGATGAAGTTCCCTGAGTGCCGTATCAACCATGGTATCAGATGGAGAAGGATATTGCCGAAATTGAAGGTGTAGTTTTTGTATGCAAGGGTTCCCTTGGAAGAGAGCTCGTTGAAGCCCATGTAATACCATTGGAGCGTCACTGAATCGCTTCAGCACAAGCTGAACAGTGAGGACGTTCACCAAGCGATTGAACATATGTTCCTCGCCGACTATTGAAGCAATGAGACACAGTGTTACCAGCGGATTCATACGGAAACGTACCGCCGTGCCTATGGTCCGAAAGGTCTAACGTGAAATGGATCAATGTTGAGTTTAATGTCGCATCGATCATTGTCATGCAGGAACCCCAATCGAGTGTCATCAGAGCTATTCGATGCAGGTTTCGTAGGTCAAAAGAACCTAAGAAAGTCGTGATGACTCCATTCTCGCAATGAGATATGTAGAGCCCCGTAAGGCAACTAGCTTGGCGGCACGACTGTGACGGCCGAGCAGGTACCGATTTTCGTCGATCCCAAGCGTCTGTAATCCAATCTGGGCCCCAGATGGACTGCAAGTGTAAGCTTTGCAGGACTGGAGCACGTATTGCGGCGCATGCCATTAAAACTTCGAAGGCAGGCGGATAGATCACGAGTGAGCGCACAGAAATGTGTTCTAATTTCTGGTTATGGCGGATGAATGACAACAATTTAGTGAACATTGCATCGTTCACCGCGTATATGATAACGTTGGAGCAACTGAGAGTCAAAGAAATGAGGTTGTGCAATTTCGACGCTTGTGGTATTTCAGAAGCAATATTGCCACTACTAGTCAAGGCCAAGACCAAGTTACGAGCATACGAAGCCACATCAGTGTTGGAAGCGACGTTCCGCTGAAACTCAGTGGTGTGCCCGATAGAGTTGTGTAGATCTGCCTGATTTGTCGAGGGAACTCTGAAATCGATGCGGTGGAACATGTGCGTTCTGGATCTAGGAACCCATGAACGCTCTACTAGGGAGCAGGTGGAGAGGGCGTCCTTCGATGGTGGTGATATTTCGTCGATTATTCTGTCGTAAATTTCGGGCGGAAAGGTAGATGAGGGTGGCATAACGAAGGAGAGCAGGAAGCGTCAGTGTTCTTGAAACGGAGCCTTCCGTAAAATTATTCAGTAATAAATCATTGTAGAAATGACAAACATTTACTCCCAAACAAAGATATACAATACAGCTTACACGAGCTCTTGCAAGGAAATCCCACCTCTAAAATGAATTTTGGCGGAGGAACTCCGACTGGCCAAGTCGGGAAATCAAGCCAAGATTCCATCCGCGCAAGGTAAATCTCCCCAAGATTCGAGGGTGTGACGGGGAAAGATTCCAGATCTAGTTTGACTGACCTAAAGTCTGTTTAGAATACACATGTCAGCTCTGGTCAACTTGAACATTCTAATGTTATACCCACGGGAACGTTAGAGTAGATTAGAGGGAGGAACATATAAATTGTGATAGTCCTTCTTTCTATTTCAACCCAGATTGAGATTCAGTACCATGCTGAATGTTGACCTGGTATTCGTTTTGAGAGGTTTTCAGATATTTTCACGGTCCTCCACGTTCATTTCCGAGAATCATACGCGCGTGTTGAGACCTTCACTGCGGTAAGTGCGCATAGTGAGCCTTGATTCAGACGGATGAATTTTGGAAAGAGGCTTAACCAAGCTCTTCATTCAGAGCACCCTAAAGGCCAAGCAGAAAGGATGCTTGGTTTTTAGGACGCTATATCTGGCAGCGATGATAGACAAAGGAAGCCTTTCAAAGTTATAAATGTAAACGATGTTACGATACGGACCGCGATAGGGAGGGAATGTATATAGACCGTCGGATACCTTGAATTATTCGTAGTATGTGGATCTAATCACGCAGGTGAATGAAATGGTGGGATTAGCTCCCCCAACCGAGTAATAGTCCTTGATGCTTGTGGGGAGGCAAGTTGAAGCGCTGATACCACTGCACGTGATGAACGCTCTAAATCCGGACCAAATAAAGCTTCAAGATTTTGATCAGATCTATTCTGATTATGTCTGTCGGTCGAGCCTCTCTCTCCTCTTCACCGTACAAGATATGCGATATACGAGTATACTGCTGTGCGAATCTCAACTTTGACTTGGAAGGGAAGGAGAAAGATTTAGAAACTTGTACAAAGATGAAGATGTGCCGTGCGCTCATGCTTCGATAACTTGAAGCATAGTCCCTTCCTAGGCCTCTGGCGTCACTACTTAAGTACTCATAGCTCTCACTCTTCGGAGAAATACGATTCCGCGGACTTCGTCACTCCCTCGAAAATTTTCTGCGATAATCCGAGCTCCGTGGCTGCATAGCGTGTTGAGTAGCTGTTGACGTTGAGTACTACATTCTCTGAACCTTCCCGAAGAGGTGTCTCATCGCCTTCGAAACTTCTGCATAAATCATCGTCACTACACTACAGCCAATCTGAAAAAGGCGCTGCATAATGCAACCGCTGTGGTGTTTTGACTTGTACCGAAATATAAAGCTTCTAATCAAACTTTTAGTATCTGCTAAATCCCTGGTTTGGTGACTTGTTTGTGACGCAATAGTATCTTCGATCTACACAAGTGGCATCTATGTCTTATTGCTCAACATTGGGTGTGTACTACGGAATCTTCTCGAAGGGTAGTTCAGTTGGTTAATGTTGATTGGATATACACAGGCATGCTTGAAATTGGAGTAGTTGTTTCCAGCATTCTATTTGGGATTTTGACCATGCAAATATATTTTTACCACAAGAATTTTTCTGAAGACCCACCTTGGATCAAACTTGGTTTGGTGAGTGGATGTCAGTTCCGATACACTCGTAAGTCCTTAGGGTGATTTTTGATATCAAGGTTAGTGGTATATGGTAAGAGGTCTTCTATAAATACCGCAAAACCACACAATAGTCACTTGTTCTGGTATCTGACTAGGTTTATTGAGCTGACCCACACTGTCTGTATTGCCCATGAGGTCTACTTCTACTCTGTTCTTCACTTCGGAGATACAAGCACTTTCAATGGCTGGCCTGTCAGCTTTGCAATAGCTGCCATCTGCCATGGAGTTGTGGCGGTACTAGGTGAGCATCCCGCGCAGCTGCTCAATAATATGTATACCTGACATCTCGCTCAGTGCAGGGATTCCTTACCTATCGCATATCACGGTTTACCGGCCACCTATACATTATCCTTATCCTCATCTCATGCTACTCCGTCATGATGATAGCTGAATTAGTGTCTAACATCGTGATTGGAGTTGAAATTGCCACCATTGCTCGACAGAGTTTTATTTCATTTCGACAAAAGTGGCAATGGCTGATCCTCGCTGTCCTGATTTTGAGGGCTGCGTTGGATGTTCTAATTTCCGGAACCCTGGTGTATTATTTGACTTATCACCGGAATAACGCATACAAAAAGTGGGCACTCTTTACACGAATATGTTCATTGTTCAGATCTTAACTATAGTCATTCTAGTACAATTGCAGTCATTGACAAGCTAATCTTATGGACTATAGGTACGTTGCTGTCGTACAGATATTTTGAGATATACTATGTCTGAGAATACAACTAGAAACTGGTATTGTTACGAGGTCCGTAGTGGCCTATCATCAGATTCCACAGTGGGTTCTGAACTGGAATGAAACAGCGTGATAAGTATCCTCATAATAATATGTGTACGAGTCTTCAGATTCTTCTTACAAACATCTAACAGCCTCAGTATACAATATTTCCAGAAAATTGTAAGTCCAGACTCTTTCAGTGCTCAAGACGGGCTTTTTTGACTCGAGAAATGCAAATAGACGCCTGGGTATTTCTGTACATGATTCTTCCAAAAAGTGTGTCAAGAAGTCTTGCTTCCACGCGAATTGCATATACTGAGTCAAAATGCTCCACCAGTATTTTCTAACACCTTGTTGGCAAAGTGCGTCCGATAACCCTCAATATTGATTTTTTGTCAGGAATGTCCTAATTTATGGAATTAAGTTTAAACTCGCGACATCAATTGCGCAGTATGCAAACGACAGTAGTGCCGATGTCTCACGACGTTATGGTATGAGCTCGCTTCGAAATTTAGTAAATACTGAGTACTGACGACCCATGCAGTCTGATATCCATATAAACGGAGGCATGCTGTTCACGTTGGATACAGAGAATGGATCAAGAACCACGAATGCACCCGGGAAGCAATGCTTTCCGAGAAGACTTTCATCCAATGAAGTCAGGGAACAAACGGTTATTGCGTAAGGAATACTGGATACTTCTCTATCGTAGGTTGAGACCGTCCTGTAGCCCGCATACGGCTCACAGAGTATTTTATAGTTATATAGCTACTTCCTTCTGTAGATGCGTTTGGAAGAAATCGGCTGATAGGATGTATTTTAGTGCTTGTGTAACTCTACTGACAATAACATGAACGTACACAAAGCGAACGCAGAACGTTTGTATGTTCTTTGCAGCGTCGGGCTGGAATAATTGACATATTGTATGCCAAACCTATAGAAACAAGAATTGTGAGAGAGTGTACGAACGAGATCGGGGGGAGAAATCTTGCCGGGCACTTAATCCACTATTCCACTCAGCGTTATCCATGATGGCTGATGTTATTAATGATTAGAACTAGCTGCCCGAATCATGGAAGCGGTCACACAAACCCCAAGCAAAGGCACCCTCGACAGGCATACCATCTTCCTGAATTGAGAGCAACAACTCTCCAAGGTACGTCATATAGTAATCTGTCCCCCAGTGTAGTATTAGCGAACTGCAAATCGAGTTTACTACAATGTTCCGACTCACTTGTACGGTCAGTGTCTTCCGTAATTTGAAATAGTTCTGCGGGTGTCCGCACACCTTCGAAAGGTTGTGCAAACCCGAATTCGGAATAGTACTGGAGAAACGAACGGGTCAGCGATGAGTGTCAAGGTACATACAACAAAGAAACGCACGATCCTAGGCGCCGGCCATCTTCGATGATATTCCTTGAAGGATGATCGTAAGAACTGAGGAGTAGCTTGAAGCCAAGATGTGAGCGGATCGGAAGCGGGACCTGAAGCCCATCCAGTATTGAAGTCGAACATGACTTCGAGATTACACGAAGGCCAAAGGGGATCTGATGAGTTACTGACGCATGCATCGATACCTTCTGGCGGTGCAGCGTTCCAGTACGTTCGATAAGCGTCAATTGCGAAAAAGTCTGCCGTGCCTAAGTAGGAGCTCGATTATCTTGTGCCGATCCTCCAAAAGACCGGTTGAACACTAACCTAGGATTTCTTTGGAATCCTCTTCTGTAAATCGGGGAAGGTAGTCCGGCGAAAGAGTGTCCTTCAAGATCTGGGGCCAATCTCCAGTCGTATATACTGGATCTGCGAAGACTCCAATTCCGAAGGCCGCGTGTCGTTCAACTGCATCAACGTCTTCAGTGTTGTTGGCTCTCCAAGGCATACCACTGACTCGGATTGTCAACAAAGATAGCAACAATATAGAAGAATACTGACACGTAATCAGAGCTTTTGAATGCAATTTCACCCGAAATGTTCATCTCTCGGAAGACTAAGGAAACGATCTTTGGGAATTTTGGTCATACAGGACACAGTAGTGACGGCTTACCTTTGACGGCCCCTGCATGGGCTTTCACTTAAATGTATTGTACTCAATATGAGACCATTATGGTGTAGTGTAACGGCGCACAGAGGTAATAAGAGCAATGGAACTGGGCATTCGAAGAATTGACACCATTTGGGAGGGACAGGTCTAGCAATGTGTCACTACATCACCGAATCGAATCGAAAGAGAACCTACTGAACGGGAAAACACCCACATTGGCGCAGAAAACTTGAGGCTCATTAAAAGTATACCTGGAATGATGTTTGAGGGCAAGGCAATGAATGATACAGCACTAGCCTGACCATGTATGTACAGAGCCATTGTAGGCCGTGAACACAGTTTTGGCGTAACTTCAACGGCGGAAGATGAGCATACCCCATGTGAGGATAGCACAAGATACACGAACTGAATGAAGTCATCCACAATATTGGGCGAAGCAAATCCACCGTAATAGGCATTTAGAGCGAGAGGGACATCCCAGTGGACTGATTATATATTCGTGTCATTGAAAGCGATTCAAATGCAGGAACATACAGAGAGTGACGACGGGCGTGACATTGAATTGAAGGTGTGTGGCTATAACTGTAGATATCATTTAGTGTCGACAGGTAGTGATACCTGTAGTTGCATACATACCATCTGCATAATGATTGATACCTTGCTGGTTCACAGGAGAATCTGACGCGCCAAAAGGAAAAATTCTTGCCCAAGAAATGCTGATAACACATCGTGAGTTTGAAGTATGTGAACAGTATTTATTTACTCACGAGAAGGAATGGGAATTGACGCCAAGAGCAGCGATTCTTGCAACATCCTCTTTGTAGAGGTAATAATGCAGATCCACTACGTCCGCTGAAAGCGTAGTCAGATGCTATCCATGATCGTCAAGGAGAAGAGTACCAGTGGAGTTATCCGTTACCACGCCAGGTTGATGGCCAGCCCTGTGCGTTCACTTTATTTTCGAAGAACAGGACCTCGGAGACAACTCGGAAGACCTACCAATCCCATATACTTGGCCCTTTACCCTCGTCCTTGACAGCTCCCTCTACTTGATACGCAGCCGAAGCCACTCCGAAGAGGAATCCTTTGGGGAACTTCAAGTCAGGAAGGATGTCTTTGGGGGTAACGGCAAAGAACGCGGGATACAATGCAGGCGGCGGAGATGGTAATGTGACTGGGGTCTGGGGAATGACGGTCGTGGTGATTGGTGGAACTTCTACCGGACCGATCTAATCAAAGGTCAGCTATGTACTAGCATCTCATGAAAATTCTTCGCACCAAGTCCCAAAGTCGTGATAGGCCGGCGGGGGAATAGTCTCGTGGAATGGAACCCACTGGAGGAAACGGTGCACTACTTGAACTCGAAGGTACCGTTGTTGTTGTGGGTACGGCGGTTAAGGTAGCGGATGTGGTGAACAAGGACCCTGATGTCGTCGCACTGGAAAGAGAAGTGAGAATAGACGGGACTGTAGTAGACTCAGCAACGCCCGAGGTGAGATGAGAAGATACTACGCTGGTTCTAGGGTCAGGCAATAGGGAAGACACGTTAATGATGGTTGAAGGCGCAGTTTGGGAGAGGACAAATTCTACGCCATACAAGAGCGCAAGCAATGTGGAATGAGAAAGTAAGAGATACATATGTTGACGGTCATTCCAATAGTTTTGAAACCAACTTATGAAGGATAAGAGGTACGGCTCGGGTGGTCATGGGTATGCATAGACCTGCTGATCATGACTCAGTACGACTGTAAGAATGGAAGATGATGTTTCATTGAGAATGCCACCCTCCATATAGTCGCAAGATGTAGGAGGACGATCCGGAGGTCCACTGAAGAAGGTCATTATTTTAAAGGTGGAAGAATGACTAAGATTATGGTATTGTAAATTGACATTCATGCTGATGACATTGAACGAGTTGGAGAATATAAATTGTCCTTATAATCCTCTTCGGAATTGGACCAAGGAAGTATATCCTGCAAACGAAGTTTCCGAATGGTGCTGCTAACCCAACCAGCCGCCTCGCACTGAATAACCCGAGTTAGAGAGAATTGACGTTATAACACAAAGACATACCGAACAGCACCAATAGATATCATTTCCACTGGGACTGAAACGCGTATCGGTCTTTCCGGTAGCCTCCCATGACAAGCAATAGTAGCACTGTCTCAAAAGTCCACTGTCAGGCGTAACGACCTCCACTTCATAACACGCAATCCGTTTCCCTCCGTCGTGAGGGTCATTCGATGGCTCAGCCCGTATGCGGCCGGTCAGCCTCGCTACTGGGTAGTCCGAGTCGAGTAGTAAATGAATGGGAGATACTGCGGAATATTTGGTCGTGCTATCGGAAGGATTGTAGCGTTGGGACCGGCATGAGGGGTTTAGCCAAAAGTGACTACGAGCATGTTGGTCTGGCGCCGAGTAGTCTGGAGAATTCAGAGCGCAGACGATGCGTTGACTGTCTGGATCCGGTAGTCCGTATGCACGAGGAAAAGTTAAAAACCATCGCCGTTGGAAACGGCTTAGAGAGAGTGGAATAGAAGTGAAATGGCGAGAGCAAAGTTGGATTATCTCCGCCTGAGGAGCTGAAGGCGACGTGGGCGTAGAGGGTTGGGACATCCTACCTCATTGGAAAAAGGTGAATTAGTGAGAGTAAAGCGAAGAAAGATATTGAGGCCTTCCGAGATTCGCAGCCACTTGGAGCCATGATGACGGTATAATTGATCGGCTGCTTTATATCATTATGTAGGTGCCAAACGTGCCAAACTTCCCTGTTGAGACTTGAGCTTGAACCCTTGCACAAACGAGTTCTAGTTTGTGTATTATTTGTGTCAAGTACATATGTATGGCAGGGAAGGCCAATAATTAGTCGCACTAAAGCTGATAACCAGCCCAGCAGCATCAACCGAATTCAAAAGAAGATTTTTTTTGCGAATTTTATGAATAGTCGGGGTGAGCGGGTGATAGTCGGGAACTGAAGGCGGATTGATTTTCTCACGCTCTTATTGACGAACATTCTGCCTTTTTTCTGCTTCGAAACTTTCGCATGCATTCTGTCTTAAGCTATGCCTTCCCGAAGCCCACGCAAACGCCGCTATAGCCTGCTATAGCCTTAGTGAATATGAATGACATGGCTAAAGTGAAGTTTTGCCATCGACCTGAACTGATTTTAAATCCAGAATCTCAGGGCAAAGCAAAGCAAGTTCGTCGTCAGTGATTGTTCCCGGCACCGTCTCGCACCTCTTTCCCAGAAATCTATAGACGGAGCAAGGACAGTCCGCATGGAACTACTTTTGGTGTAGTTTTCGTGCACCCGCGCTGCTGACTGTCCTTAGAGAGGCTTGGTCCCATCACCATGTGGAATCCTACTACAAGCTGTGATGAGCACAGTTAGTGCATTTTTGTGCCGAAACCTTACCTATTACCCCCTTGGTGCTCGTGGTATTTTTTGGATTCGGGACACCGCTCACATCGCAGCTCGAAGAGCTAGTCATAGAAATTTTTCATTCAAATTTCCTGGTGGCAGAAACATATGCTCGGCATTCGAGTGAAAAACAAAGGCTACGGAGGGTTGAAAAGGTTCACATTGCGCTCTAGCCTCGACCTCCTCCATGGTCTTTTCTTTGGGCCAATCTAATCGACGTGGTATTTCGAAGACCCTCATTCAGTGTCTCAGGCTATCAAAAATGTTTCCATGTACCTATCGTTCATCCGACGATCTGGATTCTGGACGACCTATTGGCGTCTCCTAAATATTCGGATCCCTCAGATGAATTCCGATTAGGATAAATATGAATCATCTGAACTTTGTAGAAATGGATTTTAGAGCCCTTATCCTTCGGTTGAACTGCTTGCCGTGAAGTCTCATTGCGCATACCCAGAATAGCATCCGGTTCGTCCGATATCTGCGGTTGCATCGATGGGGTTTGGGACCCGTTTACTGCATAATTCACCTCGATCGAAGGGAAGAAAAAAACAATGTGGTATACGCCTTGGGCAATGAGTACGAGTCCGAAAATTTCGTGTTGGGGGTGTAATCAATGAAATCCTTTTAGGGAGTATGGGATACCTTTGGGTAGATAAGCAACGTCGCCTCCCTTCGGCCACTCGTATGCAATGGCTAGAGCTTGTCACCTCCCCGAGACAGAGACGGTGCTTTGGTTCAAAATTTCCATCCCATTGTCACTTCAAACTGGAATGTTGTAGTTCGCAATTAGAACCACCGGCATGGAGTAGTATATAGTATATTGTCAAAGCGAAGTCGCAGACATGCAGTTTGCTGTTGGTCCACACAGCCAAATGTGTCAGACCAATACATGAATTTGCATGGAGCTCATGCCGTTATGGAAAAAGCAATACCGCGTGGGATCTTTGTGTGTGAACCTTAACCAGACCTTGACATTCAAGTTTATCCCTCTACTCACTCAGCCTCACTACTGTTCCTGCTATCACTTACGACTCTCGCATGCTTTCACAAGTATATACAACCATTTGACACTGTGAGAGCACCAATTATGCTGCCTGTATCTACTTATGGTTAACCCTTCTTCATATGTAGGACATGGCAATACTTGTTGAGGTCAGCCAACGGCAAAAGAAATCATGAATCTTGACTCCATACAGAAGTACTGGTATGTACTGGATTTGCGCATTGCCTTCTCAACATTACATCCGACGTTCTGCTACACTGTGTACATATTGCTTTGTAGCAGGAGTGGAAATTTCCTTCAGGCACGGGGTACTAAAAGGGCCAAACTGGCTTAAATACTAGGGGAATGGATCCTTCTCTGAGGTCACGTTTGGACGTAAGCGTACGACTTGCCATCACACTCTCCCTCGAACAATTCTACCAAAATCGTGCTGATATTTCCTGTATAGTACACGTTGAAGTAACAATTCATTCAGGTGCTGAATATATGATTCCAATATAGGTTTCGGTGGTCTAAAGAAAAACAATGATCATCCGACATAGGAGTATGCTCCTTATAATGATATACCGATAGCTATGTCCGCAAAGATCGTCCGCGGAATTCAAATCTTGGAGCACGATATCTCATCGGACGACTTGGAGCAAACCTCGAAATGAAGTCATTCAATAGAATCTGTGCATCGTCGAGTGCTATAACTTTCAAGTTCTCAATTTTATATGTTTGCATGAACCTTTTTTGTCCGAGATCTCCGTGTATATATGCATGTTCTTCATTCGCGATCCTCAAGACCTTGAGGATCAGATCGACCTAAGTCAAAATGTGCAATGAACCACCTTATGGTTAGCTTGAACTCCAACCGCAACCGGGGCTTCCTACAGCCTGATTTCTACTGTATCCTCGCTACAGCCTACCGGGACTAGGACAATGTGAATTGTCATCTTTCAGTTCAAATTTGAAATATAATATAACCTTCCTCTGTAAAACAATGTTGAGTGTCATCTGAGTTTTCCAGTGCAAATCTCCAACATCCCACAATGTCAGTCTTGCACGTCATAGCCCAGTGGAGGCTTGGAATCCGTATATAAGGCTTGCAGTGATTTCTGTATGTTCTTACAGTTTTCTTGTGCATTTACATCTCTAATTCTACCCAACATGTCTTCTACACAAATTCAAACATACACGCTCTCTGAAGGAATCAAATTGTCCTTCACTGATAGTGGTGCACCACCCAATGCTGTGAACTACGTTACCGTCCTCTTCTTGCACGGTGGGATGTTTAATGCATGTGAGTATGGTCCAACCAAGTTCTGTTATCTGTAAATTCACTTGACCCCGGCTCCGTAGACCAATTCCACAAGATCCACTCGCACGCTCATTCGCTCAACCTTCGCACTGTGATACTTCACCGAAGAGATTATGAAGGATCTACGCCATACTCCCCAGAAGAGCTAGAGGAGCTTGAACAAGGGAGTGTGGTGTTTTGGGAACGTTTGAGCGCCCAAATAGCAGAATTTCTCGAAATCTTCATTATACGAGAAAAGATTCCGAAGTTAACTCGACGAAAATTGCCTCTTTCGCAGGATAGGTTGCAGTTTCAATCTATGAGAGCATCTTCTGAAAGTGTAGGTGGAAGAAGCGGGGGTGTCGCCATCTTTGGATGGTCCGCTGGATGCTCTACAGTTTTATCGTTCCTTGGTGCCAGCCATAATCCTATGATTTCGCAAGAATCATATAAGCTTCTGGAGGAATACATTGGGAACTGTATTCTCTATGGTAAGAAATATTCCTCTCCCCTGTATACACTAATGAATATTCATGAAGATCCAACTTACCTCTGCTTCGGATACACACTTCCCTCTGACAACCGGAACTACATACCATGGGCGGATCCTACGGTTGCTCCGGAGGATATTCCTCGAGCTGTTTCTGAATGGGTCAGCTCATACTATGATCATCCCTGTTATGATCCTATCAGCGGAAGCTTGCCTGTGACGGCGACCATACACGATCTCGACGGTACCAGGACCAAGAGCGACGAAATTACAATATCCTCGTGGACCGATGAAGAGTTAGTCAAGGGCATCGAAGGAGTTCCAGCAAAGAACGAGATGTTGGCGTAAGTGGGTTCATTTCATTTCCCATTCCCTGACCAAACAAATATTCATGCAGATTCCAACCGCCGGTACAGAACACCCTCCGTTTGCTGTCCGACCGAGCGTTTTTCGATCAGACAAATGTGACTACCTGGTTCCCGGATGTAGATGTATTGTATCTCGGGGGAACGAGATCAAACTGGATGTGTGCATGGGGAGAGATCGAAACAAAGAAACGATATCTTCAAGCAAGGTCGAGAAAGGACTCCCACGTCCGTGAGGTACAATTCTTTGACATGGATGGATTGAATCATCTTGTGGGCTATGTTCTCAATTTATAAAAGCGCTCGCTGACGATACCTTGATTGGATTATAGGCGCACTGGGATCAGACGCAAGAGTTCTTGCAGGTTGTCGCAGAGGGCATTCAACTTCACTGCTTAGGTCGATGGTCGTAAACATGACGATGGACCGCGAGGATTTGATATGTCATCACTTCGGGCACGATAGTGTTATTCAGATAATTTCGAGGTGTCGCCTCCACAAGGAGCCGGATCGTTATGATAGGAGAGTATAGTATAGATAGATTCTACCTTGAAGCACTGCTTGCGGTCAGCATAGATAATAATATCATGGTAAATTATTTTTCTGCCAACGCTGTCATTCGTCGTCCTGTATCACAGCAACCTAGTCCACTTTTCTTGTCATACATTCACCGTCCGGCCCGATTATTCGCACCAGCCGCCTTGAAAGATAAAGGCCTCACCCAAAGCTTCACCACGCCGTTCTTCGTCGACGTCAGCAAATGTTTTGGTAAAAATGCAATCGCGGTGGGAAGAGGATCTGGTGTGGTCGGTGTTGTCGACGAAGAGGAAGAGGTCGTTGTTGTGGTAGCAGTTGTGGGAGTATGTACACCAGGTGTGGCTGTAACTGTTGAAGTATTCGAGGATGAGGGTGATGTAGAATATAAACTCTTGATCAGCACAGGTTGTACGACTGCAATTTCGTTACGCGACGGTGCAGGATGGTACCGTTGTGAGTGTGTAAGACCATAATCGTCCCCTTCGTGTGATTCGTTTGCGGTACTATGGTCGAAGAGAAGCGGGGGTGGCGACGATGGCGGTAGGGAAGGTGGAAGATAGAGTGCTGAAGAGCTCATTGGGCCGCCACCACTGCGACTGCGAAAAGCTAGCGAGGTGTTAGAATAGGTTCCCATGAGTGACTGTCGATGGCTGTGGGAGTGTAAGTGGTTCTTAGGTCGGTGAAGGGCGCCGGAGGAAAAGTCCCACTGGATAGAAGTTGAATGAGATAAACAGATCGTATCGAAAGAGGAGGCGCTAACCAAAATCAGTTTATTATCCTCACCCACACTTCCAAACCTATATGTCCTACCATCGCATCGCGTTTCGTCGAAACTGACACACGAAACGAACGACGAATGGCCCTGACAGCGCGCGACCACACGTTGTTCCCAAGGAGAAAATATAGTTAACAGATCGTCTTGGCCTCCAGTGAGAATGAATCGACCGTCCGGTGACCAAGCAATGCAAGTGAAAGCACCAAAGTACGATGAGTAGCAATCTACCAGCCTGATACGATATCGGATAAGCGATGAATACACGAGGGAGAGTGATGTAGCTTACTGTTCCGCCAACGCATCAATAACCCTCAGACACCCATCCTCAGAAATAGCTCCAACATACTTAACATCTGGTGAAAACACGAAATCCACAACTGCCTTTCCCTTTGGCGCGACTCTCCAATGACTTACAGGATTCCTGATGGATTTGTCGGACTTGTCTGATACATCTGTATCACCATGTCGAGCAGCAGGATGCCATGGAGGCATCGTAACGAATATACTATCGACCGGATCCCATTTGTCTCCTCCTATTCCACCTGTTCCTATAGGTTCTTGGGGAACGAAGGTCCCATCTTCATGGTCCCGGTCGTAGACAACGATCGTACCATCTGCGTGCGATACGAGGAAGAGAGAAGCGGAAGCCGGGACCCAACGAACAGCGGTACAGGCTGAGGAGGTTACACAGCCGCCTTTGTTGAGTCTGTGATAGCGAGACGATATGGGATCGAGCCAGATGAGATCACCGGTGTGGAAACCTATGATGATGTCGAGGTGTTCTGGAGAAGCGGTGAATTGGTTAATGGAATGACAGGTTGGGTATGCGGAGAACATTGTTCGGGAAAGAGGCTCCTGAGATGAATATTAGATGACAGGATAGATATTGGAAGTGCAGGTAACGGACCTTGGCTTTTGCGCCAGCTTCAACCCACAGCACAGTTTTGACCTGATTATAGAAAAAGAAGGTAACGTCGCCGTCTCTATCTTTCAGGCTCCTCGGAAAGCCTTCCGCATGTTGATTTCGGGTGATAAATGTTGAATTGGTCGTTTTCATATTACTTCTTGGTTTAGACCACTTGACCGGCGTCATTGGCTTCTTATTCTTTCCAGCAGACGATGAATTCTGAGCATGATGGGAAAAGATTGTGTTAGCCGGAGCGGTTGAGGAGTGAGAATGGTGAGCCGTAGGGCTAGCTGGAGCGGTATAATCATCCTGTTGTTCGTCTGGAGGGGTATCATTGCTTGATAGACTAGTTCCATCTTCTTTCTCCTTCTCTTTCTCCTTAGTTTTCTCTTTGTCCTTCTTCGAATAATTATTCCCACCGAGCAACTGAGCCAAGCTCTGTCCTCCGCCACCCTTATCTTTGTCTTTCACCGGATACTTGACGGTGATCACGCTGACCCTCGTAGGAAAGCTTAAAGGTGAGGTAGCTGCGGCGTGGGTTTGCAGAACGGACGGTTTGTGTTCCTCGATAACCGTGTATACGCCCTCTGGAGCGACAAAGGTGGCTTCAGATTCCATTTATGACTCTCCACTGGCTGTAAAGGTTGCCTGAGCTGGAGTACAACGTCGTGGTCGTCCGAACAGAGATCATTCATGGTCGGCGATGGTGGCCCGGAGTTCAGGTCAGGTCTGGAAAAAGCGTTCAGTCATTGATATTTAATCATATTTAATCCCAATGTTCTATGTATGCACTGCTATTTAATAAGACTATCACTCACTTCATCTCACCAGTGGTCGCTTTCAACTTCGATAATACCGCGCATGGATCACAAAAAAATTCAAGGCAATATTCAAATGCAAAGGCTGTGCTGCCGTTTTTCTCTTTTAACCTTCAAGTTCGGTATTGCCCGGCGCAATCCTATCCCTATTCCTTCGTCGCCCGGTGCGCACTTTTGCCATATCCCTCTTTCACTTCCTTCAGAAGCACATTCCGGAGCTCTCCCCTCACCAATTTATAAACCTCTCAATCATTCCCCTATCATGATGTGGACCCTTTCGTCGATAGTATCGGGCATTTTCTTTGCTATCCTTGTCCCCGTTTTCTTTGAAGTGAATGCATCCCCCATCCGAAGCTCGGTCGCGTCACGCACGTCACCTCTGTCCCACTTCAGCGGTCGTGGCCAGCCTTTGTTCCCAAGAATGACTATAGGCTACGGTTATTTGAGTAACACAGTGAGTTGTATCATCCTCGTTACTGTCCAGATTGTTGATCGTTCCATACTTATGTATACATAGGCTATGTGTGCCGAATACCATAAAGGCATGACTGTAATCGATTGGCTTAAACCTCATCCCAATTTTTTCAACTTGTCTCCGATACCAAGATTTAATGCAGGGAGCATGTCAGAAGCGCCAGTGTGAGTCATTCCTTATCATCTTTAACCCAGCTCCAGCGTTTGACGATTATTTTGCAGCGGATCTTGCGAGGTAAAAAAGATGCTTTCCCCTTTTCCTAACTCTGAGCTCACATTCGTGCATGTAGTGCATCTTTGAAGCAAATAAATATCAATTTTTGGATAGTGATCTGGTGTGTTAACAATTCCCATATCTGTGCAGTCCAGGAGACCGGAAACCGCCCCTCTACTTAGAGGGCTTGGTATCCGAGCTGGGTGTGCAGGTCAATCCAAATCCAAATCCAACTGACATCGGTATAATGATTTAGCATTATGGTTTGCCTCACCTGTCAAAGGAACCCAAAATATCTTTCTCGAATCCACGGAATACTATTCCAAGGGTGTTATTATCACCATGTAACGGTGGGACGAAAGAGCTCAACATTACGATGTTCTGTAACAAGGAATGTAAGAAAAATTTGTGTTCCTGCACGTTTGATCAATATCATTTCTGCATACAATCTTTTCTCTGGGTGTGTATCCCTAGACTTGCATGGCTGAATGTGTCTGTTGACAGGGAAAGCGGACGAAATAATTGAATGGAGCCAATGGAAAATACAGAACTGGCCACAGATCGAGGATAAGCCAAAAACTATCAAGGATTTCAAGGAGGCCTCCCAGTTAAGTTTCTAAGAAAAACACCAGTACGAAGCAAGGGTTATCACAAGTTCTTCGAATTCGTTGTCATTTGCGTTCCGTGTGATTAGTCCATTCTATAACTACTTATGCCTATGAATATATTTCCTTCTACCGTTATAGTGTCAGTGAACTGAAACGACGTGACTATATTATTACGATTCACGTGTTCGCGATATTTGACCGAGGACTAGTACTCCGGGCCCTTAATCTAAATCTTCAATGCAAATGTGCTCGTGTCTACGGTGTCCCTCCCCGGTCTCTCTATAATCTCATCAGGGCAGATATGCAGATTTGTATCAGTTCCATGGAAATCAACCACGAAAAGCTGATGGACGGTCTTGAACCGTTTTCGTGGGCGTCTTTTAGTGAACACCGTTTCTCACTTACAGTTACCGAAAAGTATTCCTCGGTACACGGCTAGCCCAGACCCTCCTTTTGCTACTCTGTTTAGTCTGCATATGATGAAAGAGACGGAATCTACGGAAAAGCATGGCGGGACTCGGCGTTTGTTTTGCTTCGAGTGAATTGCTATGATTCGTTGGGGAACAATATTTGATCCATGATGATTAGGCTCTTCAAGAATCGTCAGGCGTTCTTAAAAGCAATCAAAGTCCCAGGTGCGGATGCGTATCGTGAGCAGCATGTATGGAGCAATGAAGGTGAGTTTACGCATATCTGATTGATTCTAAAGTGGATCATTCACGCAGACTGCGGCAGATCTTGACCCAACGCCGTTTTCAGAGGTGCACGATACTTTCCGTCTTCAACTGAAAAGAGTTATGCTGAAGAAAAAACTTATACAGCGGAACTGGCGTTGGTATCATTATGTCGCATTGTGGTGGGGCAGCTCTTTCAATCCTAACGAGTTGGGTTATTTGTTTTTCGGATATCAAATGTTAACGATCTGTTTATTAGCTGGTCTACCGGCTCTTCTCTCCTTTCGATTGGCCTTACTTTCGGTAATGCCATGGGCGCTGTTGCCATAGGCGCACTCTTGAGTTCTGTTGTCTGTTTTCTCCAGTCTTTCATTGTATCTTAGCTCATATTTCTCTAAGGCTATCGTTTTTGCTTCACGTCCAGGATCAGAATATCATATCGGGTACCCAGTCACTATCCGTGCTTCCATGGGCATGTACGCCAGCTACTTTTTCGTTGCTCTTCGTTCGCTCATAGCTATCGTCTGTGCGTTTATCCCATCATGTCCGAGACCACACTCTGGACTGAATGTATATACTTCCTTCGTAGACTATGGCATCCAGGCTTATTACGCCGGAAACCTCGTTAGCGTAATGCTCCGGTGCATGTTTGGCCACAAGTGGACTGATCTCACACCTTTCCCGATTTCGGCCAACATTACCTCCCAAGCATTTGCGGGCTTCATGATCTTCTATGTTATCACCTTCCCACTGATGTTCATTCATCCGAGATCTATTCATACCTTGTTTTTCTGGAAAGCAATCATCGTACCACCATGTGCAATTGCGCTGAGTGCCTGGGCAATGTACGTGAATGTGTTCTCTAGATGCCGCTGCATGACATGATCCTTGAGCATTTTGCTGTGGCTTCCAGAACTCAAGCAGGTGGCATATCCAAATTCTCATTGGGTACCAGCGGTGTAACCGGTAGCCAGTGCGTAGATGTTTTTCTTTGTTTACTTCTACATTTCACAACTTTGTGTTTTCTTCACAGGCTTGGGTGGGCATGGCTGGATGGTATCAACATCATCTTGAGTGGCATTTCACCAGTACATAGATTTATATGCAACGTTGATCGAATTTTCCATTCTCATATGCTTGCTAGATGATTGTTTCACAGCCTGACATAACTCGGTATGCTCGAAGTCCCTCCGACGCCAGTTATCCTCAAGCATTTGCCAATATGTTAGTGAAGATGTTGATCTATTTTGTGAGCATCCTGGTGTTGATTGCATCTTTGATTCTCATTGCATATATCTATTAGTTGGCCATCTGTACTGCAGCTTCACTCCAGGTTATCTATGGCGTGAGTGAAGCATATCGAGAACTTTGGTTTAAATTCCAAGCAAATTTTTGCTCCCTTTGCTAGGGGGCACCGACCTGGAATTTATGGGATCAAGTATGGACTATGCTTCATTTGCAAAGTAGTACCCACTTCATGGTCTAAACATTTCTTTCAGCTGAACCTTGTACTGAATCACAATTGGAGTGCTGGATCTCGTACACTAGTATTCCTTGTGGCATTTGCATTTGCCGGGGCCACTGCTCTCACAAATGTTGGTTATCATTCTCCAATCTGCCATGAACTTACCTGAAATGCTTTGTGAAATATCAGATAAGTGCAAATTCAATCCCCTTCGCAGCGGATATCACAGGGCTCTTCCCCCGTTGGATGACTATTCGTAGAGGGCAGGTATTATGCTCGCTGTTGGGTTTGGCAATAACACCTTGGAATTTTCTGCAGAATGCTAGACAGTTCCTCACATTCCTTGGGAGTTATGTGAGCTATTTATGTTCGCGCCTTTCTCGAAGTCACTCACAATACATTTTATTATTAGAACATGTTCATGGGCGCCCTTCTCGCTATCATTTGGGCTGACTATTTCCTTGTACGGAAGGGTAATATTCACATTCCGTCACTGTATACAAGTGATCCTAAGGCTCCATATTGGTACTGGCATGGAATCAATTGGAGAGGTATCCTTGCTTGGATATGTGGGTCATTTATTCCATTCCCTGGATTAGTTGGAAGCTATGATGTAAATTCAGTGAGTGTTGAGTTCCTTCTATTTTTGCAGACATGATTTCACTGGTCTATAACTGGTTATAGGTTGACAAGAGCACCATTCGGATGTTTCAAAATGGATGGATCATTTCTATTTCAATCAGTTTTGTGGTGTACTACATCCTTGCGTTACTGTAAGTTGAACCCTCTTCATCAATATGTAACATGATTCTTATTACTTGAAGGTTTCCTGTACCTATCTATCCCCCAGCTCATTCCGAAGAGTGTATCACCAGGGGATATCTCTCCAAGCAAGATTTCCCTGGTGTCTTTCCGGATGAAACTTGGCGCCCTTCGTTTTCAACACAATCTAAAGATGATTTAGATAATAGTATAACAGTGTCGATTGGATTAGATGAGACGGAGTCGAAGAAGGATACTTGACCATCGCTGATGTACATGTTATATCAATCAAGTTAGCATGAAATGCATTGGATCCATTATGCAACGCACGCTCGAATAATCCATCGAGAACTTGCCGGAATGCACCGAACAGTTGATGAAGACCTCGGGGGCCCCTACTGAACCCCGTCCAAAATAATGTCAATTTCCGACCAAATCCAGCCCAAACCTGGTCCAGAAGATAGTTTCACTTAGTCAAGGTGGTGCCAGTGTCGAACCGAAATTGTCTAGTGTCAGATAAGTTGAAATTCCCAAGCATTATTAGGCATCTACATCTTGTACGTATCTAACTCAATGCGTGTAGCACGGACCCGTGCCAGTTCATCCTTTCTTTTCCAAGTTAGGGGACATTAGATAGATACACAGTGCCACCTCCAGAGCACAACAATGTGAAACTTTCCAAAAAATTTCGACCATTCTCAGGCTTGTCCGAAATAACGTCACCGAAGCTGAAATTGTAGAAGCGTCATTTCAAACCATCATAGCTGGACAGAGCTTTCGGGGCTCTCGTGAGAGTTATTTTCCCTTCTTTTCTTTGCTTCCACCACTGAGTCCTGGACGCATACCGCACTATTTCGTAGCGGAAAAAGTTGTATCGATGAATTGAGTACTGCGCTGTAAGGCCTCGGGAATATAACTCATCCGCTGATTTCCGTTGTCGAACGGAATGACTGGAACTCCGATAAAAGCGACCTCACAAACCAACCATGCACTTCCACCATTCCAAAGAGGCTCCGTCTGGCTTAGACCCTGCTTTCGGTGCAGAAGTGTCATTAGAGACGACAACCACAACACGAGAAGAATGGATCAGCTCACATTGCACCGGGAACAAGAAAGCATTGTTGATTGGGATTAATTATTCTGGCACCGATAGTAAGATACATTTTCTTCCGAGCACCTTACGGGTTCTAACTTGCAAGAACGGAATGCACCAGGCTCACTCGATGGATGTCACTCAGACGTGTCGCGGATGTATAAGTTCATTACTCAAACATATGGTTTTCTGGCAGAAAATATCGTCGTACTCAAGGACTCGAGCAAGCTTGAGGATGAATACCAGCCCACCAAGGCTAATATGGTGCATTTCACCACGATTCACTAAACTGAGCGAGGCTGTCCTGAAACTTCATCGATATAGCTCTATTGGATGCAATGGCTCGTGAAGGATGCTGAGCCGCATGATTCCTTACTCTTCCACTATTCCGGGCACGGCGGTCAACGAAGAGACCGAGACGGCGACGAAATTGACTACAAAGACGAATGTATATTCCCTGTTGATTCTATACCACTCACAGATGCATCCGATGAGCAAATTTTGATTGCTCATCGAAACGTTATGATTGACGACGAATTGCATCTCTGTCTCGTCACTCCACTCCCCGTAGGTGCCCGTCTCACCGCGATTTTTGACTCGTGTCATTCGGGTTCTGTTCTCGACCTTCCTTTCATGTATTCCGCGACATCCGGAAAACTGAAGGAGGGCGAATTCATCGCTGAGCTGGATGCTGAAAAGGCTGGGGAAATGCAGAAGGGACGAGGGGTCTTGGCTGTAGAGAAGACAGAAAAGTGGAGGATCAAAGAAAAAGTGTTTGAAATGAAAGATGTGTTAGAAGCAACAAAAGATATTTTACACGAGACTAGGGAGAAGTTATTTGTGGAGAAAGATGCTAAGGGTGCGTTGATGGATTTCGAGAAATTGAACGGAGTTAAGGCACATGTAAAACAAGTCGAAAAGCTTGAAAAAAGGAACGAGAGCTTGGCAGATATTGTGAGTCGTTTCGCTTGCTCATTTTGATTACTGGGCATTAATAGCTTTTGAAGGTTCTCATCTCTGGATGCAAAGACACACAGACGTCGGCAGATGCATCTGAAGATGGTGTACCTACAGGCGCTCTGAGCTGGGGACTCATGTCCACTCTGGGTGTGTTCCTACTCATGATATTGATGAGTTTCCTGTTGATCTATACTCAGAGGAGAATCCGGAGCCTACGTACCTTCAACTCCTGGATGGAAGTAAGTAGTTCATTTCACAGTTTGACTTGTGATTAAGCTGACAGTAATGCTCTTGCTGTTGGGTTAACTAGTACGGGAAAAGGTACGGCAAACTCAAGTGCTTTATATAATCATTCAGATTTAAATCTTAATTCTGTGCCTGCAGCTAAAACGGGAGAAATATGATCAGCTTCCCCAGTTGTCAACGGGTCATCCTATTGATTTGAGTATGTATATGTACGTGCTTTATCTGTGATAGTAACTGACGGACCTCTGGTCTTTTTCAGGTACTAAATTCATTGCCTAGCAATTGACAAAGTGGGTGGTGATTGGTACCATCAACTGTGTTCATTTTTGCATAGAATTCAGGGTTTTGAGCTAAGCATGGCAAGGCACTCTCGTGCCAGGTAGTACTGTATATATCCCATGTATACAGTACATAGTCAATAAAAAATAGGTTGCTGAAACTGAAAAGCAGAAAGTTCAAAAAATTATCAGGGACTTCCGGAATCCTGTTTAGCAGAATGTTCATGACTACTCTATGCTTTCAGTATCAAATAAATAAACACAGTACTAGATAGATCATAAACCTGGCTCAGTGCCTTCAAAGCAGCACCGCCAACATAATCTATAGGTCAAGACTTTGTTTGTGAATGCATCTGGCTTGAGAATAATCTCTTCCCATGAATATCCCCCGCAAAAACATTGTGCATCAAATGGCATCTTGAGCATAGGAAGATTTCGATAGTGTGGAAGAGATATGCCAGCAAGATTATGTGAGCTGGTGACTGCCAGAGAATCCAGGAGGTTCTGGTATGTTTCTATTATAGATCCTAGTGATGCCTTGTTTGTGCCATACTGATCATAAGACCTCCAAACAATTTCGCGGCGACATAGCCTTTTGGAAGGATGGGAATCCAAGGTGGAACGAGAAATGCCTTCAATTGCTTTGCCTAATTGTTTATTGTCCGAAGACTGATTGATCATAACGTCATCGAGGTCATTCCATGGCATGTAATCGCGCTTTGGTGCATCCACTAATCCACGTTTGGGTCAAAATTCAAGCTACTTTGAAAATGAATTGTACTAACTGTAAATGAGTTTATTTGCATCATGAAATGCCTGATTTATTTGGTTATATGAGAAAAGAAACTCAATCTGAGAGCTGACAGCTCACCCTTTGTATAAGTGTTGCACACAGATATTCTCCCAATGTTTCTAGATCATTACTGTTGTCTTCAAGACCAAGTTCAATTTCCTGTTTCTTTATCTGTGTTTCACATACTGGGTCATTGCATTGAGTTTCGAACTCTGGTGTGAATGCAATTGTTGTATGACCAAGGTCATTGGAGAATAAAGTGAAGTCCTAGTTGGGCATGTGTGAGCATCCTTTCATGAACAATTGTGAGCTTACATTGGCTAGTACATCGCGTGAGTTTTGCCATATCTTTAAATATCTTTCCTTAAGTGAATTTTCTTGTTGGAATAGATAATCCAATCCGGACTACAATAAATTTTGAACCTTTTGAATTTTTCAACAAAAACATTACTATACTTACTGCAATTCCATGTACCTATTGAAGGTCTTGTAAATAGATGTTGATGAAATCTTGAATAAAGGAGAACTCACCATATGCATCCCAACCAATGTAGTTTGCATTGCTCCAGCCCTCAGCAATGATGCCAGCAAATGGTGAGTGTTTCTACAACCTCCTTTGTGGCAGCATGAGCAAAAAATAAAGTTCAATAAAATACTTACTCACTTCCATCAAAAACAAGATAACAAGGATGTTTCTGAGGCTTATCCGAGGGCTCATCAGGAGAACTTCCAATGAGATTTTGTAAATGGGCATTGCTAATAATATGTAAATACAAAGCACATTTATGAATATTCAGTATCAAACAACCCTGATACTTACACTAGGTTTGAGGCAAAATCAACAGTTTGTTCCCAGAGCTAGAAAAAATATCATTAACACATTGTGCTAAAATAATGTTAATCATCTCCTGACCTCTTGGGAATGAGGTCCTTCAAAAACTTGAATCATCACCTCGGATCCTTTTCTGAGAGCACTGCTGAACCGTGAACTATGACTCTTGTGAATTTGTCTCAGAAATTGAATCTTGTGTCTAGGGATCTGATGAAGGTTCATTGGATACGACTAGCTTAATGTTGATGATTCTGGAATCCGGATACATACCACTTTTACTCTAACTCTTTTCCCATTTAGATATTGTGATCTTTGCTTTTGTTCTGGTTCAAAAAAAAACAATTATTCGGATTTAATTATACAGAAATGTCAGCATTTGACAACTCACTTTTCCTTGAACCGCCGAATACCTGGAAAGTACCACCATTTATGGTTATAAATTTGGAGGCAGGGAATAATGAAGGACTACAGAGTTAGGAGATGACTCAGTCAAAGTTCCGCAGATAGGAATCTAGAGTTGTACCCTGAAATGTGTGTCTGTGCTCAAGCATATCAGCAGTGTAATGGACATCAGGAATTTTAAGATACAAAGGCTTACTTGGTTATCACTGGAGTAACCTTGCATTGCAGATAATGACTGGGATGTTTCAAGCTCATACATTGCAGTGGCTTGAACAAGAGCGCAAGATTTTTCGTAAGTGGGAAGTGAAGGTTAACTCTGAACTTGGAGAGTCTTTGGAAAAATACGCCTTATAAAATGCAGCTCATGTTGACTCGAGCAGGTATTTTTCGAGCCTCCCATTGGTCAATAGCTGAATAACTTGTAAGCCTATAACTCATGTCAAATTTGTCAAAATTCGACATAGCACAGTCTATTTCATTAGTGAGCATTCGATATTGTATAACTGAACCTATCCAACATCGTGCTCAAAATATGTCTGCATAGCTGAAACATTATTTGACTGACATTTTATGATCCTCTACCATCCGCCAGTGAGATCAGACCCTAACATTGAGACGACCTATACCCTCGTCCTCTACGGCTGTGAAATCCTGTATATTGTATTGCGACATACGATTGACAAATGATCACATCTTTTCTTAGACGTTATCTGTGCTTAATATCTATCACGGATGTCCCCATTATACAAAGAGAGCTCACGCAATGAGGGTCACTTTGCATGCAATGCACGCAAGGGCAAAATGTATGAGTGGGATACGAGACTCCCAATTTGACTTTATTGAGGATCATCAGCTTGAAATTCGAGAGGGGAATCAAAGATCAAGAAAACTGTGCGCTGAGTCATGCCTGTCGAGTCTCATAGACTCTCAGACTTGGCTTGAATACTGATTCAGGAGTAGATTAGAGGAAGTTGTGAAACAGTGAGCAATGCAAAATGTCAAACCCACGGCAGTTCCCTTATCATGATTCAAATGTTTATGATCAGCAAGAAAGCGCATCAATTGTTTAATTCTACCAATGCAGAACTAACTTACTGCGCAACACACAGTTATTGTATGCACGAGTAATGCACGACTTCTGCCACAGGAGCCAATCATCTGCTGGGTGATCGTTGACCGTTCTGTGAGTTAATTTCTTTTTTCAGGCCAAAAATCGAATACCGCAAAATAGATTGAATACTGCTCCCATTCACCGGCGTATTCCGATTCTCCAACTCTGGCATTATCCGAATCCCTCGCCGTTCTCATAGTTTCCCCGGGCGCTTCCAAAGTTGTGGACGATCGGTGAAATAGCGGTTGCCATTTTAAATCTGTAAGGGCTTTTTAGTCGAGCGCTACGCTCTGATTCAAATGTAGACTTGTATCAGAATAATAAAAGGACAAGTTGTTATCTATCATTTGGAAATAAATAAATCAAAAGCGGTGGACCACGCAGTTTGGTTGCTTACCCTTGAACAGGTCCATCGAGGGATAATGACATTGAGTATGTTGCAAGATAACATGATGTTGTTTGCTGACTTGCGGAGCCTGGGCCTAAATTCTTGACTTTGAATGGTTCTAGTGGCGTAACAACGTGACCTGAAGAGACCAAGAAAGAAAGACTTTTACGGAAACTATTTTTTTGACTTTGTACGCTGAAGATCTGGAGCGAACTTGAAGCTCTTCAAAGCTATTTCCGCCTTTACATTGACCGCATCCGTTGAGGTAGGAGGTGGCAGAGCAAGAGCAAGAGCGAGAGCTTCGAATTACGGTTCGGAGAGAAGAGTGTTTGTTTGTTTGTCGTTGTTGCTCGTTAAACCCGATTCGAGCACTTGTGAGATCATGGGTGGCTGTGCTTCGACATTCTTCGACTTCATCGTCATTCCTGTGACCAACTGCTCCCACTCCCCAAATTGCGATGTTATATAAGATGTGTACTGGATCCAGGGATCCCCCAAATTTATCTCTCCTCAATTTATCATGTATACCGCCTCGACAACTCTAATACTTTTTCTCGCATCTAATGCTGTGAACGCTCAAGTCACGACGAGAAGGCGGACATCATCTGTGGGTAGGATAGTAGCTGGAATCGTTGTTGGTAAGAGTCGAATCTAATCTTATACGAACACTCAATCAATGACCAACCTTCATCGTTCAGGATGTCTCGTTCTCCTCCTTCTCCTCATATCATGCTGCGTAATGGCACGCAGACGACGAAGGCTACGAAACCCCTCTTCTACAAACTATACAGCCGGTGGCCCAGGTGCTGGATTTTATGGCACAGGCGGACGGCCGCTGTTTGGCGCGGGGGGCATGTTTCCACTCGGGAAGCAGAATCCCAATCAGAATACGATGCTCCCACAACATCAGCAGCCAGCGGGTGCTGGATATGGCTATGGAAATGGTGTTCCTAATTCGTACATCGGTCCGACTCAGAATGGCGCGGGAAGTAGCTACCCGCAGACATCGCCTCCGCCTCCGCCTCCGTATGGTAAGGAAGGTTCTGGGTATGCTCCGGTATGTCGTTGGCTATTTTGCGACTGTGGCTTTTAATTAAATATGATTTAGCCCCCTGGCCCACCTCCACCTGCACATACAACGGTATGGGTGTTCATATGTTCATAGTCATCGTTGGTCACTGACATTATTGTTCACATAGGGTGGACAAAACGATCAATTCGTTGGTGGATTCAGATCGTAAAAGTTTGAACATCGTATTCTTCCTCTGCCTCTCTCCTTGACTCGCCACTTTATGTTATTATCGATGACCATCATAATGCCAGCGTAAACAATGGACAGTAATCCTTGCGGCGCATACACAATTCAGTGCATGTATTACATATTGTGTATCGCGAATGTACTTGCACTCCTCTGTATTTTTGTGCAATTGCCTTTCTGTTGTGCGAGGACACTTATAATTCAACTAAATGATTGAGTCAACCAAAACAGTTCACTACATATGTATGTTATACAACACCCAAATATAACATGGAAGAAAAAAATCCAGCAAACAACTGTCCGTAATAAACTTGGCAAAAATGCAAGAAAGGAAACGAATACAGCGATACTGATAGTATACATCGTCCATAACGATACATAGATCATGCTCAATTAGTAAAACAACGAAAGTGAGGCGCGATCAAGTTTATCTTTAAGCTTTACTTTGTACATGAGCCTGCGGTGGCGGGCCAGGAGGCTACGATTTAGGAATGACGATGAGATGAAGGAAATACATAAAGAAGACATGTACGTACGGGTAAGTAACCGTCGTAGGCCGGTGATTGCAGTCCAGCGGAAGCACCAGCAGCAGGCTATATCGAACCCAATTGATGAACACATATATTAGCACCAGATTGATTATGCACATACGGAATTGAGGTACAAATTTTCGCCATACCCAGCTCCATATCCCATATGGGAAGGTGGTGGTCCGGGAGGCTAATTGAGATGATTTGAGATAAATTAGGACAGGACGGAAATAGATAGACGTGAGTAAGTGGGAAGGAAGCGCAGCACTCGAGTGAAAGCAAAGAGGAACGTACCGGAGCATAGCCTCCATTTCCGTAATACCCATCCTTCGGTGGAGGCCCACTCGGTGGTGAGTAGGCTGCAGGATCGTATCCCTGCGGCGGTACGTTGTACGCATAAGGTTCTTGAATTGGTCCACCTTGTGAATTCCAATATCCAGGAGGGGGAGGCGGTCTTGTGAGCACGATATTCTGAACACCTAATCTTCGCTGTTGTCGTCGTCTGTATGACATTCCGAGGAGAGCCAGGGCAAGTAGGAAAAGTACGACTAGTTTGGATAAGATATGAAAAATATGAGTACAGACGAAAAGAACCATCGAAGGAAGTAGATAGGACGTACCAACGACAACTGCAGCTATTATCCTTGTTGTAGTATTGTGATGGAAATTATCGTTGTTTCCGAATTGCGCATGGCTAGGAATAGCAGAGAGTACAAGTAATGAGACGATGGTGAGGATAGTCATGGTAAACAAGTAAGGTGTATTTTGCAAAGGTAATAAGCGCTCACCTTGATTATTTCTCGTGATGACGTACTGTGCCGGGACCAGCCGAGGTCGTTGGTGCTAATTTGGGTATGGCCACAGACGGCCGCGCTCTTGCTCTCACAATGGTATAATATTGTAGCAACGTCTTCGATATCAATATTTAAAAATGATCTTTCTCTCACAACGCACCTCAGAAGACCGACACACTTTTTGAAGTAATTCCGAATTTCGGAGACCATAGAAAATTAACGTGACTAGTTCGGCTATCCGCCTGGTCCGTGCGCAATACCTAGACCTATAAAAGCCTCGCCTGCACCTCTTCGATTCTTTACCACTCTGGCCTTTTGGCTTAGATCAAGTGTAGTATCTGTTCTTAATAGTTTAACCACTATTACGAGGGCACCGCCCTCCGTATTTGGTTATCTAATTTTTGCCGCCCTTGTTCCTTCGTGCTCTGCTTGCAACACGGGGGACGTGATGACCTTGCTACTGCAGTACTGGCTTGCGTCGTCGGGGGATCTTGTTTTGTTTTTTCTTTCTCTTCCTTGCTTGGACCTTTTTGCGAAGCTGTCAGTTGACGGTTAGCGGGTTAAAGCAAAGATGAGTTTGGAAAATATTTTTGGAACCATTTGGAGTTTGTTCTCTGACGTGCTGATCGGGGTTACTTGGGCAGCAGGTGGTGTATGGACATGGGCAACTAATATTGGTATGAGTACAGCTGCTATGTTTTTTAATGTTGTCTGCGAATTCATTGTGTAATGCCACTAATTCCCCCGTGTCTTAAGTAATTCACTGTGCAATGTTATGCTCTCGGTCTAATAACTGTGTTCAATGCTGAGTATAAGCTGGCGGCGGCAACGACTCCTGTGCTCCATTCACCAAACCACCTGTCTGCACCATTTCCTCCTTCTCACCGTTGGAGCTTGATCTCACACCGCCAAGTCCAAGTTCCAAATCCAAATCCAACCCATTCACTCCCGATGCTCCTACTACCTGCTTCCGGTCATCCAGCTCCTTCCGAGTAATCCGTTTCCGATTACATCCTCCGAAACAGTGATTAAAGCAACGGAAGCAACACCAACAACCTTCCTTCTTCTGAGGAGGGGTTGCAGTGGGAGTTGTCGAAGAAACTAGTGGTGGTGAGGGTGGTTGTGATGATGCTGATGATGGTCCTTGTTGCGACTTGTGTAAATCCGAGTCTGAAGGGATCATCATGGTCTAAGTCTCGAGTCAGTCATCACAGTTATGCATTTATGATTGGCCTTGAACTCAGACCAAGAAATAACACCTACGTTTTGTGTGATGTGCACCGAAGGTTATAAAGGTCGCAAAGGTGATTCAGATGATCTCTCTGGGACGTTCATCCTGATTTAAATTGTATCGTCTCCTGATATACATCAACCGCAGCTAGTTCAAAAACCTGTTCTCCTCCCGCGTTTGCTGCGCACCTTCAACCACATGTAAAAAATCTCATGTCAATGGTTTTGGAATGACGCGCGCTCACCTTGGGCGCAGTGTTCTGCATGAACAGTTTCAGCTAAACTCTTTGCCTCTGGACCTACAATGTCTACTTACCTGCTCCTCTTACCTGTCGTATCAAGCATATAGTCTCGCTTATGGCTTCCGAACCCAGTGTGACCAATCTTTTGTATGCACGCACTTCATACGCCGGAATACAAATACCATCTTCCTCAAAGACGAGATCGACCTTTCTCCACACAACTCTACCTTTTCCACCGCGACGGACAGACCAGTTTGCATAATTCCCATGTCGAAGTCGATCCTGGTCATAATGGAACACGGAGTGCATTGTACATCGCGAGGACCGAACATGGTTTGACAAGAAGGAAGCATACTCATCAACCAAGTAGGAAACATAGAGCCTGAGCCAGGAGCTACTGGAGGTGCTCTTTGGAGAAATTCATTTAGATAGATTTGGAGCAGATCGTGGTAGGATCAGAGGGACGCGAGGTGAGGAATTAATGTGGAAGTAGGATATTCACGTCCCACCACACGGAACCTCTTTTTTTCTTTGTTTCTCGTAGACCACGACCTTATGGCATCAAATGTTCAAATATACAAACGGAAAGCAACTTACGTTCGCGGGATTTACAGGTTTGCCAGTGTGGTTCGGACACAAAGTACTGTTTGTGTCTATCTAACTTATACCTTGGCTCTCGCTGATCTGTAGTTCAAAAACCCACTTGATTATTTAATCGCTCTCTTCTGTGAAGGATGCCAGACATTTATTTTCATCCAACGAACAAGCCACGCTCAGATTTTACTTCGCAGGGCTTCCATTGTCATAGCGACGTTGATGTATGGTACAAGGTGAAGAGATATACGGAAAGCGGTAATTGCTGTTTATACATCAGTGGTGAGAGGTGGTAAGCGGTACCAGAAGTTTTAAGATGACTGGATTGCAGCGACACACGTAGGATACTGACGCGATTCCGAAAGACCCATATGGTCCGAGCCTATATCCAAGCTTGGGTTAATGAACGCGCTTTCCTCGATTCCTCTAAATGCAGTTTACCATCAAACCTTGAACTGTTTGCGGAAAACAATGAACAATGAGACGAGTAATAGCCACACAACATCCCGCATAGTAACTTGAACTTGTGGAATCAATAAGAATGAATTGTCATTTGGTAGTAATGTGAGATTGGATAACAGCATAACTACCTCAAAACAAGAGCTTTTCCCTCTACCATATCTACAAGACTTTCAAGTCCATCTTCTCTCCCTGCCATCGATTTACTCTGTTATCCCAGCACACTCAGAATCGCATCTAACACCACATAATACAGTACCATGATGGAATACATGGGAGTAATGAGAGGTAGCATCTTTTGTGAAGCCAAACAGACACAGGATCATGATAGATCTTGCGAAGGGAGTCCCGGAGAGTGGTCCGACGAGCTGGAAGCGAATAGCTTTGATGTGAGTTCCCTATGTACCTACCTTCACCACATTGATCACGGTCAATCTCTACAGTCTGGTATCGACCAGCTTCCGGATCGCAAGATCCTATTTCCTGCACTCTGGCAGTATTCGAGACTCTCAAAGACGATACCCCGGGAACGAGTTGGGAAGGCCAACTGCGTCAATGATTCCGATGATACGGATGCTCGTGAGTCTCTTGAGCTGCTACATGAACGACTGTTCACTCCGATTCTTTTTTAACTCCCAGACATTTTCGACTGTACCACGAACTGTTACCTCTGCCACTCCCAGAACGGCGAGGCTATTTACAAGATAGAGGAATTTAACAACGATGATGGCGAAGAAGATGAAGAACTTGTTGAATTTGTCGAGCTCCCAGTGTTTGATGGCAATTACGACGACGACGACGATACGTTCGGTAGCACCAACCATTCGGTAGCGCCACCGGTCAACCCTTGCGCGAACCACGGCGAGAATTGGGAGCAATGCATACATTGCGCGCGAGAGAGGCTTCGTGCAGAGGGATGGGAATTCCCCCATCATGAGGGTGATGGCAAGGATGATGGCGAGAGAGGGACCAGTGGAGACAATGATAAAGATGAGGACGAGCGGTCTAAAGCAGTCGATGATGGAAACGCAGGAAGAAAAGAATGCAACACATTTAGCAGGGTATTCATTCCACCAGCGGAAGGGGAACGGGCGTATGCAAAATTGAGTCCTGATAGCACCATCATGCTTGAACTCTTCCCACCAGTTTTCTTTCCTCCCGCAAAAGACTCGGGAATAGAATTTGACGGTTCCTTCCTCAGAGGTCAATCGCCGCATCACAGTCACGGACAGACACAAGAGATATTTCCGCGAGCCATTGCACCGCTACCAAAGCATTTGAAGGGTTCAACGACAGAGACTTGTCATTCGGCAGTCGCTGAGCATACTGTTGGTCCCCTTCCTAAGCTCATTGAGCCACGAGGTATGCAGTTCCGACTCATTGCTAGTGCAGGTGGTTGGTGAGGTGATTTAGATTCATGTATTACATATGTTGTACCACGAATAGTTTTTTGTTTGGGGTTACCATTCGAAAGTCTGAATATGAGAAGGAAAGAAGGAAAGAAAATCGCCAAGGCTCCTTCCGCTGAATATAGAACGTAATTAGGCGTTCACGTGGTAAGGTACGCCACATTTCGGATCTCAGTACTGTAACTCAGTACTCTGTGCTTACTTTCATTCCAAACTACGACAACGACGAGGACCAACTGATATTATCACCACGATGCCTAACACCCTAAGCTCTTTATCGCGTGTAACAAGTACGACGTACAGGGTCTCGCCAGTACAACGACCGCGACTGTGGCCCTGCCGGCGACACATTTCTACATCATCTTCGACTCGCTCAACAGTCGTTGTACCCAACACGACTTCTACGGTATCCGCGCTAGAACCACCTCCAGCAGGCGGTCATATGCCATCTATCGCCTCGTCAGCATTGCTTAAGCATACAAGGGAGCAGGCACTGAAGATGCCAGAAATTGTGTGGGCAGATGCAGAGTTGGACGAAGGTACTTGACTAATTATTTCATATCTCTTCATTCTCTTATCAGCTCATACAGCTCGAGGAACCTCCTCCTTATCATCTACTACCGGCCGAGAAACGCGCAAAATGAACACTTACCAAGCTATCCGCGACGCGTTGTCTATCGCGCTATCAACCGATGATTCAGCTATAGTCTTTGGTGAAGACGTCGCATTTGGTGGTGTATTTCGGTGAATACTCTCTAGTTGTCGTGCTTAGAAATTTAATCAAACTGACTTACAGATGCACTCTTGGCCTTGCAGAAGAATACGGTCGCGAAAGAGTATTCAATACGCCATTAACGGAGCAAGGCGTGGTCGGCTTTGGAATAGGGTATGCCTCTATGGGGTCTAAACTTGGCAATTCAACGCTTGGAGGCAGGGGAATGGGTGGGACGGCAATCGCAGAGGTACAGTTTGCGGATTATATCTGGCCGGCGTTCGATCAGGTGTGTAACCCTGTTTCTGTAGGCACCCTCATTTTCACCGTCTCAACCGTTCTTAGCTACTCAACGAAGCATCGAAATTCCGATACCGTTCTGGTGGTCAATTCAATGTTGGTGGGCTCACGGTAAGATGTCCGACGATGGCTGTCGGTCATGGAGGGTTGTATCATAGTCAAAGTCCCGAGGGATTCTTCATGGGTGCAGGAGGTCTCAAGGTAAGTCAGTATCTATATATAATGCACTCTCAATCTCGCTCGGATCTTAATCCGGAGCAAGGGCTTTTTGTTCAAGCGTACAGATGGCGTTCGAACTAACGAGTATCATTATTTTCACAGGTTGTGATACCCCGCTCGCCGCTCCAAGCCAAAGGCCTCCTTCTCTCCTCCATCCGAGATCAAAACCCAGTCGTCTTTATGGAACCGAAGGTCTTGTATCGAAGTGCTGGTAAGTTACCCAAGCCACGGCAGTTTTCGCTGTACAATTCGTAGTGATAATTGTCGCCTCCCATTTTTACGGTCGTAAACTTGTGCGCGATCATGACTGAGAAAACATTCAAGATCAGACTTGAAACCTGTTTCTCCTTGTCATTCGCTCCATCTTCCTATCTACATCGCTAATCTTTATTCCCCTACAGTTGAACAAGTCCCTACATCAGACTACATCCTTCCCCTAGGTCGCGCAGAAATTTTAACTACTGGCTCAGATTTGACGGTTGTGACATATGGGACATCAGTGTATCGGTGCGAACAGGCGATACACCTCTTAACACACCCTCCCGAAGGTACTGGGATAGAAAGAACCGTGAGAGATGCATTGGGTGATTGGAGGCGGAGTCGAAAGGGGCAGAATCCCTCCTCAAGGTGATGAATATTTGTTGTATCTTCGGCACTGTGGCTGACATGATATTGACTTAGTACACCTACAATCGAACTTATTGACCTACGCACAATCCTTCCTTACGACCTCCCACTCGTTCTTCGCTCACTCTCTAAAACGCACCGGCTGTTGATCATGCACGAAGGACCAACGACGGGTGGGGTCGGTATGCAGATTGCTGGCGATGTAATGTCAGGTTTTAACACGACCTCAACCACTAACGAATCCGAAGAGGACGTTGGAAGAATGCGCAGGGAGGCATTTCTAGGATTGGAGGCTCCGGTTAAAGTCATAGGGGGTTGGGATACTCCGGGTGTGGCGTTACAGTATGAGAAGTTTTATATTCCCGACGAGGTGCGGATACTTGATGGATTGTTGGAAGTATTGGCATACTAGGTTACCGAGATCCAAGCTAAGTAATTTGAGTAAAGTTATCACTGGTGTGCGTTTTGTTTTGATAACCACGTCTGTAATTTGTCTGTAATTGTATGTAGCTTATATAAGGGTGGGTGTCAGAAGTTGACCTAAATGTCGACTTGAAACCACATACACTGCATGCAAATTCTGATAAGTTCACGTGACTTACCTAGAACTTATCTGAAACAAGCGTGAAATTACAAGCATATAAGATGCCGAACTTATTCAATAACTGATCAATGACTTATCCAATACCGCAATTTACTTTGTCCTCAATAAAAGGTGCTAAGATATGCGAAACTTATATGATATATATGGACAAAAATTTCCGGATAAGTATTGAATAAGATCAGTGAACTTATGTAATACAGATAAGATAATAATTTGGACCTGAATTTAACAATAATCAAATAAGTGATAAGAAAGAAATAAAACTTGTGCAGAACTTATTTGATATAGATATGAGACAAATATGGAACAATAAGGGAACACCTTAGAAACTTATCTGATCATGTCACATGAAAGAACACAATAAGGATGAGGAACAATGGGAAACTTATATGATACCTTGGGTGTGACTGTGACAAATATGTTTACAATAAGAGAGTGTGGATATATTAAAAACTTATGTGATATAAAGCAGAAACTTATGTGATATAGATGCTATATTGTTTTTTCAAAAGTTATGAAAAATCAAGCTAAAATTGTAGGTATGAACAATAAATTTATAGGATTGAATTGGTGAGAATTATAAGTGCATTGATGAAGGTTGCAGAAGGAATCCACAAGTTGATTTGGACCTGTATGGTGCAGAGCGGTGCAGAAGGGTGCAGAAGGAATCCGCAAGCTTAATTGGACTTGTATAGTGCAGAGCGGTGCAGAGAGGTACAGAAGGGTGCAGAAGGAATCCGCAAGCTTATTTGGACTTGTATAGTGCAGAGCGGTGCAGAAGGGTGCAGAAGGAATCCGAGAGCTTATTTGAACTTGTATGGTGCAGAGCGGTGCAGAAGGGTGCAGAAGGAATCCAAGAGCTTATTTGGACTTGTATGGTGCAGAGCGGTGCAGAAGGGTGCAGAAGGAATCTGCAAGGTTATTTGGACTTGTATGGTGCAGAGCGGTGCAGAAAGGTGCAGAAGGGTGCAGAAGGAACCCGCAAGCTTATTTGGACTTGTATGGTGCAGAGCGGTGCAGAGAGGTACAGAAGGGTGCAGAAGGAATCCGCAAGCTTATTTGGACTTGTATGGGGCAGAGCGGTGCAGAGAGGTGCAGAAGGGTGCAGAAGAAATCCGCAAGCTTATCTGGACTTGTATAGTGCAGAGCGGTGCAGAAGGGTGCAGAAGGAATCCGAGAGCTTATTTGAACTTGTATGGTGCAGAGCGGTGCAGAAGGGTGCAGAAGGAATCCAAGAGCTTATTTGAACTTGTACGGTGCAGAGCGGTGCAGAGAGGTGCAGAAGGGTGCAGAAGGAATCCATGAGCTTATTTGGACTTGTATGGTGCAGAGCGGTGCACAAGGATGCAGAGGGAATCCATGAGCTTATTTGTGGTGCAGAGTAGTGCAAAAGGGTGCAGAAGAAATCTGCAAGCTTATTTGGACTTATATGGTGCACAGCAGTGCACAAGGGTGCAGAGGGAATCCGCCAGCTTATTTGGACTTGTATGGCGCCAAGCGGTGCACAAGGGTGCAGAGGGAATCCGCAAGCTTATTTGGACCTGTATGGTGCAGAGCGGTGCAGAAGGGTGCAGAAGGAATCCGAGAGCTTATTTGAGCTAGTATGGTGCAGAGCGGTGCAGAAGGGTGCAAAGGGAATCTGTCGGCTTATTTTCGGTGCAGAGCGGTGCACAAGGGTGCAGAGGGAATCTGTGAGCTTATTAATGCATCCTCAATAAACATTCAAAATTATATTGATTTGGTACAGTAATGTGTGCAATAAAAAGTATCAGCTCCAAACCCTCTTCCCAGTCATTGATTGGTCCCCTCTTCTTTTCAACTCATGCAAGAAATAGAATAAATTTCTTCTCATGTGTATACTCTCAAAGACAAACAGAGGATTTCCAGCATTCACAAAATCATGTGTCACTAATGGAGTGGTCCTTTTTAGCTATCGCACATAGTAATCACAACCTATGTGACAATGATCAATTCAAACTGTATATACCTGGGTGATATATAATGGAGTAATTCTCTACTATCAGCAATAAATGTCTGTGTTATCGTCGCGTCCATCTTTTACATTCCTAGAGCTACTTATGTAAATTAATTGAGCGCCTAACCCGTCGCTTTTTAGTGTATAGAATTGAACGCCTAACCCGTCGATTTTAGTGTATAGAAATATAGGTTGGGATGTGAATATTGAGAATAGTTTTCGAGAGCTTAAACCGATGGATCCAGGTTCTCCTTACCAAAACAGCACTTAGTTCAGTAAGCCTTGGTTAATCAAACGTCGCGCACAGCATACCCCGCGAACGCCCTGTCACCAGTCACATTCTTTGCGGAAAGACAATTCTAAACTCCTGCCAATACGCCACCTGCAGTACGCTTGCCCAGTTCCAATATCAACAGGCGCCCATGATCCGTCAACAAAAATAACTGTCGTCGCGCACCAATGAACGGATCCCAACAATCTGTTGTCCATCTTGAGTATCGCGAAATTTGGGCTGGTTGATCTTAATACCACAAGCATTACTGCTGCAGATGGCAGTGATGTTCCTGTTACAAATGACACTGATACAGGTACCCTCGGCAGAAGGTATACATGCGCACTATGGTTTCCAGCAGACCTCCTCAACTCCTTCCTCAGCTCCTGTATTCCTTGTACAGCCCTTTTGTTTCCGTTCGAACGAGGATGGGCGCTGATGTTTCCTGAATATAACGTTGAAAGTTTTGCAACTTGCCCGGACCGAGGTGAAAATTGCGCTTCGGGATAGTCCCATCGTCTATAATGGCAACTTGTCAGTTTATGAAGGCTCTACAAAGGGAAGATAACATACCTTCGGGGAGTTGAGATATATCAATATCTGATTCGAGCATCACAAGGGGAGCCTCACTGCACTGCATCACTGGAGTAGTATGCTATGCGCGAGAATAGGGCAGGTTATAAGAAGTTGTAGGTGACAGTGTCGTTGTATACGGCAGTAGTGGAGGCAGAAATGTCGCTTGAGCCAAGACCAAAGAGGGGCAGAGAGAGCTTAGAGGTAAGCAGCCCAGTCGATAGGAATATAAAAACGAAATATCTATGGCTGAGCTATGATACGAAATGTTTGGTTTAATGGTCGTTGTACTCAAGCGGCACGAAGGAGGAAGATAGAAAAAGGTAGAACGCGGCCTAATGGAAGAAAAAGGGAACAAGCTGGAAAAGAAAGCGAAGGTACAATGATTTGAAGGGGAACGAAGAAGAAAAGTCACGATCATTATTCACGAAAATTCGTATAATATAAGTAGCATGATAAAAGCTAGAATCGTCCTACATTTTCGCTCAACTGGCCTATTTTGGCAGGGCACATTGGCACAGAGTCTCTTGATTGTACCAGAACGAAATGATGCGCATGGCGCCATGGCTTCCTCCGTAGTAAAAGAATTGATATTGAGCTTCATTACTATAGCTTGAGTTTACCAACGGCCAATATGAACCATTTCTTGCAAAAGATATTGGTGAGGACAGAATACACGACGGTGTGGAGGAGAACGCACCAATGATTTATATACAATCCCCGACCTCTCGATTATTTGTTTTATCTACAACTTTGAATCAATGAAGGACGGCGCGGGTCGAGCCTTATAGCGTTCAGGTAGCAGCAAGGGCGATGTGAATGTTCCAACGTTCTCGATGCATTGAAATCGAGTGTAAACCAGAGAACCTGCAAACGAGAGGTTCACCCGGAACTCACGGGGAGTGGTCAAACGAAGAGCCGGGCCATCTAAAGACAATATCAGTCCTATCTTGAACAACGGAGTCATAATCATGCCGTTTTGAACTCACAAACATAAAGAAAGCGAGAGCGTGAAATTGTTGTTGCACCCCGTGGTCCTATAAACTTGTGAGCATTAGTCTGTGCGGTAGTGGGCGAAATACGCTTACTGGCCGATTTTGCAGGAACTTGCCTCGTCGAAGGTAAGGATGGAATCGTTTCTTGGGCCGGTCGGTACGGTGAGCAGGCATCCTAAAGGTAACGAAAGATCACAGAACACGCGCACGAAAAATCTCTGAGCAGCGTGGAAAGGGAAATGCAGTTAACCCTAAATTAGTACTGATTGTTGGTCACCCAATACCGATTCAAATTCCTGACAGAGGATTTACGTTACAAGCTAAATCCTTATTAGACAGTCCAGCATTCGACTGATATTGAAATGCTCAATCTCTTTGCAAAGATATCTTGTGGATCGACTTTCAATATCTTGGCATTTCATTATAAAACTCTTACACATAAAGCATTGAGACCCACGGTTAGATTCAATGAGTTGCGACGTCTTTCCGGTCTTCATAGCCGTCACTCAATCCCTGATAGTGCACCAGCAACAAAAAAAACTGAGTCGAACGTCAATGGCACAGATTCAGATACAACTACTCACGTTTGATCATGCAAAAATCTTGGACAGGATGAACCTCTTATAGTCTGCAAAGCTAGATCTTGCAGGGTCATTCTTCGAACAATTCTCTTTTCGAACCGGTGGCCAAGTAACCTTTCCTAAAATGGAAACATCAAAGCTGGTTATATCAAGAATAAGAAATAAGGATGTACCAAAAGGAGGGTTTTGAAACAGAGTTGAAGAGTAGATAGTGAAAGTTTGAGAATGCTGATGTAGAATGCACTAGTACTTTCCAGTAGGGTAGAATATCACACTTATATGAGGAGTGTACAATAACTCATGCGGCCCTGATCAATGTAAACAGTCTAATAGACAGATAGTTGTAAAGCAGGGAGCACTGGTATTACCCATCTTCCTGAGGATCTAATGGAGCACCTATCACCTACATACCACCGTCTACGACTGCAGGTGACATGATAAAAATTTCCGTAAATTGTCTGGAATCGAACTAGCCAAGTGTTCTGGCGTATCAGGACAGCAGTGAGCTAGGTATCAGCAATATACAGAACCCAAAACTCACATGAAGTAATCATCTTCCGCAGACCGTGAAGTCACAGAACACAAGTTCTATGGAGTTAACCGCAACCCATCGCAGGTCAACTGCAAATAAGATCAATACTGTGCATTAACTTCACGATCAGTGGTATACATACCGTGCGATGTCGCCGGGCGATTCCAGAGAGACAGCGGTGCGCAAAGGAGACAAGATATTTCGCCGTTCTTAATATTCTGCGAGCCAGGCTAGATTGTACCAATTGATTGGTAGTTGTAAAGACGCAGCGTCCGCTTGCATGACCATGTCAGCCCGATTCGAAGGATACCGCGGATGCGGAAGCTCTCCAGGTGAATAGTACTTGCCATGATCCAGGTAGCGACCATATACCAGGCGCTAAGTAGGGCTAGGAAGTCGGCTAACTCTAGCAAGCGCCACTCTACCTGTGTTTTGTAATACTTTCCGTCCATACCAGCCTCATCTCCACTCATACATTCTGGTGTAAGACGCCGTATGAATTTGGCAAGGCTCACCCAAAGGGCCTGGATGGTAGCGGTAGATTTGGTGGAACGCCTTGATGCGCCGGCAGCGGATGAGTTTGAGGTCCATGAGTCCCTAAGTAGCACGCAGCAGCTTGTCCCCGAGTTTGATTACAAAGACAGTAGTCTTTGTCAAGAACCACCATAGTGGTTCGAACGAAGGGAACAGATACGCCAGAAACTGCCGACTACTATAAACGGTCAGTTTACTTAATCCTCACGTTTTTCTCTCTGATTGGTCGCTTTGACTTCGTTTTGTACTAGTAGCGACTCGGATCTCTCTTCCCAAAATTGCTCCAACTACTTGTTGTAGGCGACATCCGACTTCTGTCGGTTCGTTTTCCATCCCATCCTTTGCTATCTTCTCGTTCTTGAATTCAAAGCCCTTTTTACGATGGTCCTCTCTTTATATTGTCGTACAAGAAAGTTCGAAATCTCGACGGTTTCCTTTGTTTCTTTGTTACATGCATGGGTGACTACCTATAAAGATGGAGCTTACAAGTCGCCTCTACAATATGCCGCCTGAATATTACGCTGTCTCTATCGAGTTTGGTGATCCAAACTCAACAACTTTTGTCGTGCTTCCTTCCTTGCACTTCAGTGCCCGTTCGATCCAGTCAGCTTGTGAACTTCTCTTCTGATCTCTCCCATCTAACCGTATTTCCTTCAGACTCAGGACCAGGGAATCGGTAGGGCAGGCTTTACCTGGTCGCGTAACGCAAGTGGTTATCCTTATCTTTGTCGTCGTATTGCCTCATCTTACTACAGAACACTTGCTGGTCATGGCAGTGGCGCTGAAAACAAAGCAAGGTTGTCTGGGTACGAACTGTCCATTTGAAATTTCGCTTTACAACCTAAAATTTATTCGCAGAACATCCATCGCCAATCTTCTAGAGACCATGGCTCCTATACGAGTGGTGCAAGCAGATACTGAGGGAAACGTTTTTTACAAAGCGGAGATTGAGACGCAAACGATTCCTGACACGGTCATGGACAGGTATGTACCGATGAACTTGCCTGCCACTGTCAACTTTTGTCTCACATCTTCTCCGAAGACTAATTGGTTCTTCTTCCAATTCCTTGAACGACTTGTCCTCCAACGCTGCCACCCATCAACGTCAGGACGACCTCACTCGATCCACGAATATGCCTGAAAACATCGTGGCCCAAGTGATTGCGCCACTTGCAATGGAAGAACCTGAGGTTAAGACTGAGCCAGAATCCATTTCTTCGGCTATTCGGTAAGCATTCACATAAATGCAACTCCTGGTTCTTGCTCAAAGATGTCAAGGCATCGACGTC